GAGTGGAGCCTTTGGTCGATGTAGCAAACCATACAATTATCCACACTATTAATCCACATAAACTAACCGATCACATAACATTTCAACAATTTCATCTCTACAGTCAGTGGTTATGGTACGGCTAGTAACTATTGTACAGTTTAGACAATTATGGTTTCAAAGTTACAATATCAGTTAGTACACATGGAAGGTTAAACAGTAATTTTAGTATTTTTCGCGTAATATCAATAGTTATGGTACATGTCAGTGGTTATGGTAAATGTCAGTGGTTATGGTATCTGTCAGTGGTTATGGTACCTGCCAGTGGTTATGGTACCGTGCGCTATTTTACACTATACACACAATTTACACTCCCACTAGACGGCAGAGCTCAAGCTTTCTAGCAGGACATACAATTTAGCCAATTCACCAGTTCACCAACTACAGTATATCTAACAATTATTTACAATAATCCCAACTATTCTAATTGGCCAGCACCTCGAGAACTATCGAACAATTTACACCAAGGTTCGGTTAGTCTACGCTGCCCAAGCACCACATATAGCGAACTAATGAGTGGAATGTACAACAAAACCCATTTAGTCTATCTACTCTATCAATAGTATAGTGGTTGAATTTACATGCCTCCCACTTAGCCAAGATAGGTTGAGATCTAGCAGACGGAATGTACACCAGAATCTGCTTAGTCTCCCGGTCCCCCCGACCTAGCGAACAAAATTTACACCTAGATACGCTAATCAAGACAGGACACCAGTGTCCGGCCTGAACTATTTACACCAAAAATCCCTTTGGCTGGGGTTAAGTCAGAGCTGGTACTACATCTTAGGTTCAGTCAGGTACAGACAAAGAGACAGAGTTTCTCCTACATCTGGTTTTTATTAAGTGTATTCCTAAGTAGGCTGGCCTGTGATGTCACTGCCAGAAGCACATGTCTTCCTACACACTGCCCCTAGTGGTGCCTCCAAAGCATTACACTAAATATGCTTTCTTTATGATGTAAAGTCATTAATTAATAAATACGATTATAACGGGCCAACGCCGTCCGCAAGCGACTGAGATCAGAGTGCACTCCGGATTGCTCGCTGTGCTGGGAGGAAGCAATTAAACTTTACTTCATCCTGACTCCCAGACAGCAGTGCATAGGAGCAAGAGAGGAGGCAGCATGGGCAGTTGACATTAGGGACCCGAAGTTAAGAGAAAGCAGCAGATCCTTTAAGTCCTCCAAGCTGCGAGGCAGGGACTCCATGGATCAACTGTGTTGTTCCTGCACATCCCACAGATGCTCAATCAGATTGATACCTGGTGAAATTGTAGGCAAAGGCACCACATTGAACTCTTTGTCATGTTCCTCAAACCATTCCTGAGCAATTTTTGCAGTGTGGCAGGGTGCATAATCCTGCTAAAAGAGGCCACTGCCATCAGGGTACGTGGTCTGCAATAATCTCTAGGTGGTACGTAACATCCACATGAATGCCAGGACCCAATGTTTCACCAGTAGAACATTGCCCAGAGCATCACACTGCCTCAGCCGGACTGACTTCTTCCAAAAAGTGCATCCTGCTGCCATATACAGGTAAATGATGCACACACACCTGGCCATACACCTAATCTAAAAGAAAATGTGATTCACCAGACCAGGCAAGATCCAGTTCTGATGCTTACGTCCCCTTTTGGTGGAGTGCACAGGTCATCATGGGCACTCAGACCGGTCTTGACTATGCAGCCCAATATACAGCAAACTGTGATGCACTGTGTGTTCTGACACCTTTCTATCATTAAGTATTATGTTGTTCAGCAATTTGAGCTACAGTAGCTCCTCTGGGTGATTGGACCAGACAGCAAGCCTTTAATCCACGTGTGCACCAAAGAGCCTTGGATGTCCATGATCCTGATGCCGGTTCACCAGTTGTCCTTCCTTGAACAACTTTTGATAGGTACTAACCACTGTATACCTGGTACACCCCACAAGACTTGCTCTTTTTGAGGAGATGTTCTGACCAAGTTCTCTAGCCATCACTATTTGTCCCTTGTCAAAGTCACTCAGATCTTTTGGCTTGACCATTTTTCCTGCTTCCAACACATGAAATTCAAGAACTGACTGTTCACTTGCTGCCTAATATATCCCACACCTCGATTAGTGTCACTGTAATGATATAATGCTGGGTTACACTCTCCCCAGTCTCAGCTCATTCAAAAGATCTTTAAAAACTCCCTTCTTTAGGAAAGCATATATTTTAAACTATCACCAGCTTTCCCTTCATGCACCTTGGTAATCCATCCTGCTTCCTCTCCTGAAACTGTTATCCAATAAACTAACCCTTCATTGTAAACTATTCTAATAACCTACTTTTTCCCATACGTGAAATGCATCCTACCCTTACCTCTCGTGCCACGTTACCTCTAGAATGTAAACTCGTTTGGGGGGTCGTTTTGTTGGAAATATATGTCTGTTTGTCCACCTACTGCACAGCGCTATGGAATTTGGCGCTTTATAAATAATAACAATAGTCATCATGAATGTTGTTTATATATGTATGTGTGTGTGCAACAGTGTGTGTGTATGTATATATGTGTAACAGTGTGTGTATATATGTAACAGTATGTGTGAGTGTGTATATATATATATATATATATATACACACACACACACACACACACACACACATCTATATGGAAGGCTGAGCCTGTAATTGCGGGAGGGGTTATTTTGGCCTATAAATACACAGGTTGCCCCTTCCTCGGGGCTGAGACTGTCTGGTTCAGCCCACCCACCACTCGATTTATCAAGGGATAAAGGCTTACCTGAAAGTCGGTTTTGGCACACCACAACTGTCTTATGCACCACTAACATTACTCGACAAATTGTCCGCGACCACAAATATACAGTATCTTACAAAAGTGAGTACACCCTCATATTTTTGTGAATATTTTATTATATCTTTTCATGTGACAACACTGAAGAAATGACATTCTGCTACAATGTAAAGTAGTAAGTGTACAGCCTGTATAACAGTGTAAATTTTAACTCAACAAACAGGTCTAAACCGTTGGCAACAAAAGTGAGTACACCCCTAAGTGGAAATGTCCAAATTTGGCCCAAAGTGTCAATATTTTATCTGGCCACCATTATTTTCCAGTACTGCTTTAATCCTCGTGGGCATGGAGTTTACCAGAGCTTCACAGGTTGCCAATTGAGTCCTCTTCCACTCCTCCATGATGATATCATGGAGCTGGTGGATGTTAGAGACCTTGCGCTCCCCCACCTTCCCCACAGATGCTCAATAGGGTTTAGGTCTGCAGACATGGGGAGGCTCTGCAGCACATATGTATCCAGTACAGAAACAAGGCAAGACTAGAATAGACACCAAACAAGAAAACAAGACAAAACTAGGAGAACCCAGAACCGGAGCAGGACAGAAAGCAGAGTACTATATATGTAAAACATTGGAGAGTTAGCATACATAAATGGCCAAGATGTATGCAGCCCACCAATTGCGGCAAAGTACTCCAATTAAGGTGGGTAACTATCTACCTAGATATGCATGACTAAATAAACAATAATAAAACACACACAGCACTTACCTGCAAGAAAGGGCAAAGGACTTGAAACAACTGCCTGAAGGAACAAATTGAAACAAAAGGATTCATGGAAAAGGAACAGGTGTGGCAACATAAAACAAATATTTAAAGGAATCCAAGAGACTGTGAATTCCCGGAACGGAATACAGGAATGAACCCAGAAAAACCAGCATAAAGAAAACCAGACATGGAATAGAAAACCAGAAAAACTAAACAAGAATTGTAAAAAGAGTACTGGATACCGGAAGCCAAGGCAAGACATCTTCGCAGAACAGAGCAGGATGTGACAGTTGGAATACTGACCTGCGGCCCAGTCTCTGAAGGTAGGGGATCATGCTCTGCTTCAGTATGTCACAGTACATTATTATTATTATTTTATTATTTATATAGCGCCAACAAATTCCGTAGCGCTGTACAATGGGTGGACTAACAGACACATAATTGAGATCAGACCACTGACGTACAGGAACAGAGGGGGTTGAGGACCCTGCTAGATGAGCTTATATGTTAGAGGGAGTGGGGTATAGTGACACAAAGGGTTAAAGTAGGGGAATTAAATAGTTTGTTACAGAAGGGTTTATTGAGTGCTTGGTAGGTCATTTTTGACAGGTGCAGGAACGGAGTCATGGGGGATGAGAAACCTGCTGACAGTTTAATTGATACGCTTTAATGAAGAAGTGAGTTTTCAAAGATTTTTTGAAGGAGTGGAGGCTGGCTGAAAGTCTGATTGAGGAGGGAAGGGAGTTCCACAGAAAAGGTGCAGCCCTGGAGAAGTCTTGAAGGCGAGCATCAGAAGTGGGGCTCCGGGCAGAGGATAGGCGTAGGTCTTGGGCGGAGCGCAGGGGTCTCGACGGGACATACTTGTGTATGAGGGAGGATAGGTATGTTGGAGCAGCATTATGTAGGGATTTGTAAACAAGCACCAGAATTTTGAATTGGGCCCTATATCTAACTAGAAGCCAATGCAGGGACTGACAGAGCGTGGAGGCGTGGGAGGTGCGACCGGACAGGAAAATAAGCCTCGCAGCCGCATTCATTATAGATTGCAGTGGTGCAAGCTGGGAACATGTAAGACCGGTGAGAAGGGGATTGCAATAGTCAAGGCGAGAGAGAACAACAGCATGAACCAGTACCTTAGCCGCGTCCGGCGTTAGATATGGGCGGATGCGCGCTATGTTCTTGAGTTGGAAGCGACAGGATTTGGCTATCGATTGAACATGGGGAGTAAAAGAGAGATCAGAATCAAAAAGAACCCCTAGGCAGCGAGCCTGGGAGGTAGAGGTGATAGTAGCGCCGTTGACTTGGATGGCGACAGACACAGGAGTAGCAGCACTTGAGGGAGGAAAAACTAGAAGTTCTGTTTTGGACAGGTTGAGTTTAAGGAAGTGAGCAGCCATCCAGTTGGAAATAGCAGAGAGGCAGTCAGAAACACGAGTCAAGGTGGGCGGAGAGAGATCAGGGGAGGACAGGTAGATTTGCGTGTCATCTGCATATAAATGGTATTGGATGCCAAAGGAGCTGATGAGTTTACCAAGGGAGGCAGTATAGATAGAGAACAGTAGGGGGCCGAGGACAGAACCTTGGGGGACGCCGACAGAGAGGGGTTGGGGAGAAGAGGCAGAGCCAGAGAAAGAAACACTGAAAGAGCGCTGGGAGAGGTAGGAGGAGCACCAGGAGAGAGCAGTATCCCGTAGACCAAAGTTACAGAGAATGTGAAGAAGCTGTTGATGATCAACAGTGTCAAAGCCGGCAGAAAGATCAAGGAGGATTAGGATAGAGTATTGGCCGCGAGATTTAGCAGCAATTAAATCGTTGGATACTTTGGTCACAACAGTTTCGACAGAGTGACCAGCGCGGAATCCAGACTGAAGGGGGTCAAGCAGAGAGTTGGATTTGAGAAAGTCTGTCAATCTGGTGTAGACAACTCTCTCGAGGATCTTGGAGGCAAATGGCAGTAGCAAGATAGGGCGGTAGTTGGATGGGGAGTTGGGATCAAGGTTGGGCTTTTTCAGAATTGGGGTTACGGTTGCATGTTTGAAGGCAGAGGGAAATGTGCCAGAGGAAAGGGAGAGATTGAAAATGTTAGCGAGAGGAAGAGCAAGAGAGGGAGACAAAGTGCGGATGAGATGCGAGGGAATAGGATCGAGGGAGCAGGTGGTGGGGCGGGAGGACAGGAGCAGAGCAGAAACCTCTTGTGCTGTAGCAGGTGCAAATGAGCTTAGGATGGCAGGGGGAGTGGGGTTGGGTGATGTATTGATACTGGTTGGAGAAAGATTAGAGATCTCTTTCCTGATTGTAGAGATCTTCTCAGTGAAATGAGATGCAAAGTTTGTGGCGGACAAGGTGGTGGAAGGAGGGGGAGTCACAGGGCGAAGAAGTGCATCAAAAGTGAAACAGGTGTTTGGGTTGGTGGGACAGTGTGCTTATGAGTGTGTTGAAGTAGCTTACTTTTGCAGAGGAAAGAGCCATGCTGTAGGAGCGCAGCATAAATTTATAGTGGACAAAGTCAGATGCAAAGTGAGACTTTCTCCAGCAGCGTTCAGCAGTTCTGGAACATTTTTGGAGGAAACGGGTCAGCTTGGTGTGCCAGGGTTGTAGTTGGGGGCGCTTGCTGCGTTTAACTGTAGGAGGTGCCATGATGTCAAGTTGAGAGGAGAGAGTGGAGTTGTAGAGTGAGGTTGCAGAGTTAGGGCAGTTGTGATTTGAGATGGGTAAAAGGAGTGTTTGGAGTTTAGTGGAGAAGTGCTGGAGATCGAGTTGAGGTTTCTGCGAGGTTGGAGAGTGGATGGTGGTGAGATTTTGGTATGGGGTATGCAGATGTTAAATGTTAGCAGATGGTGGTCAGACAAAGGAAATGGAACAGTGGCGAGATCAGAGGTGGTACAGAGATTGGTGAAGATGAGGTCAAGAGTGTTTCCTGCAGTGTGAGTTGCTGAGGAAGAAATCTGTGTGAGTCCAAAGGAGGAGGTTACAGAGAGCAGACGAGAGGCATCAGGGCAGTTGAGCTTGTTGATAGGGATATTGAAGTCCCCAAGTATGAGAGAGGGAGTGCTAGAGGAAAGAAAGTGGGGTAACCAGGAGGAAAAGTGTTCAATGAATAGTTTAGGGTGACTGGGGGGGCGATAGATGATGGCAATTCTTAAAGGAGTGGGCTTAAAAAGGCGCACAGTGTGAACTTCAAAGGAAGTAAAGGATAGGGCAGGGGCAGGGGGGATAGGTTGAAAGGTACATTGAGGGGAGAGAAGGATGCCTACACCACCTCCTTTACAGTCGAGTCTAGGAGTATGGGAGAACTGTAGACCACCGAAACATAAAGAAGCAGGAGTAGCGGTATCGGATGGGGAAAGCCAGGTCTCAGTGAGTGCCAGTATTGTGAGTGAGTTAGAGATGAGGAGGTCATGTATAGCTGTAGATTTGATATTACTACAACAAACAAGCCTAGGCCATCTTTATGTAGAGCAACAATTATTTTTTTAAGATCCTCAGAGATTTCTTTGCCATGAGGTGCCATGTTGAACTTCCAGTGCCCAGTATGAGAGAGTGTGGGAGCGATAACACAAAATTTAACACACCGGCTCCCCATTCACACCTGAGACCTTGTAACACTAATGAGTCACATGACACCGGGGAGGGAAAATGGCTAATTGGGCCCAATTTGGACATTTCCACTTAGGGCGTGTACTCACTTTTGTTGCCAACGGTTTAGACATTAATGGCTGTGTGTTGAGTTTTTTTGAGGGGACAGCAAATTTACACTGTTATACAGGCTGTACACTTGCTACTTTAATCCTTAGCAGAGTGTCATTTCTTCAGTGTTGTCACATGAAAAGATATAATAAAATATTTACAAAAATGTGAGGGGTGTATTCCCTTTTGTGAGATACTGTATGTATGTATATATATATATATATATATATATATATATATTGTGCATAACAATGTGTGCGCATATGTGTAACAGTGTGTGTAGATGTATGTAAAAGTATGTTTGTGTATGTAACAGTGTGTATATATATATATATCTTTTTTGTTTTGTTTAATTGTGTGCTTGTCTAACACTGTGATTGTGTATATGTGTAACTGTGTGTGTATATGTATAACATAATGTATGTGCAACAGTGTGTGTATGCGAAAGTGTGCATATTTATGTGTAACTGTGTGTGTATATGTAACAGTGTGGGTGTGTATTGATGTGTAACTGCTGGGAGGAAGGGAGTTAAAATAAGGATGTTGTAATGTCAGGGATATAGAATGAGGGTGTGAGACAGAGCAATACTGACACAACAGAGGACAGGTGTGTCACCTCCTATGTTTAATTATAGAGCCCACAGTCACTAAGCACAGGAGACCTAACTACAACCATTATTGAATTTAAGCCCATCCCCTCCCCCCAACTTACTTTCTTAGCAATTTGTCAGCAATAGCTGCCTAATAGCTAGTTTTAATAACAGTGAACAGGTCTGGTTGTTCACAGTTTAGTAGATGTGCCTCCACCCATGGCATGACCAGAATTGACTTTAGTAAATATGAGAACTGTCAATCTGGAATTTGGCATTTTCACTGAATTTTGTCCACCCGGTATTTAGTGAATAGAACAGAGAGAGTGAGAGCGTGAGTGAGGAAAAGCCCAAGGTAGAGAAGTGAAAATAGGTGAGTGTGTGTGGGAGAGAGAGAGTAAGAGATACACAGAAAGTGAGTTTGTGGGAGACAGTGACAAACGGAGAGAGAGAGTAAGACACTAACAGAGAGACAGAGTGTGTGGCAGAGAGAGATTGGGTGTGTAAGAGAGCTAGACAGACAGAGAGAGAGAGACAGTGTTTGGCAGAGAGAGATTGGGTGTGTTGGAGAGCTAGCCAGAGAGACAGTCAGTGTGTGGCAGAGAGAGATTGGGTGTGTAGGAGAGCTAGACAGAGACAGAGAGAGAGAGATTGCCAGGGAGAATGTGAATGTGGGACAGAGAGTGTGTGTTCTATCTATCACAGCATCTCCCAGTGCTTTCAGTTCCCCACTTCCTGTTTCTCTGTGTATCATGTGACCTGGGTAGCACATGGTTCCTGTGACCTCACAGCTCCTATAGCTGGAGGAGAACTAGCTGTTTCCTTGATAACTTTGTTAGTATTTATTTTACTAGAGATTGCTATTAGTAATATGAGAAAGATGGATGTCGTGTGTCAGCAGCTGGTGCTCAGCAAGTCCTTACTGACTCTATGTGATAGTGGCTACCGCATGGCCACCAGGAGCCTTTCTTCAGTCAGAGCCAGAAACCCATTGCCATGGTAAGTTACCATTCCATGTCAGGAACTCATACTTCATGTCTGAATAGTGTAATAGGGAGTGAGCTAGCTGCCAAAACCATGGGGGTAGACGGATGCCCGTTTGGATCCCATAAAACATATGATATCTGCTCTGTGTCAATGCAAAGTCATTTAAGAAATTACCTTTTTTTTTTTTTTGGTAATTGTTGCTGAAATTTAAAACACTTGATGCTGTCATAGGGAACAAAATACGTTAAAATAAGAAATTAAATTTTTTTAATCAAAATTATTTGTTTAAGAACTCACACTGTCTAAATACTCTGTCCCTACAATATATTAAGAAATTACACTAAAGTATGGAAAGTAAATATTGCTATATGATGAGGAAGTAAATAAGGGAAAACAAATGTGTATTCCCAAGGCTATAGATCCCCGGTGGCTGTTTAGGTGACCGACACCCACCTGCAGGGAGAAAAAATCCAACCCCAAAGAAATGAAGTTGCTATGGTGCCCAAAGGTCCCTGGCACTTTCTTACCTGAAGGGGTTAAACCGTTATCGAAGCTGGAGAGCAACGTTTGGGGTTAAACCATTATACGGTTTAGCCCCAAACATTGATCTCCAGTGCCATATCTCTCTTTTCCCAGCGACATACAGCTTCTTCGTTTGAGCTTTAGGAAGTGTGGAGTTCTGCTGGGCACGGGTGCCACTTATTTGCTAAGCCAATCAGTAGCTTTCCATTCATAACAAAGGTACGTGCCAGAGTTAGGAAGAATACAGTTATGGGAAACATACAGAAAATGTGGGTAAAAAAAAAAGAAAATAATAAATAATTTAACCCCTTAAGGCCAAACTTAATTTTTTTAGTTTTCACTTAAAGGGACACTATAGTCACCAGAACAATGACAACTTAATGTAGTTGTTCTGGTGTGTATAGTGTGTCCCTGCAGGCATTTTAATGTAAGTACTGCCTTGTCATATAAAGGCAGTGTTTACATTATAGCCTAAGGACACGTCCAGTGGTAGTCACTCAGAGGACACTAGATGTGCTTCCTGGGTCAATGCTGCACAATGTGCAGCACTGACGTTCAGCATCTCCACACCCTGCATGGAGGGGCTGAACGTTCCTTTATTAATTCAATGCATCTTTATGATGAGATGCTGATTGGCGCAGCATGGCTTTTTGCCACGCATGCGCAAAAGCACACCTTTTAATTTGCTGACAGGGGGGACAGCAATCTAAATATCGGTATTAGAACTATAGTACTATTCCTGACACTATAGTGTTCCTTTTATCCTAACCCATCCCCTAATTTTATGACTAACCCTAATTTTAACCTTAATCATAATCTCTATCCTAACCCTACAAATAGTGTTAGAACTATTCTCTCTGCTGATTTCAATCCTAAAATTATTGCTAAACCCACCTTAAATGTAAACTTAATTATACACGGAAAACTAAACCTAATATTTATTCTAAACCTAATGTTAATCCCTAATTTAATCCTAATCCCTAAATTTTCCCTCTGCCAATATCAGTAATTATATTAGCAAATGGGATTTTGAGCAAAAACAGAGTGGTATGTTGCTGACATCTACTGGCTATTTTCAGTATGGCAGCTTTATATCTTTAACATTGAATATAGCATGCCAAATGCATTTTGATCGGTGTTGGGCAATTGAGAAAGTGCAAACACTGATCAAAAATGCCACTGGGCCCAGACCCAGGGTGTCTTCCAATCATCACATCCAATGAGAGAGTCACTGTGGCTGAGCTTGATTATTTTTAAAGGACTATGTGCAGTGCTGCCTTTCAACATTGCATGCAACTCATCAAAAACTCTGAGACCACTAAAAATGGCCCCAGCTGACAGAGGGGAGTCTCGGGTATCAATGATTCCTGGTTTTCCTGATGTGAGCATGGATTTTACCCTGCTCATACTGCATTGATGTCTATAGGGATTTAAATCCCCATTGAAAGATCTGCATGCCGATCTCAATTGACCTCTGAATGCAGGTCACCTGTCAGTTTGAAGCAGCATTTGTTTCAGCTCCTGTCATTAACATGGTGACAGGTGGCACTCAGGAGTGTAACTTCCACTGATGTTTGGTAGGCCATACACTGTGGAGAACAAGTGCACAGATTATGTTATATCTCAAATGTAAACACTTTATTATTATTATTAATTGTAATAATCCCTGTTTACCTTGTTACTTCAGGTATCGAACAAGGTTGGATATAAAGAACGGAGACAGGAAGCCTCGCTTTACCCCACAGGACAGTAAAGTCAGCATTTTGAGGAACCCTGGAGTTGTCAATGTTACAAATCAGACAAGGGAGAAACTTTGTGAACTTGTTGCTCAAAATGTTGTTTACTCGAAAGGTAGGCTGTCACACATGGGAAGGTTATTCTTTTCAGGAAAAAATATAATTTTTGCATCTATATACACATGGAAAACGACAGTTGGTGAATTGTTCCTAGATCAGCGATACCAAACCCAGGCTTTAAGGCACACCAACATTCCAGAATTTAGATATTTCCCAGAACCTGGACATTGGGGTTCATTGAGGACTTAATTAACATTGCTCTGGTAATGGTAAAATCTCCGTGAGGAAAGCATTGAAAGAAGTGGTCTGGGTGACTTTAGTGGTCCTTTGAAACTCTTCAAGCAACCTTTTCTGTCCTTTTCCTTTAAAGACCTGTAAAGAAAGACATTCAGAGCTAAGAATGTTTGCATTATTTTTTGACACATTAATATTTATTGTATTCTGTCTTTCAGGTCCTCTTGTGGCTGTGAACAAACCGCAAGGATTGTCTGTTTCAGGTATGAATAGTTACAATGTGTGGCCAACAGGTCTAGTCATAAATCCAGATTAAACTTCTCGCTCCCATACACCACAAATGGTTTCTGTACCCTTATTTTCATATTGGTGTATGTTTTGTAAACTGTTATATCCAACCTATTGAGAAAGAGAGAGAGAGTAAATGACATGAAAGAAAACATGAATGTGTTCTCTCAGTGAGCATGAATAAATGCATAATTCTGATTAATTTTCATAAGAAAAAAAATGTGTCATATATGATGTTTCTTACAAAAATGCCATACAGTGTATGGCTTTCTCTAGGTGAACCCATGCAATATCTACAGAATGGCCATTGCTACATTTATTTAAGAAAAAATAATACTTTGCATTTTGTCTACCACTTAAAGGAGCACTCTGGACCCCAAAAGCACTTTAGCTAGATGAAATGCTTTATATGTGAAGAATGTGTCCTATTTTTTTCATTTTGCAAAAATTGTAGATTTAAAAAAAAAAAAAGTACTTTTATTAATTAACCTGGTTACACTGCCCCTTGCTATCAGTCAGATAACTGGTGCTGTCACTTAAAAAATAATTTTATTAGCTCAATGGAGCTAAACTTAAAAGGGAGCAATTGCCCAGAGCACCTGCCTATCAGAGATTTCTTATTCAACTGCTTTAGGAAGTCTGTGATTGGACAGCCACAGAAAGTGTGGATGGGGTTAGAAGAAGAGGTCTTCAAAATAGTAGAGAATTAAGCAATGAGACTGCATGGGGCTTGATCTATACACCAAAAACACTTCATTAAACCAAAGTTGTATTGGTGCTTAGTACCTGTCTAGGAGAACTATAACACCATGTTTACCTATTCATATTTTCAGGAATTCCAGAAGAGGTTTCACTGTCATCGCTACTTCCGGAGCTTCAGCAGCATTTGGGAATCCGTTCTGCTACACCACTACACGTGGTGAAAGCTGCCCCAAAGTATGAATATATTCGTTTCCTGCTATTTCTTAGCTCTGCAGCACTGATTATTGGAAGGGATGTGCACATTAAAGGGGAATTATGCTATACTTTAATTTCATTGATACCAATTTATAAATGTGTTCTAACATATGTTTTTGCATATAAAATGTGATATTTTATTATTATTTTTATACATGCTTTTTTTCCATGTAAAAAGTAACTCATCTTGGCTCTTTCAGTTTGGTAAAACGATCATGCCCTTATGTTGCTGCACTGTATTAATTAGTGGTAAATAATGAAATACTCAAGCAGTAAATCCCCTGTCCACCAATTTGAGTAGTTTTATTCTATGGGGAAATGAGTCGCAAAGTACTTTGTGTAGGAGTACTATTCACATTTAAGAACAGTTTCCAATTGTGAGGTCCAGGTCACAAAATAAGGTGGGTGCATTACTCAGTTCTAACATTGTTCACCCTTCTCCTCCTTGGCAGTGTGTATTACAGACAAGCTGCCACTGCCTGGCATCTGAAGCAAATAACAAATGTCTCAGAGAAGCTTGGGAAAATTATGCATGTGGTACATTTCACCCAAAGTGTAGCAAAGAGGAAAATGTGTTTCCATTTCCCTCTAGCACTTGTCTCTCCCATGTAACTGATTTGAAAGTGAGGTGAGTAAAAGACGCTGTCACCAAAAAAAGGTGCCAATTCCTCTTTTAAATGTGATATGTATTTACTTTTATAAAGAGTTCTAGTACTAGGTTTCTACATGTGCCTCTTTCTATTGCTTGTCCCTCTGTTGTGGTAGTGGTTTGTCTTCCAGATACCGGAAATTACTGGTACGCCACATTCTACCTTGCCCTTATTGTGTGGAAAACAGAAGTCCATGCTTGTCACCAATATCCACAAATTTCTGTAAAACCTTTCAAGGGAAGGAAAGATTTTGGAGAAAATCTGCACGTGTAACAGTTTTGTTTCTCTGTACATAGGGAAAGTTCTGGATTGGTCCTTCTTTCTTCATGCCACACCACTTCAAAGCACATCGAGGAATTCTATGCAAAGTGTCGCAAGTCACAGACACCAGTGGTAACTTTTTGGTGAGTTTGTATACATATTTGTAGCCTATACACATAACCTTAGTGTAACCTGTTAGTAATTACTAAATAACATTCTAATTAGCTATTGGTATATAACATTGTAGTCTGTACATTTTGAACTCTATCCATCTATATATGTATAAACTCCTGCTACAGGTTATGTTCAGACAACTGACAAGACGAATGAGATGTTAAAGTCAGGGAGCAGAAGAAAGCCAAGAGCAAATAATATACTTTTACGTATCTGCCAGCATGCAAAGTATATAAAGTAATTAAAATATTCATAGTATTGACACAAAACTGTTCTAGATAGAAGACCGAGCTCAGAATGGATATGCAAAAGTCAATAATGAAATTAATTGGATTGTAGTTTTATCTTCTGTAATTTGTTTGGACTGTGTGTGTGTGTATATGTATATATGTATGTATGTGTATATATATATATAGCAACATTACACCTTCAGAATTTTTACTACCCTGATCTACCAGGTCATTCCCGACACCAATTTCCTTTTCTGTTTTCCAGTGCTGTCACTGTGGGCATTCCCAGCCCAATAGAGGGAGATGTCAATGTGGCATTGACAATTGAACAAATTGGAGAACATAAACTGGTATGAAGAAGAAAAAATTAACAAAGTTCTGATTTAGATATGTCATTATGTTGCAGAGTAATTACCTAATCCTAGGTGGAACTGATAGCAACTGATCCTATGTGGTTATGGGTTAAGATGGTCTGTGGAGAGAGGGGTGTCAGGATAACTAACCCATTCCTACACTTGTCCAATAAGGACATATGGTTTGGACATCCTTTTAGTGGTGGCTAACGCTAGCCTATTTTAAACTTGGGAGAGTAACATATTTCATTGTGAACTATTGAGATTATTGAATTGAGTTGCACTGTGTACCAACATGTATCATTTGTACCAACAGGTTGTGCCTGTTACACATCCAACCAAAGGGAGTCTGGAAAGAAGGGAGGTGAAGAATACAGAAACCCATTATAAAGTTCTTGATTCGGCAGACAGCTGTGCCTTGGTACAACTGCAGCCCATGTCTGGTACGTGTCTCTGCCACTTGGACCTGACACCCAGGGGATATTTTTTGTTCTAGCTGTGTGTGTGCTGAAATACATATCAATGCTACCCTATGTATTCTTGTACAAGCAGAGATGTGTGGTTATCTTCAATCTTATAATTTGATGAAGTTGGAAACATGCCCCAATTAGACTTGTCACAGAAAAAAAAATTATAGGCACTGTCTAAGTAGCGATGTGCTAAAAAAGTACTTACCTATTCACAACTGATTGGAAAATAGGGAAATATGTTTAAAGAGACACTCTAGGCTCCTGTCCAATGGTGATGTCTATAAAAAATGCCTGCTGAAAGTTGTCCATGCCAAACAAAATCTCTATTTAATGATACCACTGCCATCCCTGCTTGGGTCTCTTACTGCAAACAGACTTGAGAGAAACAGACCAGCGATTTGATTAGCTCTCTCAGTTCCACGTTGCCCTGCTTGAATTGCTCAATGTAAATGTCCATACCGGGGGTGTAACACTCCTGTGAAGGTAGACTAACCAAACTCTACATTTATTGACAATTTTGTCAGAATGATGCTCTGATTAAATATACATATCTGAAAGTGGACTTGTAATCAATACATTTTTATGCTTTAATGAGTTGAGTAAGCACCCTTCATGTGGCCCTCGTGGACATCACCATCTGCTTCAGGCAGGTACTGGCGCTTCAATGACAGGACTCGACTTCACTGCTGTACTCATGCACAAGAGTACATTATTGAGGTCTTTGGAGGATCCCTTCATAGACAGAGCCAATTTCATGCAGCCATCACTGGTAAAAGCTGTAGCTCTGCCCAGAGTCTGAGAAAAGTCAGGTAGAGGAAATATACAAAGACAAAGTCGTTCCTGCTTCGTCTCTGTATATCTATTGACTGGGTTGGAATTCCAGTGAATTTCCATTACAGTCAGAATGAGTATTTCATAAAAATTCTATCTTTATGCAAAACAAATTATTTTTTTCAGGAGGGAGGGGATGTGACAGTGCCGCTTTAAGCTGCAATGCCTTTCATGCCAGAGCAACTAACAAACCACACTTTAAAAAAAAAATGTGTTTATTAACAACAAGTAAACACTATAATTGGTTGAACACAGTGATGGAAAATAAAACAACTTTTACATAGTATTCCATCACAGCAGTGAAGCCTTTAATTATAGCCCTTTGGATCTGATAAAGAGGTGGTGCAAATGATTCATGTGTTGTATTGTATATTTTTCTGAGCACCACGCTGACAACAAGCTGTTCTGCAAAGATTATACAATAGTGTATTTAGTACAAAACATTGTCTACTGACCGTCAGCATTCCAGGTGTTTCCGAGTATTTCACTATGCTCAGCCAGTAGAATGTATGGCTAACTGTTCTGAAATCTATAGTATACAACAGCTGGAGTACTGACTCTTGGATTGCTGGAAGGACCTTGTTTTCATTTCCATACAATCTCCTTTCTATGCAGTTTTCCAATCACAGCTGTTGGTCCACATGACGTGGAAGTTGTGCAAGGTTCTCGGTGACCACACGTACTCTGCACGAGTTGGAAAAGTTCTGGGAGAGCCTATTTATGTACCTGTTGACATTGCTGTTCCTCAGACGCAGGTAACTCTTAATCTAGTGTTTTGCTCACCCTCTCTGCATGTGGAGCCACATGTTCACCATCTACTTAGTGCCAACCATTCAGCAACAGTATTTACCAACTCGTTGTTTAAAGTAGATGTTTGTTGGATAGAAACAGACATTTTCTAAAATGGCTCAACTGCAGTACTACTAGATCTGAATGTTGCGTCTAATCAGGGATTCTTCGGCAAGTCAAACCCATCATTGACGCAGTAATTATTAATTTTTTTATTGTCCATATGAGCGTGAGCTTATAAATCATTTCAGTGGACTCTATACTCATGTTTTATACAATTGTTTTGGATTATTGGTTGAGCTAAGTCAATCAACACATATTGGGGCAGGCTAGCTCATCGCTCGCCACCTTAAGTTAGACGGGTACACATTGAACATCATGCTATCACCAAGCCGTGACTAGTTTTCTCTATTGTCACATACTGATATTCTCGTGCCAGATCCAGGACACTTGGGAGGTATATGAAAGCCATGTTAACATTCACTAATTATGGCTGGATATAAAGCAGGTCTGAAAACTAAATTGGCATCTTTTAAAACCATTAATTAAATGTCCATAAGATTTGCATTCTTCTCTTTCCTGCCACAAGGTACTAGAAGAAAAGATTCTGCGCAAGATGCATTTTACACAGCAACAGATGCACCGCATGCCACTTCATCTCCACTTACATCAGCTACTCGTACCCAACCACGATGAGCAGAAGGGATCCATGCTTCTCACTGCACCTCCTCCACCTTTCTTCCTGAGGACAATCGAGCTCCTGGGACTAACCATGAAAGAGCCACTGTTATCTAGCCAAAATCTTCTAGCTCTTCCCAAAACTGAATCTTCAAGCTCTTCCCAAAACTGACAGTGGCACCAAAGAGTTTTTAATACTGACAGGAAATATATTTCCAAACCATCTCCAAGAACTTCCACAGTAAGGATCGTCTTGTGTCCGTTTGCCACTGCTTGGAATTGTGTTCTTCTGTGATGTGTATATATTAATAGTATGCCTTCTGTGTAAAGGTAAATGAAAAGCTAAAATGGACAGGTAAACAATAAATTATTTTTCTTATCGGTCTTGATGACCTTTAAATATGACAGTTGTTGTTTTTTAATAAAATTGTAATCAATTGTCTTCACAAATATTTACTGTTTGAATGCCAAGCTCTTCAATATCGGGTGCTATCCTATAAGGGATACACTCCATTTTTGCGAGTATGTCCTCAGAAATGTTGTAGTATGTATGTGATTAGATGGGCAGCTATGTTAATTTACACTGAATGACTGGCTATCTTCTGTAAATTACAGCCTATACACACTGCAGCATTGATACAGGAACACCTCTAGTGGCCGTCTGTGTTACTGCCACTTGAGGAGTAACTAACCAGTAATGTAAACACTGCCTTTTCTCTTAAAGCAGGGACAGGCTATAGACATCAGAAAAATTACATTAAGCAGTGGTGGTTCTGGTGACTATAGTGTCCCTTTAAAACCACTAGCCTAAAAAGTAAGTATTGCAGTTACCATGTTCATATAATTAAGGTAGGAACCACTGATCCTTGACTTGCCCCGAGTTCCTTTTTTTTTTTTCCCCCCCTAGATCAGATTCCTACTGGGTTGAGCACCCCACCCATCCACTATAAGTGCCCCTTTGGAGGTGACCACAGGATAAATTTGAGAAGAGTCTCTGGAAGCGATTTAAGCAGTATCTATTGCAGTTTGAATGTTAATCTCCTACGTTAAAATTAGTGTAGGGCCCACTGATAGAGTGTGAGACTGTGTAGTGGTGGGCTTAACACAATATGGCCATATGGTGGAACAGAATCTCCATATTTGTTTAAGATAGGTGATTTTAATTTGTCTTGTACATTTTAAAACTGTATAATTTAATTTTGTGAGTGTGCTGTTCTTTAATCTGTATTTTGTATATATGTTGGTCTTTATGGCAGCACCACTACAGAGAAATGTATGTTTTGGCTTTGCCCCCCCCTACCCCCAATTCCCTTTGTTCTGTCTTCTGTAAATTAACATGACCCCCCATGTAAGTTAAACAACAATTCCATATGCACATATTCATATACATGTACAGTGGTGAGGAAATGATAAACAATCCGTTCCACTCTAAATTGGACATGTCATTCAGAAAACCCATGGATCGCAATGTCTGCTTCATGTACATTTACGTATCCAGGCATTTTCTACAATGCTAGAGAAATTGTTTGTAAATTTGTGCATTAGCTGTATGTAGCTTGCTATCCGTTTTGAAATATGGGCAAATAAACTGTATAAATCCCTGCCAAATCATATTTTAAGGCTACAACCTGTGATCCACCTTTTCTCTCTTCTTCTTCCATGCCTTATCTTCCTGTAATTCTTCACCTTTTTAGCCTCTTCCTTGGGAGGTAAAGGAACACTATAGGGTCAGGAACACAAACATGTATTCCTGAGGTAGGCAACCTTTGGCACAATAGATGTTGTGGACTACATCCCCCATAATGCTCTTACACCCATAATGATGGCAAAGCATCATGGGAGATATAGTCAAAACTATCTGGGGTGCCAAAGGTTGCCTATGCCTGCCTATAGTGTTAAAACCACCATCCAGCCCCCCTGGACGCTCCTTGCCTCCCTAAATATAGTAACATTTTACTTGTATTCAAGTCTGCAGCTGCTGGCTCTGCCCCTGAATTGCCTCTGTCTGCTGACATCATCAGAAGTGGTGGTTTGAGCCAATCACAATGCTTCCCCATGGGATTGGCTGAGACTGTCACAGGGGCAGATCAGGGGCATAGCCAGCACAAGTCAAACACAGCGCCCTGGCCAATCAGCATCTCCTCACAGAGATGAATTGAATCTATGCATCTCTACGAGGAAAGTTCAGTGTCTGCATGCAGAGGATGGAGACACTGAATAGCAGTGCTGCCCCAGGAAGCACCTCTAGCAGCCATGTGAGGAGTGGCAAGTGGAGTTATCACTAGGCTGTAATGTAAACACTGCATTTTCTCTGAAAACATAGGGTTTACAACAAAAACCCTATGGGAACGATTGCACTCACCAGAACAAATGCAATAAGCTGTAGTTGTTCTGGTGACTACAGTGTCCCTTTAGATTAAAATTATAACATGACATATAAAGAAAGGAAAAAAATGCATGTACAAGTATGAGCAATGACAAAGTTGTCCAGCAATATATTTATTCACATTTGGCTTATTTTCACATTCCAGTAGGTAGTAATATATCAGTGCTACATATTGTGTAAACAAAAACAATAAAACCTGAGGTTTTTCTCCAATTCTGATTAGCCTCCTCTCACCAATGAGACTAATTAAGGGGTTTTCACTAACTTGGGATTTGTTAGGAATTCAAAGTGAATTTCAACTGACAAAAGTAGCTGAATTGTAAGTAAAGTGGACTTGGAAAACGTTTCCATTTTGACTATTTTTGCCTCTAAGGGAACATCCAGGCCCCATAACAGCTTCATCAGAATGAAGGTCACTGGTGTCAGTTTACTTTTATGAACCATTTAGTTTCTATTCACAAACATTTGTCCAGTGTCGTTTTGCTCAGCCCCTCTCCTTCTGATTCTTCAAACACAAAGCCTTGGACAAAACCACTTGGGTAACATACATATTTTTCTCAAGCCGCTTTTATGAATAGGGATTCACTGGTTGGTGTAGAGCATCAGCTGACCCTCAGCCATTCAGCCCTGCATGTCCACAGCAGTCGAAGACTTCCAGATTAAAGAATCTCAGAAAAAGTGGAAGAATAGGGCATACTTTTGGGTTAAACCATTCATAAATGGACTAACCCCTGAAGGTAAACCGGTCCTAGGAACCTCTTTGCACCATAACAACTTCATTCCAAAGAGGGAATTTATTGGGCAGACTAGATGGGCCGAATGGTTCTTATCTGCTGTCACATTCTATGTTTCTATGTTCTTTTTAATTTTGAAATTCACTTTGAATTGCCAACAATTCCCACTTTGGTGACTAACCCTGTAATTGTGTTTTAGCAGCATCTTATAGAAGATTAGACAGTCTTAGAGCATACATTTTTGTATTTCAAAGAAAATAAAGCTGAAATATATGAAAGCAAACATTTATATACATTATGGCTAGGGATCGACCGATATTGATTTTTTTAGAGCCGATACCGATATTCTGTGAACTTTCAGGCCGATAGCCGATATAATTTGCTGATATTCTGTACATTTACCATTTTGGAAAATAAAAACTATTTCTAAAGGTAAATGCACAAAATATACATGCCACATGTAGTGGATGCAGTGTGACAGGGGAACTGTGTGTGTTTGTGTAGTGTGTGTAGTGGATGCAGTGTGTGTCTTTGTGTAGTGGATGCAGTGTGTGTTTGTGTAGTGTGTGGGTTGTGGATGCAGTGTGTGTGTTTGTGTAGTGTGTGTGGAGGATGCAATGTGTGTTTGTGTAGTGGATGCAGTGTGTATTTGTTTAGTGTGTGTAGTGGATGCAGTATGTATTAGTGTAGTGTGTATATAATGAAAGCAGAGTGTTTGTGTAGTGTGTGGGTAGTGTGCGTAAAGTGAATGCTGTATATACTAAATGCAAAGTGTAGTGTGTATATAATGAAAGCAGAGTGTTTGTGTAGTGTGTGGGTAGTGTGCGTAAAGTGAATGCTGTATATACTAAATGCAAAGTGTGTGTGTATATAATGAATGCAGAGTGTGTGTGTATTTGTGTAGTGTGTGTATAGTGAATGTAGTGTGTTTATATAATGCAGTGTGTGTGTGTTTGTATAGTGTGTATATGATGCAGTGTGTTTGTGTAGTGTGCATTATATAAACACACTACGCAAATACACTGCATTATATACACACACTATGCAAACACACTGCATTATATACACACACTACACACACAAACACTGCATTATATAAACACTACACAAACACACACACTGCATTATATACACACTACACAAACACACACTGCACAAACACACTACACAAACACACACTGAATTATATAAACACACTACACAAATACACTGCATTATATACACACACTACACAAACTGCATTATATACACAGTGTGTTTGTATAGTGTGTGTGTATATAATGCAGTTTGTGTGTGTTTGTATAGTGTGTGTATATAATGCAGTTTGTGTGTGTGTTGTATAGTGTGTGTATATAGTGCAGTGTATTTGTGTGCATTGTATACAAACACACACTATACAAACACACACTGCATTATATACACACTGTGTTTGTGTAGTGTGTGTGTATATAATGGAGTGTGTGAGGGGGAATTTTTTATTAAATTATTATTTTTTTTATATTTAATTATTATTTATTTTTGTTGTCCCCCCTCCCTGCTTGTTGCCTGGCCAGGGAGGGGGGATATAGCAGTCCCTGGTGGTCCAGTGGCATTGGCTGAGCTCTGGGGGGAGCGGGCATCAAGCGCTTACTCACCTCCCAGCAGCTCCTCCAGCTCCCCAGTGCAACTCTCGCGGCCAGCGTGTCGCGCGGAGCGTTGCCATGGTGACCAATGGCAACGCTCTGACGGCCGCGGGTCTCGCGAGAGTTGCACTGGGGAGCTGGAGGAGCTGCTGGGAGGTGAGTAAGCGCTTGATGCCCGCTCGCCCCAGGACCGCTGGGCTTGTAATGAGCCCGGCGGTCCTAGGAGATATTATCGGCAATATCGGTATCTGAATTGGCCGATACCGATATTGCCGAAAATACCGAATATCGGCCGATTATATCGGTAAAACCGATAATCGGTTGATCCCTAATTATGGCCACTTGTTGTAATCGTACATGGGACAGAGTTGTGAGTTTATAGCAGTGTAATAAGTAAATAGGTGGTATTTTAAGTACTCCATATACATCGCAAAGGGGTGTAAAGATTCCTGGAATTATATGTGGGATAAGGTCGTCTATTCTATGAATTTCTTAACATGAAACCACATAGACTGTTTAAAGCATGGGTCCTCAAACTCCGGCCCCCGAGATGTTGCTGAACTACAACTCCCATGATTCTCTGGCTATCTACGTAATTCAAAGAATCATGGGAGTTGTAGTTCAGCAATATCTGGGGGGCCGGAGTTTGAGGACCCATGGTTTAAAGGTACTCTTCAGTGCCAGGAAAACAATCTGTCTTCCTGGCACTGCAGGTCCCCTCTCCCTCCCACCCCCCATCCCAGGTTGCTGAAGGGGTTAAACCCCTTCAGTGACTTACCTGTATCCAGCGCGATTGTCCCTCGGCGCTGGTTCAGGGTCCGCCCATGCTCCTCCCCCACCCACGCTCCTCACTCCTCAACATCATCCGACGGGGGAGACCTATTGTGCATGCGCTGCGGCGGGGGAGACCTAATGCGCACGCGCATTAGACCTTCCCATAGGAAAGCATTGAAAGATGCTTTCCTATGTGCGTTTCAGCGACGCTGGAGGTCCTCACACAGTGTGAGGACATCGAGCGACGCTGTAGCACAGAAAACCTGTGCTGTAAACCAGGAAGTGCCCTCTAGTGGCTGTCTAGTAGACAGCCACTAGAGGAGGAGTTAACCCTGCAATGTAAATATTGCCGTTTATGAAAACTGCAATATTTACAGTTGCAGGGTTAAGGGTTAGTGGGAGTTGGCTGGTCTGGGTGCCTGGAGTGTCCTTTTAAGGTTCTACCATAACTTCAAATGTATCAATTACATCTTCTCTGTAACAGAAAATATTACCTTGGTGCAATTATTCTGCAACTGGAAGACTGATCTAAGTATGTTTAATGTTTTTCTCTGCTAAAGAAAACTTCTAATTCGTAACATACAGCTCAGGGTTACTCCCTAAACTGGAATATTCTTCCAAGTTTTAGGTAAAATAGCTGGACTGGAATTCTTAGTTAAGTGATTGACACTTTCTGGGATTCATCAGGAATTGATAGAAACTTGAAAAACATAAAAAGAAAGAACGTTGATCCTTCACAAAACTAAAATGTCCCAATGCAGTTTATTGATTTGCATAGTGGAGAGAGCACCAGTCTAATATCGCACGTAGACTTGTTTTGATTGGGATTCTACAATCTTTTGCTGAAGTTCAGATCAGCAGGTTTGCAAACATTGCTGTACCCTGTGCTGAGAGCGAATTAAGTCCATGAAACTTGCTGAGAGTGGTTCCTTTAGACATCTGTAAACGAATGGCTTTTGCAGGCTGTCTGCTGCTTTTGGAACAATTGCATATAGCATGGAGGCTTGTCAGTGGCATTGGTCCTTTGCAGAACACGCAAGGCATTTTGCAAGGGTCAAGGAAACCTGGAGATGAATGGAAGGGAACAAGGTTTAGCAGAAATTGACAAGTTAAACATTGAATTACAGCGGATTGGACTATTGGGACCAAATCTCTGCACTCTACACTCAATGATATAGAAAATCATGGTAATTCTAATACATTGTGGGCAGGAACACAGTGACTTGGGACCTGCTTGCACCATAACCTGTGCAAGGAGCATACGCGGCTATAGAGCAGGAAGTGACCCTTTAAGGCATTCAGCTCCCATTGGATAAGGTGAGTGTAGTGCACACCATATGTTGGAGATGTCTGAGGGCACAAACCTGTGAGATTGCCAGCACTCATTCTTCATCTCATAATCATAGACTGCCAGTGACTCCCAAGATTCTCCCCCCCCCCCAAATAATATACACTTGTGTGTATATATATATATATATATATATATATACGGGTGCACACACATACTCAGACACACATACACTCACAGAAGACACACAGACACACACAAATTATATTTTTTAAATAAGAAAATGTCCACCCAGCCTCCCTACCTGGAGAGCTGGCGTGGACCTGTCCCTGGGGTCCAATGGGTCGTGTGCCTGTCTCCATATCAGAAGCGGTGAGGGAGCTGTGTTCTCTCTGCTCCCTCTCACCGCGCGGACTGTCTGCTGATGTCAGGAGCCAGAATATGATGTCATATTCTGGCTCCCGGCATCAGCAAATGGCGCGCGCAGCGACAGGGAGCAGAGAGAACACATTTCCTTTGCCGCGTCTGATATGGAGACAGGCGCCCGCTGGGGGGGTCCATCAAGTGGCCAACAGGCCACCTCTTGGGCTCCCCCATGACAGGGGGAACATGGGGCGGCATTTGGGGGCAGCATTTTTTTGCCGCCCCCTGAGTGCCTGCAGCAACAGCGGGAACGGCGTTCCTGTTAAAAAAAAAAAAAAAAGTGCAGGAAACACCATTCCCATGCGTTCCTGCAGGACTCGAGCCCTGAGACAAATGTGTTCTCTTATTACACTACTAGTTTCTGAGACATAGCTGGCCTCAAACACAGTAGTACTTGACATACTACTTGTGATGTTCTCACACATAACTTTATTATTATTATTATTTATATAGCGCCAACACATTCCACAGCACCTTACAATGGGTGCACTAACAAACATGTAATTGTAACCAGATGAGTTGGATGCACAGGAACAGAGAAAGCCAAAGGAGCTACTACTTATGCATTTTTTTTTTTTTATTTAGTTTTAATTTTGTTTCTTTTTTTTTTTTTCTCACAGAATGCAATTTACCTGTTCTTGTTGCTTTCTTGAGCATATGTAATTCTCCCAAGTCAAGGCTGGTGATTTTGAAATCTATGCTCCGTCCTTGACGCAGTCTTGTTGCGTGTTTATGAGTTGGAGGCTTCTCTGACCGGGATAGTTTTGGAGCTGTGAATAAGCTTTGCGGCACACTAGTTACGCCACTCTTCAGTAACTTAATGCCATGAGTCAATGACTTTTCAGCCCTGAGCTCTACTGCAAAACTCGTAGGTAGTCTTAAAACCTCCGTACATTCAGAGACAACTTTGTCCGCCGTGGCTTTATTTTCTTTCCCTGCTGCCGTGGTCTTTGGCCTATTTAGAGTATGGAACCTTCTTTTGCTGCTTGACTTTGATGTTGAAGTGGTCCCAGATGTAACTACATTCTTCAGTTGTATATCAGCTGGTGAACCTTTTGCTTGGACAGTAGAAACTGACCTCTGGTTGGCTTGAAGATTGATCTCTATATTGATAATACTATTACGCCGTCTTGGTGGTCGGGGCTTTTTAACAGTGGATCCTTCCACTAACAGGTTTATACCAATGTACTGAGGGACATCTACGGCAGCCTGTAAAAATGCAAACACATTTGCACAATCTAATATAATAAAGCATTTTTATAAAGCCCAGAATTATGTAGAATTTACAAGGGAATTGCTTATTTTAGATTTAAATAGAAAAGCTGGGAACATGGCTGGGTTGGAGATTCTCCAGATCTGCTGTTTTGTCTTTTTTTGGGGCAGTTTTGGCTTAAAATTTGCAATTCTCTTGTTAATAATATATATATATATATATATATATATATGTATATATATATCTAAATACGATTCTATACATAATCAGATTGTCTGTGATTTCACTTAGCATAACCCGTACCTGCTTATAAATAAGATCAAAGGAGCCCACGTCACAATTTCGATCGTGCTTGCGATCTATGACAATACGCAATGTGTCCTCCTGCACACCAGCGCAGAGTCTGTTTGTCACAGCCGTCGATTGCACCATAGTCGGGCTGGCATTAATCTCTATCAACCACGGCTGAAAGTTTTCCCCGAACATGAAATCTGCTCCATATAACTCAAAACTGCTCTTCCGGAATTCAACCACATCTTGGGTGCTCTGCATGGCGTGGATAATGGCTGCCTTCATTCCGGGCACGATCACCTCTGCCCAAGCATTGCCTGCTCCTATTTTCTGTAGATGCACCTGGAACTCATCACTTGACCACATGTTGTCAGCTGGCACCTGCGAGTGACGTGCCTGTGAGTTCTCAAAATACTTTTGTACAGAATTGTTGCATAAATGAATAGAGCTGTAGGAACAAGGGAAGGCGTTAGTGTGGTTAGTTTTGTAAATTGCAACACAGCAAACCTAAATAAAAATAGATGTGATTAAAATGATAGGCACCATAACTATGACCGCATGCTGTGTTGGTTATGTTGCCAGGTATCGCCGAGTACAGACACAATTTCCTGGGTCCCATGCACACCTTTGGCCCAGCATCCAGGCCTGGTTCAAGCTGTACTGATTGTCCTTTCAGGTATTTTATTTGAACATCAACTTTTGGTCTCCCATTAAGCCGCAAAAAATTGATTTGTTTGTAAAGAGCTTATTGGAAGCCATAGTGTTGCTTTGTCGCTGTTCAAATAAAGGAAACCTCTGAAAGGACAAGCAGGTTGTCGTGCCTGGTTTTCTGTTCATCTTACTGCATTCAGGAGTGTGACTGCAGGAACTCTTGTATTTACTAAACATTTAAACATTTTTAGCAAACTAAATCTATCACTCACTCATGACTAGTGCTATCCTGATGTGTTCTTTCCTTCTATAGCAAGTATAAAACAAACAATATAAAAAAAAATCATCATTAAACAGTGTCCCCCTTAATCCACCCCAGACCTACGTATCTAGATTTTCCAATGAGAATGGCTGCGATGAGAATCTTAAGTAGCATTCACGATAAAACCAGATAGTTAAAGGGTTCCAGTCCGTAACCAAGAACCACTGGCGTATGTCGAACTTGGTGCCATAAATGAGCAGGGGTCGCTCGATGTATTTCTGAACCACCCATTTTCCATCTTTGACAATGACTGGATCGCAGTTCACTAACTTTACAATTTCTTCCAAGCGATCCATGCAGATTATACCTGGACAGGAATGATTGAAACCGAGTTAGTAAAATGCCACAGAATGTAAATTCAGTAAAGAAATCCCAGATAACATCAGCTGAGACAGAAAAACGAGCAGAGACAGTTGGAAACCATTTTGAGTAGTTACTGAGGAATCAGTTAGTGATGTAGATATTTGCTAGAGGCTGAATAAAAGTTTGACTGGAATCCATGTTCTAGAGTCTCAGTGATATTTGCTGACACAAGGTAATAACACAGCAATGAACATAGTTACTATTTTACAAGGGACATTAATAATCATGATTATGACCCAAAGGAAGTTTGAAAGTGATTTTAAGGGAAACTCTCACTGAATAAAACATTGAAACCAAGTTATTGCTACATAGCATGCATGGAGGCACTCAGCTCCACGTTTGAGGTAGAGACAGCAGTGGGGATTTCTACATTTCATTTTATATTTAAAATCTCACAAACACATATCTGATAGATACAAAGGATAAATAAACAAAACAGTAAAAACATGAGAATTCTTTTAACCTTTCTGTCACAATCAAATGTCCAACTCCACACATAGAAATTTGAATGACTCTAAGTGATACGTACAGATAAACAGGTTTTCTTCTTGATTAAATGAAAATATTTATCTATCCATATTTTTCTCTTACACTGATTTATAGAAGGAAAACGTGCCATTTCCACCATAAGGGGACGTCTAAAAATGGTGATATTATCTATGTGGGTGCATCCAGGCAGCAATATAAGTTAAAAAAACACACTACAAAAACTGGGCAACTTAACTTACAAATTAATTCTTTTTTTTTTTTTTTAAGGACTAAATTTTAAATTGAAAAAATAGATGTAAATAACAGTTTAATAAAGCAAAACAAATCTATCTTTAAAAAAAAAACAAAAAAAAACATACATACATGGGAAAAGACTACTTCATGTCTATAGGGTCTATTATCCTATAAACCTCCATCGAGCAGGGATTTATGGGATAAGTTGTTTATCTCCCAGTAGCAGTTTCACTCATTACATACAGTGAGTGGAACTGCTATATAAATTATAGCGCAGCAGTATCAGTTTATACACGGCCTAATTTATAGGTTTCTACCACACACAAAATTTGGACAAAATTTAGTAAGGCAGCCTAGAATCCAGAGTCATGGATGCCTGGCTGATATATCTGTGGGGGAATGCTTGTTCCAGCTGTGCCCCCAATTCCCATTTTTTTCTGTGTAGATTTGGAATCCAGACCAGATTCCTATTGGGTTGAGCACCTCACCCATCCACCATTGGTGCACCCTTGGAAGTGACCACATGAAAGCATAAATTTGAGGAGAGTATCTGGAAGCCGTTTAAGCAGTAACTATTGCAATTAGCATGTTTATCACTCAGGTTAAAATTAGTATAGAACCCACGGATATTGGGCTACTGTAACGTAGTGGTGGGCTTAACACAATAAGGTCATATGGTGTAGCTGGATCAACATTAGTTTTCTAAGATAAGTAAATTTAAGCTGCCTTAAAAAAAATGTAAAACTTTTTTTTGTGTGTGCGCGCGCTGTTTCTTACAGCAGCAGCACTACAGAGAAATGTATGTTCTGGGTGTGGCCCCCAATTAACTTTTTTTTCTATATCTGTTTCTGGGGAATGCTTAAAGCTGCAGTAATATTCACAATGTTTATAGCTACAGCTATAAGCCACTTTCAGTGGTGACTGCCACTTCATGTAAGTCCTTAGGCAAGACACCTAATGATATATATCCACTTACCTAAAATCCGCATAGATTGTAAGCTCCTTTGAACAGGGCTTTCTATAACTGTAGAGCGCTACGGAATATATTGGTATATATTTCACATGGTGCTTGGAATTTCTCTTGTGCAATTAAATTGCTGAATTTTGCAATCAATACTGGATTTTGTTCTAAATTTTCTTTGAAACATGCACTAGCATCTTCAGAAAATAAGTACAGCACAGGAATAATTTAGAATGTTTACATGTTTGCTATTTGTTTGATGTGTAGTACACTGGGATTGGTATCACCGGATGCAGGTCTAGCAAATGACAGGCAACAACATAGAAAATAAATGAATACTAGAACGATACATTTTAATAAGGATTTTATCATGAGATGCTAATGAAGAGAATGATTGATATATTACATGGACGGTCTATAAATGTTATGGCCTAAAACTGCCAATTTTCTAGTCAGCGCTCTGCCATTTCTGTATTACTGAATATGTTAGCTCTTTTCCATTTAATACATTTAAGTTATTAAGTAAACCGATATGAAGTAAAGAAGGAAGGATTTGCAAAATGTAGGCCAAAACAGCCAGTCTGGAAAACAATTTCTGGTTCAGCTATTTTGTCCTGGATATTTGACAGTGTAAAATTAATAGCTGCTCTTATTATCAATTTGAAAATGTTTACCAACTCTAACCTCTGGCCTGATATTTTAAATTCCTTCATCAATTATCCACAATTCTCGGTTTACGAACTGTCTCCTGCAAATATGTTTGCAGTTGAAGATTTCTGATATATTTTTGCAAAACAAGGTAGCAGACTCCATTCTGTATCAGTCACAGACTATTTCTGAGGGAAAGTGAAAGTTGTTGACATTACTAAATAATTTAATAACGAGGTTTGTAAATGTATGGTTTGTAAAGTGTTATACAGATGATACAGCACTTTCCATGCAAATTTACCTAATTTAACACAGTCAAGTCAATCCAGATACATTCATAGTCCATTCCAAGCCTCTTGGCCATTGCTCCAACATTGACACACCTGCATCAATTTAGTCTTGGCCTGGATAAATTCAATACAACCACATTTTTTACCAGGCCGTAGTCCTGTTATTCTGGGTCTGAACTACATTAAATGAAACAAGCCATGACCTTCGTGTCTTTCTACATGTTTTATGCTGGCGGCCTGTTTTGTACAGTGCACTTGCGCAGAAATTACGCACCCAATGGCCATGATAAGACCCTGCTGTCTTTGGTCCAGTGCACTTTTGTGGTTTTTGATAAACATTATTTATTGTTCCTGATAGTCCTGTTACTTTTCTGCTTTAACCCTGAGTTTGTTCTTCCCCCTGTGTACCACACCCGGCTACGTTCCTGACTTCGAGCCTATCTATGGCTGTACATCTGTTTGTAACATTAGTTGCTCTGGCTTGTAGAATTAGTTTTAGTTTTTGATACTTCCTATTTCTTCCCTAAGAGTTAGGGTTACTTGAAGCACCATGACCACTCCAGTGATTTGAAATCATGATGGTGCCTGGAGTTACACTGCACATAAACAGCTAAATACCTCTGCTGACAGAGGTGTAACACCGCCGCCGGAGGCATCATAGCTGGCTAACACCTAGAAACTAGAGTTTCCGAGCTGACAAATGTCAATTCTGTGCAACTCTCAAAGCACAGAATGACAGTCATTGGCTGAGAGCGGTCAGCTGACACTCTCAGCCAATGAGTGTTGACCCCCGTGGCTTCTGCAACTCTGCAGAAGCATGTCACTGGACCACCAGGGAGCATCGGAACACACAGGGGACCCAGGTAAGGGGGCAAACCGTTTTTGGCTTCAGAACCACTTTAGTATCTTTCCCCCTGTTTCTTTGTTAGGGTGTAGGCTCATTGCTTGCTAAATCTCATGAAATACGGTTCATGGGGCATGTGGGTTTGTCACGACTCTTAGTGTTCAGTAGCAGCTGCTTCCCTTTGTATTATGTAGTTACAACACTGTATAACTCCTTGTATTATAACACATGACCACAAATTCACAAATTCATTCTCCCAAACAGTAATCTATTGTGCTGTGCACTGTGCACTTCAGTATCCTTATTTATGCAGATTCTTTGTAATTAACCAACAATTTAATTATCTCACCTCTGCCACGAGATTTAGCTCCTGGCTTAACAATCCAAATGTTCCTGTTTCCTTCGATATCCAATTGTGGATTCACTGCTTCTAATTTCTTCAGTATATCATTGCACTGATTGACATAGCACTCTGACTGGTCAATGGTTGCACCATCGCTGTAGTAAGAAAAAGTACGATTTAGGAAGCTTTTGGGCCTAGCTTGCTTCAGGGTACATTTGTGAAACTATTTACTGCTTAAAGAGACAGCCCTATTAAAATAGAATAGCATACGGTGAATTTGAGCACCTACTAAATTACGCAAAATGAAGTTTCATATCAATTGTGTATATCAAATTTAGAGTGCTGTTGTCTAGTGCCGCTAATCAACTACAACTCCTATTATCCTAAACTATATTGCAGTGAGCCTTGTCATGACTGGTGATCACAGAAGTTTATTTCAGCAACAACTGGAGATAAATCTTTTGGAAACCTCTGACTTACAGGAAAAATTGGAGGCTGTAGTCTATAGTTTGTGTGTCACTTTAAATGCAATGTATTTGCAACAGGCTACATCATATGAGGTTTGCTAACAGCAAAATGGATAATTCTGTAACATGTCAGATGATTGCAATTGTACACATCGAAAAAAAAGTTTTTTTAGCGTTTAATAAATCTTATATATTTATCCTAAGCATATCCTAAGTATTCTAAGGGTTTATTCTGAAAAATGAGCGACAATCAGTTCAAGTTCTTCTGAAAGACAGTTTGTCCACAAGCTCCCTACATTTAACTCTATGGCAGGGATAGGCAACCTTTGGCATTCTAGATTTTGTGGACTACATACCCCATAATGCCCTTACACCCATGATGCTGGCAAAGCATCATGGGAGGTGTAGTCCAAAACATCTGGAGTGCCGAAGGTTGCCTATGCCTGCTCTATGGGGTCTCTTGGCATGCCCAAGCAGTCAAGCCTTGCTGAATTTAAGTCTATGGCTGGTCTTTGTAGATACTTGTCTTGAGTTTTAACCATACAGCTGAGCTGAGTTTTGGGCTTCTATTTTAGCTTCCTAATTAGATATCTAAAGTTCAAAGGTTAGTGGATGGATCTCATCACTTAACCAACTGGGCAGTATGAGAAACCAATGTTACACATACAGCTTACATCCCTGGCTTCTTATCAGCAAATAAAACAATGAGGTCACTGGTCTGGCCATTTATACTTCAGTTGTGATGGACTAGAATTCTCATAATGTTCTAATTGAGGGATGAGTCTATAACAGATTGCCAAGACTTAGACATCACTGTGTTGGGCTAATTACTTTCTGCTCTCTAACGAAATCATAGCTTTTGTACAAATGGGGTTGTATTGGTGCTACAGGCAGTCACTTACTGGATAACCTGATAGTAACAGTGCAGGAATTTCTCCCATGATGAATCTGTCATGGTGGAAGTTGATGTTAGATCATTGTCAATATCACTGTGTTCCAAGCTGTTAAGGAACGATTCACAGGCCTGCAGAGCAGTCGTTATAACCCAAGTTGGTACTGTGCCTCCATTTTTTTGGGCTGATTTGCTACTTGCTAAAGAGAAGATAGTGGGTATAGTTGAAGAGACCATTAACGGGCATTCTATGCAGGGGTTCATCAATTGATTTTATAATGCATTCTAAAAATTAAATTAAATGTTTACTTCACATGCAATTATTTTTCAGAGTTCTCTAGGGAAATGCAATATCAGTCCAAAAGCCAACAGAGAATGTGGCTAAATGAATCTCACAGTTTTCTCCCATTCTAACAAATTCATGTTAAATTCCAATCATTTCCTATGGAAAACGTTCAGGTATGTGCAGTATTGCAACAAGTAATGTCTTTAGTGAAAGATCTGCAGGTGTTACTGAGTAAGTGGGATATAGTAAGACATGTTGTAATACTCTACCCGGTTCCGGTATACTAGATGTAGGACTTGTTAAATTAGTTCTGTCACCTGAAAATTACTTTAGAGAACTTTTAAAAAAATATTCATAATAGAGTAATTATGGCCTTTGTTTAATTTTTTTGGATAAGCTTTTCAAATAACGTAGTATTCTTGGATAAACTTTTAAAATGATTTAATATATAGATTTTTTTTTATATATGATATATTATTTTATCATTTGAAAAGTTTATACAAAAATATTAAATAAACGCCTCTATATGCCTCTAAAGAAGTCACAGAAAATCTAGTTATTAGGGCCATTTTATGTTTTAAAATGGAGGAACAGTTATTGTTAGCCAATCAGAGTGCATTCGATCTTATTAGCTCCCAGAATGCCGGGAAGTGTCTCTACTGCCTGACATTGATCAACGTCCTGTGAGTTCACAGTAAGTAAAAAGTTAGCCAACAATCTTTTACACAAAAGCTGCTGAATAGATTAGAAATTAGCAATGATTTTGGGAGTCTGCGTAATACAATTGTCTTATATCTGCCTTGACATCCCAAGTTTGGGGCCCTTATACCGCAACCCTATGCTCTATTCGCAGATGCAGGAAACTGGAATAAAGTTCCTTAAATGACTGCACGTTTCTGCCTATTCAAGTGCTTTGCTGATGCACTCTGTTGAAGCGTAGCTCTCATTGGCTTGTATGAACCCCTTTCAACAGGAGTACATCAGCCCACTGCGTTGTCACACACTTTTCCTGCAGATGTTCATTACCAGTGACATGCACAACCTTCCCTTTCCACTTTCACTCCTCCAATGTTGGGTGTTATTTATCTGGGTCCTTTGAGTACCCTGTACTCCTGTGCTTGTACTATAGAGCCTAGCTGTTTGTATTCAGTCTTCATTAGTGTCACTACCCATCTACACCATATACAGAATTATATATACCGTACACATACATATTTGCCTTTACTTTCCCTTATTTTGCTTACTATTAAGGTTGCAATCAGGTCTTGTTTCTTCAATGGACGAAGACTTTGTGCCCCATCTTGCCACCAACTTCAGAATACTCCGAGCAGCAGTAAGCCAAAAGTCTTCTAATTAAAAAAAAAAGGAACCTTGTGACAAAGTATATCCTCTGACATCCTACATGTTTTACATACCATTACTGGTATAGGAGGATGAGACCATTTTGGTAGCAGACCATTTTATTGGTTTCCATGGTGGCCACTCCACCTTTAGAACTTTGCCCTAGAATTCCAGATCTGGATGACTTAAGTCATGTGAAGTTACAGTTTTACAAAAGATGGGAGGTGAGTATTATTCTTTAACTTTCTTTACTACTCACAACAGCAGAAAATACAAACAAATCCCAAAAGACAGATATATCATGTCTATAAAGAGCTAACACCCTCTTTCTGGTCTGCGAAAGTCCAATAAGCTCATCTACAAGAATAGAGAAGAAAAATACAACAGAAAAGGCAAAACCAACAATTGGATGGAGATTAACTGGTGAGTATAACAATAAAGATGAATCTAAACCGATGAAAAATATTGGCATACAAATAACAATTGCGGTATAATTACAAATATTATGAAGAGTACAATGCACTACTTAACTTTGGATCAGCATCGAAAGAGAATTATAGGCTTGCCTTTGCTGTGATTGGTGGATTTATACTGTACTGATATACAGGCGTCTATTATTTTCTAGTTATATGATTATTTTTTCATTGTTTTGTGTTTGCTGCTATAATGAGCAGCAAACAAAATTAAAGCATAATATGAGCTTTCTGTATTTAATGAAATTGCTGTTAATAACTAAATCCCAGTATGTTCTTACTGTAACGGATCCCCTCTAGTCCGACTGAGTATATCCGTTGAAAGTCTCCCAAGTCCAGAAGTGAAGTAGTGATTATAGCTATGATCTACTCAAACATCAGCCAAGACTCGATGAAGGGTACAAGAAGAATGTTTTATTATGGCCCAGTGGCCGGTTTATATACACAGACCCCCAGAATGGGGTCTCCATTCATTTGTACAATAAGCCCGCCCAGGTGCCTCTGTGTCTGGGAGATAAGTGAGCTTGCTTTTGCTTAACCTAAATATCTCCCAGGCACTAGAGGTAAAAATTTTTTTACAATAAACACCCCAAAACACACAATATCTATTGGAACCCCCACAAGTATTATATCCCCGGATAGTTTGGGTCTGAGCGCCCAAGTTGTCCAAATAGCGCTCAGATCCATGGATTCTAGCTGAATCGCCACCAGGGTAAAGTCTTGACCGGCCGCACACATGGTCCCATGCCCAAAACAGTTCCAGTGCGTTTGGTACTTTGGCCGGTCATCTTTCGGGAGTTCCCATTTGAAAAACAAACTAACATTTCCCCTGGCTCGTAGGCAGTGAATGTTTGCCTAGTTTGTGCGAACATTCCTACTGAACAGCGCTCTCCTATGTTGTCGAGAACGGTAGCAGGTGTCTGCACAAAGTCACAGAGGTTCGCGCGCGTAAGTATCCAACTTCAACGACCAAGTGCCACTGCCTGTGTTCGAAAAACAAGAGGGCCGTTTTCCAGAGCACGTGTTCTTCGGTTATACAAACGGCGGCCACACTTACGTTTGTGGTAACTTTGTATGTAATGAGCCGGGGGGTGGTCGGTGTTCGGTAGGTTGCAAATACTGAATAGAGAAAAGTACTTGGGTTCAAGGAAACTGGGGAAACTAACTATGGGGAACTGTTCATAGATCTTGAGAAATAGTGAGTTTGTCACACTTACCAATAAATGCCCTCTTCTCATCTTCAGCTCCAAGCCTGTAGCAACGAGGAAAAAATGTGTCTGAGTCTACATCATCAAACCAGGGAAGGTTTCTTAAATTGACGCATAACCCCACCTAGAAAAATATAATTATTATTTTACAGAATTCATTAGCAACGGTGAAAGTGGATTTCTAATGCAAAGAGAGAAAAGGGTATAATTTAGGAAATTTTAGGGCTAATGTACCTTCCAAAATTTGCACTTTGTGAATATTTTGAAGAGTGTATGAATATATCAATGTTATTCTAAATACACAAATAGCCATGTCATTTAGTGAGATTTTACCTAACAGAGAGGTGAAATTCTAGCTGTGTATATTCTCCCAACTGAATTCACTGTTAAGAAACTATAAAGAGCTATAATAAGACTTTGTGCATGTCTATGATACATCTTTATGGTGTTTTGCTATTTACAGAAGTCACAGCAAGGCCTCCAGTGAAATTCCAGCTCTCACAGAGGCAGGAAGTTACAACACAGATTTTATTATTAGTAGTAGTAGTATTTTATACAGTAAGTACAGAACAGTGTTCATTTTGTCAACTAACAATTTTAATCGACTAAACATTTTTGAGATTTAGTCGATAAAAAATAGACTAAAACTAAAACAATTTACATGACTACAATACAACGTCAAAATTAACACTGGTATAGAATATCAATAGTAAAACTAATATCAACAAAGATAATGAAGACAATATTATCTTCTCTTTTAGTGAATAACAAAATACTGTTAAAGGTCTTGCCTTCTGTAGAACTCTCCCATGTTTCCCAATGTGATATTTCTTAATTCCAAATCTGACTTTGGGTATAGGAGTATTAATTAGCTTACTTTAGTTGTGAAGGATCCCGCTTTGGCATAATGGTTCATCATTTGGTCCTTTTTCAAAAAACGACAGTCAACCGAATCCCTTATCGTGGTCCATATGAAGTAGGGGATTTCATTGCGGACAAGTCTTGACTGTGAAACATTTATAGATAATTAATATGTTTAGCTACACACATGACATGCCACATAACAATCAGAACTAAAAGATGCAAACCTAGCATTGCATATTCAAGTGTGGATTACAATTCATATCTAGACATTTTACTAACAAGCAGCCAATCCAGGCATAATCTTGGAATTATCAACAGGTATAAATAAAACCAAAAGGATGACTTTTAACATTACATGGTTTTGTTTGTCTCTACATTCCTGTATGTGATATTATTTCATAATCATAAAATATGATAAAGCATACCTTATGATTACTTTCATCTTAATTCAATATAAAAATAATAATAATAACCTATGTATATTATATATAGGATGTGTAATACAAAACAGTATATTATAGATAAATGATGCCATCGTAGGGTTCTGGATACATCATGATATACCATGAAACACCAACACTTATTTGTCTTTTATATTAGGTTTGATTTTTGTGTTAAAGTGTTACTGTTTTAGGGGTAGCTTTAGGACTCCTTTAAGGATAGGGCAGCACTGTGACAGTCATTTCCCAATCTGCAGAGCTTGCTCATGTTATTATTTCTCACCATACAGTCCATTTGGTGAAGGAAGGACTAAAGGCCACTTGCTGGGCCCTAAACTGGTATTTTTGGGGTTCCAGGAGACCCCACTTTTGATAATTTATTGGTTAACAGAAGGAGCCTACTGTCAGTCTCTGTAGAGGATGTATTGCATTTTTGTAGTTGTTACTTTCCTTTTGGATCCAACATAAATGCAAATTTATAAAAATTTTCCCATTACAACAATTGCCTTTTATAAGCTAAAATTTCCACTTAAAGGGACACTATGGGAGCTCAGACCGATTAATCTCATCTCACTGAAGTGAGATGAGTCTTCCAGATAGCCACTAGAGGCATTTCCTGGTGCCTCACAGTGTTTAACTCTGTGAAACGATGCTGGACATCCTCAAGCTTTGCATGAGGACATCCAGAGTCTTTAAATCCCCCATAGGAATGCATTGATTCAATGCTTTCCTATGGCGATGGCCTAATTCACGCTCCCCAACACTTTGACGTTGGAGTGGCCGAAGACAGAGCAAGCCCGAGGGACCCCGCCACTGGAAAGAGACAAGAGGGTTTTAACCCTTTCAATGCGAAGTGGGATTGGACAATTGCATTCCTAATGTTATAGTGTCCCTTTAAATTTGGTATATCCTTAAATAAATATGTTTACAAAATTTTAGATTTACCATTAGGTTATAGGTATCGTCTGAATCATCGTCTGTCTCATCATCTTCATTACCTTCCTCATCTAATAGGGAAATTAGATTTCTGTTGTGATCATTATAATTGGCATACATATTTTTTTAAACACAGATGAAAAAATATGGAGGGAAAAGAAAGACAGCAGGAATAAATTATCTCAATATTAGGGGTCCCGGGAGATATTGAAGAGAAGCTGTCAATTCTTTGGAAATTACACCACTGAATAAGACATGGACAATGACCTGTAACTAGTGTTATTATTTTTTCACATGATTTTTTTTTTTTTTTAAGTATTAAATGTGTATAGTAGATATCACAATCTTGTTTAATCCCGGCACAGCCAGGGCACACAATGCAAATGAGGACGAAAAATGCAAAACACTGTTTCTGTTTCCTCTCTTCTCTCTAGACTGTCTCACAGAGGTGCAGAGAGCAGAACTTATAGCAGTAAGTGACAAAGAGAAAAGATGGAGGCAATCGGTTCTCAGTTCCAAACCTCTTTTTTCAGAGGATACGTAAACATCTTATTAAAATCTTGGGAGTGGTGAGTCCCCTTTAAAACATAATTTATTTATTTTTTACATTATCTTAAAATATTTTCGCAGAGTATATAAAGAGTAAAAATGTTAGAAGCACTGAATGAGAAAAGACAGATTTACAACATTTTGTCAATTTTAAAAGGCCTGTTATGCGGAAATATGAACAGTAGTTTTACAATACTAAGATAACAAACACAATTAATGTTAAATGGTTCTTCATATAGACATTTATTATCACAGGATGGCTAGCTTGTGGATAATGATAGATGACCTTCCTCATCATGGCCACTTCCTATTTCATCATCTTCGTCTAAGTCTTCATCAGATGCTTTTTCCTTTTTCTGAGAGACTTTTGAAATCTTGGGGATTTTCCTTTCCACCCAACCTCTGCTACGTAAACATCTGCGGATCACTGGGTACGGCCCGTGGATAGTGAAGATTTTTTTTTGCTGTATGAGGGACGAGAAATAAATACAGAGTAATTCAGTGAAGTGAGAATTCTATGTGAAAACAGTTTGTTTTCCTGGCACTGGAGTGTCCCTTTAAAACACTTTAAATTCACCATTGGATTTAAATTGTTTTTTTATTATATTTTTATCCTGTTAGTCTTAATCACTTGAAATACTGTATAACTACATTAGTATTATACTATTTTATGGTTCCAGTGTCAGTGATGAGGACATAGTGGTTTTTAAAACACCATGTTTTGGGTAACATTCCATAAATGCATTAAATTATTCACATAAATAATTCTAGGTTTTATTTTACCTTTATGAGATCACATTACATACAGAAACATTGTATGTTCCTTTAAAGAAGAAAAAATAACTTGGCAAAAATTTGTTAAAATGTTTTTGTTTTAAAAAAGTCAGGTGGGAGCACAAAAATATCCCACCATCCCCATAAAAAAAAAATATATATTTTGTTTTACATTTTTAGAAAAGACTCTGTCCTTTTATTGGTCTTTATCATGGATTGTGTTTGCGCACTGGAAATAGAGTGTTCTAATGGAAAAAAACACCAATAAAATCACCCACATACCATCATTTATACAGGTAAAATATTGCTAGATACATCAATATGTAAAGCAATCATATTCACTAAGCCTATCAAATGGTTGTTGTAGTATGTTTTTTTTTTTCACCTTAATAGCTTTTTCCACTAAGAGTTTTGCTTGTTTCAGTCGATCTGGATTAATTGTGTTGCCATTGGAAGATTTACGAAAACGCCCTTCAGAAGCTGATAGTGTAAAAATACAGAACAGATTACATTGTTATTATTAACAGACACACCTGCCCTGTCGCAGTGACATGATTTGTTATTCTGTAAAAGGCATCTTAAAATATCAAAAACAGATTAATTTTAACTATGTCAGCAATGTAAAACAGCGACAGAACTATAAATAAATTAAAGGGACACTCCGGGCACCAACACAACTTTAATGCACTTGGTAGATTTTGACATGAGTGTGCTGTTTATAGTTCCCCCCCCCCCCCCAAAAAAAAGTTTTGTAGACTTCCTTATCAAAACGTACGCACACAGCATCAGATTCAACAGCACTGAATGAGCGAGCTTTTAATTCACAACCTGTCTGATGACAATCAAATAATCTGCAAACGGGTAGTGATAGCCTTTCTATAGGCCTCCCTAGGTGTCCTCACCTCTAGTGCAGGTTGTTTTGTTGTTCAAATCATTCATTACTGTCAGTGGATGAGCTGTATGCATACATGCAGGGCCGGCGCTTCCTATAAGGCGAACTAGCCAGCCGCCTAGGGCGCCATATAGGAGGGGGCGCCCCATTGCCAGCCCTTTAAATGCTGCAGCCGCCTCAGCGCTCTATAGAGAGCGCTCAGGCAGCTGCCGCACTGCCTCACCTCCCCTTCCCTGTAGCGTGGCCGAGCTTCTCTCCGGTCCGCGACCCGGCTGGACTGACAGGAAGTGTGCACTTCCTGTCAGTCTGGCCGGGTGTCAGGTATACTCTATCATCCATACTGCCGCCGGAACCCACTTCCGGGTTCACGGCGCTTAGCCCCGCCCCTTTTCTCTGACGCGGTCCTTCCACGATACTTAGGAAGACCGCGCCAGATTCAAGGGGCTGGATTATTCACGCAGGTACGGCATTGAGATCAGCTGCTCTATTGAATGCTACCGGCTACACTCCTCTCTCGACCTCGGCTTGTAACAAGATTTCAACCTTCCCCACTTCTCGACCTCGGCTTGGAAAACGGACTTCTACCTTCTCCACTCCCAGACCTCGGCTTGTAAAAAACGGACTTCCTTATTTTCCACTCCTAACGCTCAGCTTATTCATAGAGAGTCATAATCTCTCCTCCATTGGGTGAATTAACCCTTCCAATACCAGAACTACCTCTAAGTTAAGTAATCCTTTTTCTCCAAGGAAACCAATTCATATTAATTATTTCACTTCATTCCTCTCTTGTCAATAAGGGATTACTACTAAGTCTTATTTCTCCTGCAAATATCATTTATTATTAATTGCAACCTGTCCAGCTTATTTATCATTATACTAATAAATCATTCCATCTTAATTAAGTTGGAACTAGCATTGCTTTCCTTCCTGCATGTGTATTTAAAGATACAGTCAAGCTTGTTTACTTCAATATAAAGGAGGTGTAATTATTGTTTCTGCAGTTGAGTTCCAATTAAAGGGATATTACACAATCCCATCACAGAATAATCCAGCCATTTCAATGGAACCAGCAGATATTAACTCACAAGTTACTGCTCTAACCAATAGAGTGGATACGATTGCTCAAGGGTTACAAGAACTGCAAATCACGAATGAGAGAATATTAACCTATGTCAGAGACATGCAAAACCATCTCCCTCATGCCGCTCTTCAATCGGCTGGTGATCCTGCTGTCTGTAATCCAGAAAAATTTTATGGAGATAGAACAAAGTACAGAGAGTTTTTGAATTCTTGCAAATTACTAATAGCTTTAAAACCTAGATCTTATCCCACCGAAAGATCCAAAGTCTGTTCAGTAATATCTTTTTTAAGAGGTGAACCTATGGCCTGGGCCCATTCCTTTTTGGAAAATGATGATCCCATATTAGATTCATTGGATGAGTTCTTTGAAGCTATGTCTTTATTATATGAAGATCCTTTTAAACAAACTACTGCTGATTTAACCATCAGAACATTACACCAAAAGAATAGACCTGTTGAAGATTATATTGCAGAATTCAAAAGATGGGCTACAGAAACCCAATGGAATGACATTACCTTACGCAATCAATTCCGTCTCGGATTATCTGAAGCTGTGAAAGATGAACTCTCTCGTACAGAACTTCCTCCTACCTTAAATGCATTGATTCAACTGTCCATCAGTATTGATAGACGTCTAAGAGAAAGAAAAGCTGAAAAGGTTCTTACTAATTATACCTGGAGAAAACCTTTCACTACTCTAAAATTACCTGAAAAAATTCCTCCACAAACTGAACCTATGGAAGTAGGTATAATAAAAAGTCCTCTTACTTCTGAAGAAAGAATAAGAAGGAGACAACTAAACTTATGTATGTATTGCGCCTCGTACGAACATCTAATTTCCGAATGTCCTCTACTGAAACATTCAAAAGGTGGTAAGCTTCATTCATCTACCTCTATATTGAACGTTTTTCAAAAAAGAAAAACATCTACTTATTTTTCTATATCTCTCATATTACAGTGGGATACAAAAAGAATCGTGACTGAGGCCATCATTGATTCTGGTGCTAATGGAACTTTTCTTGATTTTTCTTTTGTTTCAAAAAATAAAATTCCTTGTGTTCAAAAAACCAACTTTATTCCAATCAGGGTTATTGACGGTTCATTTATATCCTCAGGACCCATCAAAAATGAAACAATCCCTCTAAGAATGATTACCAACAACGTACATTTCGAATTCATTACATTTGATATTATTAAATCTCCACTTTATCCCGTCATTCTAGGAATTAATTGGTTAAAAAACCATGATCCTTTAATTAAGTGGTCTCCTTTCTCCATCTCCTTTGCTTCTGATTTCTGTAAAAAAACGTGCTTACAACACATTCCTATTCTCCATACTACTGTAGAACCAGTTATACCTCCATTCTACTCCGACTTTGCAGATGTCTTTTGTAAAAAAGAAGCAGAAACACTTCCTCCTCATCGGGTATATGATTGCCCAATAGATCTCATACCCGGAGATCCTATTCCTTATGGTCATATTTATCCACTCTCTGAAAAGGAGTTAGAAATTTTAAAAGAATATCTTAATGAAAATTTACGCAAAGGGTTCATCAGACCCTCGACCTCTCCTGCTGCTTCTAGTATTTTCTTTGTGAAGAATAAAGACCAAACCATCCGTCCTATTATAGATTACAGAGCCCTAAATAAAATAACTATTAAAAATCGTTATCCTCTTCCACTAATAAATGAATTAATTGAAAGGTTAAGAACTGCAACTATATTCACTAAACTCGACCTTCGAGGCGCATATAACCTCATTAGAATAAAACAGGATGATGAATGGAAAACCGCCTTCCGGACAAGATATGGTCTCTACGAATATCTAGTGATGCCTTTCGGGCTCTGTAATGCCCCTGCAACATTTCAACATTTTATAAATGATATCTTTAGAGATCTTCTGGATGTATGTGTTATTATCTATTTAGATGATATCTTAATATATTCTAACAATTTGGATGAACATAGGAAGCATGTTAGATGGGTTCTATCTAGACTGAGAACTCATAAATTATACGCTAAACCAGAAAAATGCCTTTTTGAGGTTACTGAATTCTCTTTTCTAGGATACATTATTTCACCTCATTCGTTGAAGATGGATAATTCCAAAATCAAATGTATTATTGATTGGCCTGCTCCTACTACTACAAAAGAATTACAACGTTTTCTTGGATTTGCAAACTTCTATAGAAAATTTATTAGAAACTATTCGGATGTATCACATCCTCTTAACCTCCTCAACAGTAGTAAACGTCCTTTTAATTGGAATAAAGATGCACAAACAGCCTTCGAAGAATTAAAAAAAAAGATTTACAACTGCACCTATTCTACAACTACCTAATCCAACATTCCTATATGTTCTTGAGGTTGATGCATCAGATGCAGCCATCGGAGCAGTTCTTTCTCAACAAAAGACTCCACAAGATCCACTTCATCCAGTTGCCTTTTTTTCAAAATCCCTGAGCTCTGCTGAAAAAATTATCCTATTGGTGAAAAAGAATTATTAAGTGTTAAAGCTGCCTTCGAAAATTGGCGTCATCTTCTGGAAGATACAAAACAACCTATAATCGTTTATACTGACCATAAAAATCTTGAATATCTCTATACTAACAAAACCCTTACAGCTAGACAAGTTAGATGGAACCTATTTTTTAACCGATTTAACTTCCAATTAATATACAGACCTGGAAATAGGAATAAAAAGGCTGATGCTCTTTCTCGAATTCCTTCTAAAACTACTACTGATGATTATCCTCCTACCAAAATAATAGGGATCCTCTCTTCTCTTCATGATGACATAAAGAATTTGAATCAGAAGGATCTTGAACTTCCCAAAACAGCTATACTAACAAAAAAAGATGGTATATTTTATTTTAAAAATAGAATTTATATTCCTCCCATTCTTAGGAATAAATTACTTAAGATGGTTCATGATTCCCCCCTAGCTGGACATCCTGGAATAAAGAAAACACTTGAACTAACTTCACGATATTATTGGTGGCCTCGCCAGGATAGAACCATTGAATTATATGTCAAAACATGTCCTATTTGTCAAAGGTCTAAACCAGAGCATAATCAACCTTTTGGATTACTACTTAACTTACCTATTCCAGAAAAACCTTGGCAATCCATTTCCATGGATTTTATCGTTGATCTTCCACCTTCTCAACATTTCACCACTATTCTTGTCGTTGTGGATCGCTTCACAAAAATGTCCCATTTCATTTCTTTAAAAAAAAATTACCCTCCTCTGTAGAATTGTCCAAAGTCTTTATTGACAATATTGTGAAACTTCATGGTCTTCCTGAAGAAATTATTTCTGATAGGGGGACACAATTTACCTCCAAATTCTGGAAAGAGATGTGTCTCTCCCTTCAAATTCAACGCAAACTCTATTCCGCTTATCATCCCCAAACTAATGGGCAAACAGAAAGGGTTAATCAATGTTTGGAACAATATCTTCGATGTTATTGTTCATACCTCCAAGATGACTGGACCACATGGTTACCTATGGCCGAATTTTCTTACAATAATACCATTCATTCTAGTACGAAAATGACTCCTTTCTTCTCCAACTATGGTTTGCATCCGTCTCCATTCCCCATCCAAACCATTACTTCATCCAATCCTACTGTTACATCAAAAAACGAATTTATGTCTTCTCTATTTCTCAAATTACGGGAGAATCTTCAACTTGCTCAAAACTACCAGAAAAAGTTTTTTGACAATAGAAGAAGAATTCCCCCTCCTTACAAAGTAGGGGATCTTGTCTGGCTCTCTTCAAAAAATATTACCACAAACCGTCCTTCAAAGAAATTGAGCTCTCTTTTTCTTGGTCCTTTTCAAATAATTACAATTATCAATGATAACGTTGTTAAATTAAAACTTCCTCCAAGTTTTAAACTTCATCCAGTATTCCATGTCTCTCTTCTTAAACCACACATCCCTGATCCTTTTCATACAGACGTAGTTACAACTCCTGAACCTATCATCGTCCAAGGTGAAGAAGAATATGAAATACACAAGATTTTGGATTCACGTGTCCACCGTGGCACCTTACAATACCTTATTAGATGGAAAGGTTATGGAGTTGATGAAGATACTTGGGAAGATTCATCTAATGTTCATGCAAACAGATTAGTTGATGCTTTTCACAAACGCTGTCCCTCTAAACCAAAGTAAGTGCACCCAGAGGATGCCCCATGAGAAGGGGGTACTGTCAGGTATACTCTATCATCCATACTGCCGCCGGAACCCACTTCCGGGTTCACGGCGCTTAGCCCCGCCCCTTTTCTCTGACGCGGTCCTTCCACGATACTTAGGAAGACCGCGCCAGATTCAAGGGGCTGGATTATTCACGCAGGTACGGCGTTGAGATCAGCTGCTCTATTGAATGCTACCGGCTACACTCCTCTCTCGACCTCGGCTTGTAACAAGATTTCAACCTTCCCCACTTCTCGACCTCGGCTTGGAAAACGGACTTCTACCTTCTCCACTCCCAGACCTCGGCTTGTAAAAAACGGACTTCCTTATTTTCCACTCCTAACGCTCAGCTTATTCATAGAGAGTCATAATCTCTCCTCCATTGGGTGAATTAACCCTTCCAATACCAGAACTACCTCTAAGTTAAGTAATCCTTTTTCTCCAAGGAAACCAATTCATATTAATTATTTCACTTCATTCCTCTCTTGTCAATAAGGGATTACTACTAAGTCTTATTTCTCCTGCAAATATCATTTATTATTAATTGCAACCTGTCCAGCTTATTTATCATTATACTAATAAATCATTCCATCTTAATTAAGTTGGAACTAGCATTGCTTTCCTTCCTGCATGTGTATTTAAAGATACAGTCAAGCTTGTTTACTTCAATATAAAGGAGGTGTAATTATTGTTTCTGCAGTTGAGTTCCAATTAAAGGGATATTACACAATCCCATCACACCGGGTCGCGGACTGGAGTGGAGCTCAGCCACGCTACAGGGAAGGGGAGGTAAGGAGAAGATTACAGGGAAGGAGGGGGAGTGGAGAAGAAGAGAAGATTACAAGGAGGGAGGGGGAGTGGAGAAGATTACAGGAGGAAAAGGAGCGGGAGAAGATTACAGGGGGAGAAGATTACAGGGAGTGGGAGTGGGGGAGGAAAAGATTCCAGGGAGGGAGGGGGGAGAAGATTACAGGGTGGGAGGGAGGAGGAAGATTACAGGGGGGAGTAGATTACAGGAGGGAGGGGGGAGGAATAGATTACAGGGAGGGAGGGTGGGGAGAAGATTCCAGGGAGGGAGGGTGTGGGGAGAAGATTCCAGGGAGGGAGAGGGGAAAAGATTACTGGGGAGAAGACCCAGGGAGGGAGGGGGGGAGTGGGAGAAGATTCCAGGAGGGTGGGGGAGATTACAGGGGAGAAGATTACAGGGAGGGGGGAGGAGAAGATTGGCAGGGGGGAGGAGAAGATTACAAGGGGAGTGGAGAAGATTACTGTGAGGAAGGTGAGATTACAGGGGTGTGAGAGATAAAGTGGAGAAGATTAATGGGGGAGAAGATTACAGGGGAGGAGAAGATTACAGGGAGGAGGGAGAAGATTACAGGGAGGGAGTGGAGAAGACACGGGGGGGGAGAAGAAGAGAGATTACAGGGGGGGGAGAAGAGATTACAGGAGGGAAGTGGAGAAGAGAAAATTACAGGGGGAGAGAGGGGAGAAGATCACAGGGAGGAGGGGAGAAGAAGAGAAGATTACAGGGGGGGAGAAGAGATTACAGGGACGGAGAAGAAGAGGAGAACACGGGGAAGAAGAGAGAACACACATGGGGAAGAAGAGGAGAACACAGGGAGGGGGGGAAGAGGAGGAGAACACAGGGAGTGGGGAAGAGGAGGAGAACATAGGGGGAGATGAGAACACAGGAGGGGGAGAAGAAGAGGAGAACACAGGGGGGGAGATGAGAACACAGGGAGGGGGGTTGAAGCGAAAGTGGGGGAGGGAGAGACCACTAAAGGAGGGAGCGGGTGGTGGAGAGACCACTAGGGGAGGGGGGTGAGGAGAGACCGCTAAGGGAGGGAGGGTGGAGGATAGACCACTAGGAAAGGGGGGGGCAGAGGAGAGCAGAGACCACTAAGGGGGAGACGAGAGACCACTAATGGAAAGTCGGGGAGAAAAGGAGACCATTAAGAGAGGTGGGTGGGAGAGGAAAGACCACTAAGGGGCAGGGGAGATCTCTAAGGGATGGAAGGGAGAGCTCTATAGGACAGGGGGCAGGACAGGGAACTCTTTCACACTACGCACACACACACACAATGCATCCCTATACACACAGAAACACAACATGCTTCCCTTACACACAGAGAAACACACAATGCATCCATTACACACACACACACACACACACACAATGCAACCCTTACACATAAAGACAATACATCCTTTGCACATATACACAGAAACACACAATGCATCCCTTACACACACATGCAAACACACACTGCTTCTCTTACACACAGAAACACAATGCATCTCTTACACACACTCAACGCACCCCTTACAGACACACACACACTGCATCCCTTACATACACAGAAACACACTTTGCATCCCTTATGCATACAAACACAGATTCACACAATGCATCCCTTACACACAACAAGAAACACACAATACATCCTTTATACACAAACACACACTGCTTTCTATCCCTTACACAAAAACACACTGCTTCCACTACACACAAACACACTGCATCACCTACACAAACTGATATCCCTATACACTACATTCCATAAGCACACACATTAGATCCTCTACAATAACACATAACACATCCCCTACACACTCCACTCCCTGTGAGCAAAGTCATGGGTGGAAAATGTAGGTGGACTTATGGGTGGGCCTTATGGGCATACTCACCGTCAGGCCCTGGGGCCCAGACCTTGAGCTGCTTCCCGTTCTTCCAGAACATTGAATTTTGTGACCACAGTTACAAACAGCCTCCAGAGATCCTGTTCTACACCAGACCAGTGAAGCCAGACTGCAGCCAGAGCCCATCACCATCCTCATCTGATTGTAAGTAGGCAATCTAGTATATTATTAGTGACACTAATCTCTAATTTACCTCACATTAAAGGGACACTATAGTCCCCAGAACCACTGCAGCTTAATAAAGTGGTTCTGGTGTCTATAGTTTGTCCCTGCAGGCTTTTAAATGTAAACACACACTGTGTGCAGCACTGGCATTAGTTCATATGGCAGATCATATGGGTGGGGCATTGCGATGCCACTGGGGGGGTGGGGGGTCGGCAAATCTTTCTTTTGCCTAGGGCGGCAAAAATCCTTGCACCGGCCCTGCATACATGTGATAAGGAAGTCTTTATCTGAAGTAAGGGGTGTGGCTAAAGAGGCAGGCTTATAGTGCAACTTTCTGCAAAACATTTATTTTTTGCAAAAAAATACAGTACATTAATGAGGCCAAAACCTATAAAGTGCATTGAAGTAGTATTGGTGCAAGAAATGTCCCTTTAAACAGAATTGTAAATCTATACATTAAAGTAAGCTTATCAAAACAACCTACAAATAGAATTAAAAAAAAATATATATATATATATATATTTTTTTTTTAATTTATTTATTTATTTTTTTATTGTATTGAAACATATTAGGATGTATTCATTAAGCTGCAAATTGTAGATAATTCACAAGGAAATTGCACCTTAGTCCCAAATAGATAAGATAGAAAAATCACTGAATTTTTTATTTTTACCAGCTACGTTATTTCGGCCCCAAATTTTCAATTCCCTATTCAACAGTGAATTGTGAATTAGTAAATAAACCCAGTTATTTTGCACAATCTATGATGTACATCTGTGACGGAGCTCCCTGTACCCTGGCTGGGTACCTCCACCGACGGATGCTCCTAGTGCTTCTCAAGAACCACCAGACACCATAAGCGCTGTAGACTCCACGAACCGCCGTAACTTGGTTGGGGTCTCGCCGTCTCCTTCCCACCCTGGTCCAACCTCTGAATCCAGGACCATGTGGGAAGGACCTCTCATCCAGGAGAGTATAGTTGTATAGCTTAAGAGAGCTCTTACAAGAGCTAGCAGTGATATAGCAGTTATAGCCCTACAACACAAGACGAGGCTGCGACTTGAGGGTAAGAAGGTCTGGTTTATTGAGCAACTTGTATTTCTTTTATACAGAGTTTCAGACCAGAGGCACACCCCCAGGACCTGATGGAACACAGGGACACAAGGAACATAAACCAATGGGAACAATAATTATTACTGTAACACTCCCACATACAGTCAGCAAGCCCTGCCCTCTGTCTGTGATATAATTAATAAAGTACCCCAAAATACAACATATCCCCACAAAGACACATCCCCTGGTAGCCCCAATCTGGGTGAAAAACATATCCAAAAATCACCCAGATCGGTTCAGGGGTTCAGGAATTTCCAGGAAGTCTTATTTTTGCCCCACCGTGCACATGGTCCCATGCCCAAAACAGTTCCATACATTCAACAACCAAGCACTGCTGGACAATTTAAGGTGGCCGCCGCCACATGTTTGAATCTGTTCCAGTTAAAAGTCCAAGGGGCAGAAACAGTACTTTTGAATCCAATATGCACAAATAGAGGTTTTACAAGGCAATACACCACCGGGGGCCATAGTCACAGTGCAAAAGGCTGGAAAGCAGGCCTCTCCAAAACCCAGTGGCGAAGTGCAATTCGTCACAACATCTATTTCTCAGGTTAATTCAAGTAGTTCTCCACATATTGTGTGACTACTGGGCTTGCAATGAAAAAATATTGTAATGCACAAATCAGTTTCTCTATGAAAAAATATGTTTGAAAGCGGTTAGAAATTATAGTTCTCTCATATAGACTTGTCAGTATAAGTGTACCAAATATTTGACACGTACATTAAAATAGAAACTTTTCACACATATAAAAAAAAAATAATAATGCTGGATAATGGATGTGCCAAAAATATAGTGCTGTCAATCTACTATATTTCACAAGGAGATAATTTCTACTCTTCTTTAATTATATATATATATATAAAAAAAACATTAATTATCGTCATGCCTTAAAAAAATCAAAGCAAAAAACAAACCCAAAAAACAGTTGTTTCAGAGGCTCTCCATGCCTTTAATTGCCACAATTTCCATTGGTTTCATGTTAAAACTTAATCAGGTCACTCAAGTTGATACAGTATCGCTTAATGAGTGAACACCAATGGTTTGGCACTAGAAGAGCTAAAGGCGAATTAATACTGGTTCATGCAAGTGTATGCAATCAGTACTCGGAGAATAAATTAGACATTTAGTGAACCAGAAAGCAACTGATCTGCAAAATTTAGACTCAAGTTAGGATAGGTTAAAACTCACTCTGTTAGTGATACTTTTCAAAAATAGAAGTACAGTTTCTCTATTCATTGTAAATAAACTACTTAGTGTGTTATCTTGTTTATCACACAATTTTATTGAATGTCACAAATACCCAAATATATATGCATATCATTGGTTCAGGGAGTTACTTAATAGCCTACCACCGTTTCTGCTTTTTACCTCCTGGGTGAGATTTCTTTTTGATGGGTCCATGAGATGGTTTGTCCTGCTTAGATTCTGGCTGGTTCGGAGACTTGCAAACATCCTCTGTGGAATGGAATCATAATTTGGATTAGTATTAATGCCCAGGACATTTAAAAGAACACTGTATTTCTAACCATATAGTGTTAAAATCACCATCTAGCCCCTCTGACCTCCTTAAATATTGTAAAATCTTACTTGTATTCATGTCTGCAGCTGCTGCCTCTGCACCGATCTGCCTGCTGGCTGACATAATCAGAAGTGATTCTGTGAGCCAGTCACAATGCTTTCACATAGGATTGGCTGAGACTGTCAAGGATGCAGATCAGGGGCAGAGCCAGCACAAGTCAAACACAGGCCTGACCAATCAGCAAACTTTAATTTTGAAATACACAATATTAGATTTCCAGATTTCCTAATATTGTGTATTTCAAAATTAAAGTTTTTTTTGGTCATTTACTAGTACCAATTATCCTTCTTTTATTCACAAATTTAAACTTATCCTGGCTTTTTATTATATTTTTTATATTTTATTTTGGTTTTAAATATCACTCCTGGAAGCTCCTGGCAGCCCAAGAAATCCTAGGTGGGGATTATTCCACCAGTGCTGACATCAAAGAGCAGTTGGTCTGCTCTGCACTTGTAAGTACGTTTTAAACTAATTTCTATGAAGCAAGTTAAATAGAGAGCACTATTCGGTTGTTTCTGTTCTTTTTGAGTTTTGGATATCCCTGACGAAGAGGTACTCACCATATATCCCACAAGTGGGGATTATACCGCTGTAGGCGCTATACCCTAGAGCTGGATTGAAGCTCTTACAAATTGTGAGTTCTCTACCATTACTTGAATTTTATTTCATCTGAGCTATACATATTGCACTATCGGCTGTTCTCTCTTTTTATTTTCTATATTATACCGGAAGACTGTGTTCCCGTATCCAACACTCTGGGACGACAAAGAGGACACTTAGGTTGGACTTTCTTTTATATTCTGTTACCACTATTGGAACTGGACATTGTTTATCTATTGTGGCGCAGCCCTCTTTTATATTTTGTTTTTATCTTGTTTAAAAGGGTTTGGGGGGATTTCCATTTTTGGGGTTGCTGCCTACTGGTTGATTGGCGCTGTCTCTTTTTCTTATTTATTGAAGGACATAGAGAAGTTTATGACATAACAAGTTTTAAAGAGCATATGGTATTTGGAATCAGCCATGTTCTTTCTAATTATGAATGTGTCTTATATGCTACTTATGTAAACAATAAAATCAGTTGGGGTTGGGGAGTATTGGTCCAGAAAATAAATATCACTTCAAAACCCCCCAAGGTACCTTATATTGAAAAATAATTGAATGTGGTTGGAATGCCCTTAAGCTAGAACATTTTGGGCTCTGCTTATGTTTCTATTACGTGGAGAATTCCATAAACTGGAAGACATCTCTTTGGAGTTTGATAACAAATTAACATGCCAAGCCATTTTGGTGACTGGGAGATCTATGAGCAAATTCTGGCACCATCAGGGTATTGGAAAATAGTGCTTCACAAGCTCTGCAATACCTGCCTCATGGATGATCTCACGGCTAGGGTGGAAGGCACGAATTCCACATGTTGCAGTCTGGTAGACATATTTTGAAATGTAAGTAAGATACTTTGAAGTATGTGAGAGATCATGAGGGTCCATTTTGGAAAAAAAAAATCTTGATAAGGTTATCTTTATGCAGTGTGGTTCCTGCCCAATCTAAGTAGAATCATTTATGCAACTTGTTAAAAAAAATATGAGTGAAGGATGAGCAAGTGGGAGAAACCCATAGCTGGAGGATTGGCTTGCAACCAGCTACTTAACGTTCCTTTTTAATAATAATGATATACGTGAACAATCCATTCTAGCACACAGCACAACATTCTCATTTCTAAGCTTGACAAGACCAAGCATTACAGACCTCTTAGAGACCCATCTCATCGCTCAACCAAGATATTAAAATTCTTACAAAGTTTCCAGGCCCAAGCATATAATAATTACTCCATTCTTAGCTATTGTTAAAAGACTCATCTGGACTGTATTTTCCAACCTATTGTCTTTGAAAAATGATCATTCATTAAAGTCACTACTGATTTCCTGAATGAATTGTCAACGTTTGACTGCCTTGGTGAGGTCAGGTTCTTGCCTACAATGGATGTGAACAGCCACTGGAGAGCATTTGGAGGATGCCAACCTATCTACACTCTTTAAGCCAACCATAGCTCACCTTTAACTGCACTGATAATGCATAACCTTGCTAAAACAGCATAAAAGCACTGGGTTAATTTGCCCTTGCGATTAACAGGCACATAAAACAAACAAAAAGAAACAAAGAAAAGTTTATTTAATTTTAGAGTGCTGGAGGTGATAGGTTTCTGCCACTGAGACCCACGATGCATAAATCAATCAAATGAAGAAACATCACACACCAACATCTTAGTGTAGATACCTACGTGTAACAGTGCATCCGGTCTCATCGTAAGATTCCCTCCTTACTACTTCCACGTCTTGTATCAAAGCTGCAGATTCTGAATCAATCTGTGGTGTAAAATCCAGCATTAGACCCAGTCACTGAAGTATAACAAACGGTCTATATCGTATGTGAAAAGTGGAACTGATACTTCTCTGGAAATATCACCTCTGTATAAAATACTCAAAATTACCTATAACTTGTGTTAACCTTTTTTTTCATGTAAAGCTCTATTTTATTGTAAAATTCATATTTAAGATTTAGTACATGATGAGTCGTGGGTAACATGAGAGGGCTTAAGTACTGAAAGATAATTACAATTCTCATATTGTCTCAGATTATCCATCAAGTAAAATAAATCCTATACTTCTTGAAAAATAATTAGAAAAAAAAAAAAACAACAAACATTTAGGATGGGAATAGTACTTTAATAACATAAAAAAAAAAAAAAACCTCTGTAACCTTATTTCTTGTGACCTCAGTGACTACGTTCCTACAGAGCTTGTCAATTACAGAACAGTCCTAGCCCATCACATGCATCTGAAGATATATACAGAGATTAAAAAGTAGGGCAATATGTGATGATTTGCACTCATTCAAGGTTAGGAATGCTTAAAATTAATAAAAATTGTCACCTGAGTCACCATATTTGCTGCAATATTAATATCGCTCCTGCTGACTGGATAGAGCATTCAGTTGAACAGATCCACCACTCATATTCTGTGTTTATCCCTAAAAGAGAGGCACAATAAGAGTGAACACATTGACATATAATACACTCCTGATTATAAGCTTCCGTTAGCTCATTGGTTGATAGTGTCAGCTGATTGCTCACACCCAATAAGATAGAACTTGCACTGCCGAGCTTAGCTCAGTGACAAAAGATTTCAGCTGTGAAGAGGCAGGGAAGAGTGCCCGCTGGACCCCACGTAAGAAGTCAAATTGTTGGAAAATGGTTTTACTGCTTACATTGGAAAAACAAGGTCATCCCAGGCACCACACTACAGTGAGCTGTATTGTTGTTGGCGCTTGGCGGGTTCCTTTAACCCCTTAATGACTAAACTTCTGGAATAAAAGGGAATCATGACATGTCACACATGTCATGTGTCCTTAAGGGGTTAAAGGGACACTATAGTCACCAGAACAACTACAGCTTATTGAATTTGTTCTGGTGAGTAGAATCATTACCTTCAGGCTTTTTACTGTAAACACTGTCTTTTCAGAGAAGAAGGGGAGAATTATGGGATTGTTGGTAAATGAGCAGTTATGGGCCTTGATTTAATAAACTTTCCAAATTATTCAATACCTTTAGTAGAAAACTTTCTAAATGGCCTCGCCAGTGAGGAGGTATAACTGATTTGGGTGATTTAAGCAGATGATTAACAATAGAATTCTTACATTGGAAAAACAAGGTCATCCCAGGCACCACACTACAGTGAGCTGTATTGTTGTTGGCGCTTGGCGGGTTCCTTTAACCCCTTAATGACTAAACTTCTGGAATAAAAGGGAATCATGACATGTCACACATGTCATGTGTCCTTAAGGGGTTAAAGGGACACTATAGTCACCAGAACAACTACAGCTTATTGAATTTGTTCTGGTGAGTAGAATCATTACCTTCAGGCTTTTTACTGTAAACACTGTCTTTTCAGAGAAGAAGGGGAGAATTATGGGATTGTTGGTAAATGAGCAGTTATGGGCCTTGATTTAATAAACTTTCCAAATTATTCAATACCTTTAGTAGAAAACTTTCTAAATGGCCTCGCCAGTGAGGAGGTATAACTGATTTGGGTGATTTAAGCAGATGATTAACAATAGAATTCTTATATTGTTTAGTTCACAGGAGGGTATGATGTAGTAATAGAATTAATGGCGGTTCCAGGGTAACCAAAGCATTTGAAAGCCTGGAGACGGTAGTTTGTATAGTTTTCCAATAAAATGCGAGTTTGGCACACAACCACTAAATATGGTCATATGTGCCTATCAAATCTCCACATCTCTGGAATCTGCCCATAACATAAGGAAACGGTAAAGAAAACCAGAAGTTATATACCAACTTGAAAATAGTTTAAATGCAGTTTCCTGAAATTTAGAGATCGAACATTTATGGACATGTATAAAAAAATATTTGCAATTAGACTGAAGAAAAGAAAGGAAATTGACAAGTTTCTGTTCCAAATGAACTGCATAGTTTAACAACAAGGGCTTGGCATGGGATATCAGTGAATTTAAAGGCGTGTGGTCCAGTGAGAGGTACTCTCAAAAAGAGTACATGTAGCCTCAAGAGGAGTCTGTTATCGGCAGAACAGATGAGTTTTTGGGTTTGCAGATATAAAGTGGTGCAAGTGATAATACCTCATCCTGTCTCACCACGTTTGAGGCCATCATGCCCTACAGCCATGGGAATTCACCTTAGGGAGCAGTTGATAGGTCCTACCAATTTGTGTTGGTGGAGCCCCCAGAAAACTAATGACAAACCTTGAACCCAGGAGAAAAGGCTGGGTTATGGGACTTGGGAAATAAAGGAGACAGACGTGAAGAAATATGTAGTTTACTAATTAGCTTATAAAAAAATGTTTTAACAGTTGGGCCAACTAGAGTGTGTGAGGGTGTAGAAACAGCACACTCCGACAGCTTTAACCATGGTAGAAAGCCCGGTGGCAGGACCAGATTAAGAGCCCAGTGGGCCTGGTGTTGACAATGATGGGCCTAATTACAAAATCAACCAAAAACACTAAAACTGTCCTACCTCCCAAGCACCATGTATCTGATGGAGATGGTGCTGGAGGGAAACTCATAGGATGCAGCTATGAGAAAACACATACCCTATGCTAATCTCACGCTTTCATCTTTCAAGTAAATCCATACCCATTAACAGCAGTGTCCAGTAAAGCAGGAAGTCTATGGACAGGGGTAAAAGGGTGGGCCACTGACGCAAATCACATAACAAGAACTGTTGAAAGGGGCAAACATACCCCAAAAAGGTGCATGTCTATGTCCCCATGTCTCCCAGTCCCTTAGTGTCTGTGTCCCCATGTCTCCGAGCAGGGCCGCCACCAGAAATTTTGGGGCCCCTAACTGAGATCAGGGTCTGGGCCCCCGGGGGCCTGCCTCCAAATCCCACCCACAGGAAAACACACAAAGATACAAACACATTTATTGATACAAAAGGACACAGATACACACATACATACTAACAGACACACATACTGATACGCATATAAGCATACATACTGACACACACATACTGAGACATACACACATATACAGACACACAGACGTACAGACAGACACATACTAACATACATACAGACACACGTGCATAAGGACATACAGACACAGACACATTCATAATGACATACAGACAGACGGACAGACATACATTCATACTGGCATACAGACACTGACATCTATACATACATACACAGACATACATACATTCATACAGACATACATGCATAGAGACACTGACATCCATACATACACACATTCATAATGACATGCAGACATACATAGACACAGATATGCATACATACAGACATACATGGACATACATACATACAGACATACATGCATACAGATAGACATACATACATGCATACATACAGACAGACATACATACATACAGACACACACACACAGCTCATTTTCCAGCAACCCTCCCGTTTCTTACCTTTTCGTTGTAGGAGGGTGGCTGGGGCTGATGGGAGTAGTCGGCTGACTCTCCCTTGTGCCGGGTGCGCGCTCCTCCCGCGCGGAGTGAGCTGGGAGGAAGTGACACTTGCTGTGGCTGGTTTTTTTTGTTGTTTTTTTTTATGGGCCCGGTCGCGCTATACCACGGCCACAGCGCTGACCGGGCCCCTGAAGACATAGGGCCCATCGGGTGGCCCTAAGTGCATGGGCCACCCAATGGGCCCCATCAGCGTGCGGATACTAGGGGACACTTAGAGGCATTTGGACACGGTGAGAAATGGGGACACTGAGACACCAGGGGACACTGGGAGAGACATGGGGACACTGAGATACATGGGGACACTGAGAGACTAGGGACACAGACACTAGGGACACTGAGAGACACCAGGGATACTGAGAGACACCAGGGACACTGAGACATTAGGGACACTGCATGGGAGACATGGGGACACTGAAAGACTAGGGGCCACTGGGAGACATGGGGCCACTGTGTCCCTAGTGTCTCAGGGTCCCCATGTTCCCCAGTGTCCCCATGTCTCCCAGTGTCCCAATGTCTCAGTCTCCCCAAGTCTCTCACTTTCCTCATGTCTCACAGTTTCCCCTAGTGTCTCAGTGCCCCCCAGGTCTCCAGTGCCCCCTAGTGTCTCAGTGTCACCAAGTGTCCCTATGTCTTCCAGTGTCCCCAAGTCATTCATTGACCCCATCTCTCACAGTTTCCCCTAGTGTCTGTGTCCCCAGGTCTCCCAGTGCCCACTAGTGTCTCAATGTTCCCAAGTGACTCTATGTCTCCCAGTGTCCCCTAGTGTCTCAGTGTCACCATGTTTCACATTGTTCCCTAGTGTTCCTTAGTGTCTGTGTCCCCATGTCTCCTTGCAGCCTTTCCCCCCATCACTCACTTACCTGAGCTGTTGGCTGTCTCTGCAGGCTGGGAGCTGCTGTTTGGACTCTCTAGTTTTTATTTTTAAATCAATGGGCCTATTCCATGGGCTTAGGCCTGGTGCTGTAGCTCCATCAGCCGCTATGTTAATCCGGCCCTGCCCGGTGGAATGGAGACACTATCTTGTTCTGCGGAAGTCCAATAGATATTAGGAGGATTACTTGTCCTGCCATTGTCGGTGAGTCTAGAGTCAGGAACTGTAGTAGTAGCAGTTGGATTCAACACTTGTGTGGTAGGCCCCAAGGTGATCAAGCTACAGAATTGGGTGGTCAGAATGGGAAGCAGCTTGGAATGAGTTCGGGGGTTTTAGCAAGACTAGCTACAGATTTTTGCTTGCCCACAGCCTGTTAAAATATTAAAGAAAGCTTGTTTTATCTAACTGACGTGGAGCACCAAGACACTACATATTCATCTTGGTTAGTAGGTAGAAAAGACCTCCATCCAACATGGTTTTATATCATGTCTATATGACAGTTTTCCTCCCACATCAAAAAGTCCAGAAACGACTGTGACAAAGCATAAAAGACAGAATAATTAAAAAACCTGAGATCAAATAAATAATTTAATTATTTCTCAATGTTTGAAGATCTGAAACACTAATCAGTTGGTATAACAATGAGGTTGGTATGAATTGAGAGTGTTTTCAAATAAAATATCTCTATACTGCAATCCTAGCCTGACTGCCAAGAAATGGTTAACACATAAGGGAGAAACACTGTTTCTGCATCTCAAGTGATACTTGATAAATGTTTTTTCTTTATGCTGTACAGTAACATACTTCTACTTCTACTGGGTTTAGCAATGTACACAAGCCGTTACCATTAATGAGGTCAATGATGGAGAGAGAGAATAATGGTTTGCTAATATTTTAATCATACACCTGCAATGATTCATATTCTTGTTAGAGCAGCAATGGCTAAATTTAGAATAGTGTCTAAATATTTCCCATGATGCCTAGCCAGTCCTCGTCATGGCTAAAGGCATTAAAAAAAAACAAATTAGAAGTCACTGTAGCATAACAATTAAATGTTTTTTATATCTTTGGTAATGATTTTAGCTCCAGCTTTTTCCACCCAGACTTTCTTTTTACCAATAAAATGTGCGACTTTCAAAACGTAACCCGCAAATTATTGAAAGTAGATCCTGCACGCTCAGTCAGAATATATACTTTAAACAAATTATGGCATTCTTTGATTTATGTATTTGGACACGGTGCAATTGTAATAGTGACTGGTTTGTAGCTGCCTTGACTTTCTCCATCAGCTACTGCAGTTAATGAATGATGGGAAATGGCATAAAACGTTATTCACTAAAATGAAAATTCAAAGTGATTTTCAGATTTAAGGCCAAAATTTTAAAAAATCTATACTGCTTTATGGCCCTATTGCCATTATTCTTTAGGTGCACCCCCAAAAGACGCCAAAAAAATGCTGTAAAATATGTTTTTACTTACCTTAAACCAAGGCTGGGCGAGGACGCTGACGCTGCTCTTCTACTGACATCATGGGAGCTGCACAGAGGTCCAGTCAAAGGCTTCTAACAGAGAAACTTCTGACTGGCCGATTTATCCAGCTCAGTGCGCATGTGCGCGCTCTTAGCCGTCAGTTAGAGGGGCAAGGAGAGGGGGAAAGGGAGGTAGAGAAGGAAGTGGGAGGTCAGCAACAAACAAAATATTAGCGCATTCAGAGATGGAGGCAGGAGGGCTGCATTGAGTGTGGGAGGGAGGGGAGACACAAGCTTCCCCTTACAGGCTGTAAGAGAGAAGCAATGAATGTCTGTCACCAGCGCACAGTGCTCTTTGACAACCGACATAAAATATGCACCGAAATGAAATTAGGCAGTCCGGAACAGAACTCCAGTCGTCTGTGCTGGGGCTGCAACTAACTCCCAGCACACAATTAAAAATAACTCTAGATGTGCAAGCTGTAACACTGCATGCACATACTCCAACCACCATAACTACTTCAAAAAGCAGTCTATTAACTATTTGCCTGCTGACTGCTAGCACTGCCAGTGGGCAAATAATATTTAAAATTAACATTCGCTTGCAAAAAGCAAGTTAACGATAATTTGTGAACATGCATCCTATCGGACGCATTTGGTCCTAAAGTTTTGTAAAAAATATGCTTTATGAATATTTTTTTATTTTTTTTTAGGTGTTTAGTAAATTACCCTTATAGGCTAAAACAACAGAGCTAGAAAATGGCCTATTTGCTGAAGTTGATCACTTACACTATTTAGGCCTGGTATTTAATTTTGCAAATCCCTTGTCAATTCTCCACAATTTCTGGTTCAATTAAAAACTCCATTAGTAACAGCTTAACTGTCACTAAATAAATGTCAAATTGGCAACTTTAAATAGGACCACAACTAATATAAAGTATAGACTAAATATAAGTATAAATAAATACATTTAAAAAAAATAACAGTAAGATAACTCATAGTCTACAAATGTGTTTGCCATTTGTGTAATTCTCAATACAGGAACATCAGTGTAAACCAGTCAATTCTGAGTATGTAGGAATGCAATATACTGTCACATTTTACAGTGAAAATAAGTGTTAACCATGCCAAGTATATCCACACTATTTATAGTATTGCAAAAACATCATGCACAGCATGACCCACTTGACATTTTAGTGTTAAAACTTCCCTTTTTGGTAAATTATGTAATGGGGGGGAAATCTGAAGTTATACTCCATTCTCCGGTAGAAAGGCTTGCAAAGCATCATGGGAGTTGTAGTTATAAAACAGATTAATATAAAAATAAAGATCAGTTTCTTACCAACCTGCAGATATAGACAGATTGCCTCAAATGACAGGCCTGCAAGATAGGGGGGGTCAAAGGCTCCAGCTACCACTCCTTGTGCCCTGATTGCAGAACCTGGATGCCAAGCTGGCAGAGATAGGGTCATGTAAGTGGGACCCAGCCCTCTGCCACCCTAGAATCTCTTCACAGCCAGTCTTCCACAACCAATTAGCTTGTCAACCTATCTATTACCCTGGAACTCTGGATAAATCCCTCCCCCTTCTGTTTGCAGTCACTCTGGTGACCATCCCCAAGGCAACAGAGATACACACTGCCATGTGACAATTAATAGCAGGCTGGGCAGGTCCATATGTAATCCATATTAACAGCCTTACATACAACCACGTGGGCTGCATTTAACCCTCTCTGCACTCTGAGGATGGGAAGGCTCACATCATTGTTTCAGATTTGTGAAATAAGCACATTTATGTTATTGTTATCCTGTTTGCAGTTGTCTAAAAGAGCTCAGTTAAAAATACACCATGCTCTCCAAGATATGATCCACGTGTATATATACCTCCCAATTGTCCCTATTTAGAAGGGACAGTCCCTATGTTGTCACTCTTTTCTATTAGCTTTATATTGTTGGTGTGTCTGGGTGTATAACAGAGCTCCGCAGCAATAATGCTCACAATAATGTGTCTTTAAACTACAATAAATGTGTTTAGAAATCTGTGTAAATCAGATACATTGTTCTTGTTCAGAATTATATTTTAATTGCATAAATTGTTATTAGTAACTGATGTCACCTATTTGTTCATTTGACATGTTGGAAGGTATACGCATACATTTCCTGTATCTGCTCGGCAGATCATGAAAAGTGATTGCCTGCAATATGTCGCATTTATATATCGCAGGATTAATGGTCACTTGATTTCCTCTCTGCAGCCTTTGAAGTTTACACATAATACAGATCAATGGACATGTGTTGCCTATTAATATTTATAAATGATAAAATTTCCAGAAAAAAAAAAAGATCTGATAAATCTGGCAACACTTAGTTAGAACCCTCAGTAATAACAAATGTGTCATTTTAATCCTTATCTTCCAGGTTACGATCATGTTCACTTTACACACTTTGGTGTAAAATTAATCATTTTTGTCCATCAATATCCTCTTGTTCTTATAGTAGTTACAGTGTGTCTTTTCACTTAAAGGGACACTATATGCACTAGTAGTTACAATACAGCCTAAAGAGAATGTCGTTGTAGTCTTTGCTATGTAAATACTGCCTATTCTAAGAAAAAAACGAAATACTGTTTACATTGCTTCCTAAGGACAGCTCTATGGTTGTCACAGCCACTAGAGGAGTTTCCTGTTATGGTCCTGCAATCAGGGCCGGCCTTTGAGGTGTGCGAGCTATGCGGCCACACGGGGTGCCATGGCAACAGGGTCGACAGGTATCCGACACAGCTCGCAGTCGGTCACCCACAAACTTGCCCAAATTGGAATGCAGGAGGAGCAAGGAGGAGGAAGGTGGGGGCGAGACGTCGGAAGGATCCGCTCAGTGGGTGTCAGGGCGGCAGGTGCTCTTCAGTCAGCAAGTCGGCGGAGTGGGAAACACAGACAGCTGGATCCAGGGAGCAGCAGCCTTTAATGTAGGTGCTTGTCCTTATTGCTTTTCTTTTTTCTTTTTTTATATATATTGATTGCCTTTTATTGAAGGAAGCAAGGGGCTAGTGATAAAGGGAGGCAGGGGGCTGGTGATAAAGTGGGGCAGGGAGATGGTGATAAAGGGGGGCAGGGGGCTAGTGATAAAGGAGGGCAGGGGACTGATGAAGGTGGGCAGGGAGCTGATGAAGGGTCCAGGGTTTTGTTAAAGGGGGTGCAGGTGACAGATTGTGGATGTGCCTGAAATTGTCTAGAGTGGGTCATACAAAGATGGCAGGGGGGCAACACAAGATTGGCTCGCACAGGGCTCCTGAACACCTAAGGCCGGCCCTGCCTGCAATCTTTGGCATCTTAACGCTCTGCATTAAAATGTCAAAACCTTCCCATAGAGATGCGTTGAGCTAATGCATCTTTATGAGGGAATACTGATTGGTGCAGGGCAGCGATTGCTATATATACACAGTTGTCCCTCAAGCTTCCCTGCTGCTTAACACTCAATAAGGATCCCTAATAAAGATGCCTGGCAACCCACAGCCCGAACCCTACAGGAGGTATGGCTAAGGTAAAGATTACACACATACCAATTCATACCAGAATTGGGCGCTATGACAGGCTGATTGCTGTCAGCTGGCACTGTCAGCCAATCACAGCTGTCCATTGCTGCTCAGGTTAATGCTCTGCTATGTACCAAAGCAGCACAGTGGGAATGGGTTGCTGGGGACTCTCCTTTAGCATCAAAACAATAAAAATAGTTTAATGCTGAATGGAAGGATGGGGAGTCCAAACACTACTACTTAAATGGAAAGAAGCAATTACATTGCCTACAATGTCCCTTTAAGTGTTTGTCTGTACAGGTCTGATTAATAGTGAACGAGGAGTCTAACATCTACTCAGGAAGGATTAAGTGCTGTTAGTAAATGTATAATCTAAATTAGTGAAGGGATGAGTAGCTATTTAGAATAATTACACTGGCAAACCTGTATTACTACCCAAACAATTGCTATATTGTAAGGATATCAGCTTGGCTCTTTGGGATTCGCTAATCTTTGTTACAGATTTGTTTGCACTCTAGGCACTAGAACCATTTTATCCCATTGAAATGTTTATAATGTCTGGCAAAGCACCTCCATTAAAACAATTTAACACTAACACTAAATCAGCAGTTCAACACCAAATTAAGGCCCCCTAGCACCCCAAGCCGTGGCCCTACAGGAGGTATGGCTAAGGCAGAGATTACACAACTCATCCTAGCCATACCAATTTGTACCAAGAACGGGCGCTGTAATAGGTCAGTTGACACTCTCCGCCAAAAACAGCCGCTGATTGCTTTTTAAGCTAATGCTTCCTCACTAGCCCAAGCAGCACATGGAAAATGGGTTGCTCGGGACACTTGTTTAGCATTAAAAATGGTTTAATGCTGAATAGAAGGATGGTGCAAGTGGACTCCAGACACAATAACCACTTCAATGAGATGAAGCAGTTACAGTGTTTACAGTGTCCCTTTAAATCTCAATATTGGTATTATTGGGTAGATAAAACCTGGGAGTCATCCACATTTTTTTTGACAAATTGTGAGAGGCATGACAAAAATTGGGGCTCTCCAAATAACCCAGAGACCACTCCTTCACAACTGCATTGACAATGTACAATTAACCCTTTGTGCATTACTTATGTCAATTTTGTCGAGCCTCGGCTATGGTTGTAGGCTAAGGGCATTGGGCTACTCCCAGCACATAGATGATTAGAGTGTCTCTTTAATGTGTTATGCACTGTAGAACATGTTGGTACTATATAAATGATAGGGATGTGCATGGGCAAAAAGTTTGGTTCAGCACTTCCAAAATTCGGGACTTTGGTAATTCAGACATTCGGAAGCATCCTAATGTCCAAATTGCCAAAATTCATTCAAATTTAAATTTGAACCGAAACGTATTGCACATGTCTGATGAATGACAATTGTTCTTTGCTCAAAATTAGGAGCCTTGGATATCGTGATGGAAGCTGTGCAATATTAGTAATCAGTAAACATGGGCACAAATGTGTTTCAGGTGGTACAAACAAATCAATTTCTTTTTAATCAATCCCCAAACGAATCAATCCATCCATGATTTACCTATAGAGCAATATTCAATAAATAAAGCTCCACAGGTAAACTCAGGCAGATCATTAAATTCGGATGTAGATTAAGAGGAATTTGATTTTTTTGTACAGCTTGAAATGTATTTGTGCACAAATCGAATAAGTACCAGTTGGATTGCTCAAATATAAACCAGCGTATAATGTTCAGCAGGCTTCATAACATTGGATTTAGCAATTTGCCTCTTTTCCCTTTATCCCTCTTTTCCATGGGAAGAAGCCTACTCACCCCAATCCCATGATACCTTGTCATTTCATCCTGTCGTCATATCACAATAATAATGACACACTTTCTCCTGACAATACAGACGCCTGGCAGATGGGAGACATGGGGCATGCTATGCACCAAGCTGACGTATAGCCGTGACCGGCAATCATCCAGGCTTATACCTACATGATGCACCAAGAAATGCCTTTCATGTGGGCACAAATGCTGGCAGTGGTCTCACCCTGCTCTTTTTGGCAAGTTCTTCTTTTATGAGACCCTATGGAAGGAAATATGGGGCTGGACCATGTGTCTCATCTCAGTCCTGCCCCACTCTATCCAGGATTCATGTGAAGTCTGGCTCTGTCAAACTGTACGTTTATATGGCAGAAATAAAAATAAAAAACTCACAACTTTATATCTATCTATCTATCTATCTAATGCCTCTTATACAACACTGTAGACTGTTGTGGCATTTTAATGTAGCTCCACAAATCTATGAACGCAGCGGTGCTGTATGCAGTCTGATTGAATCATTTATACTCAGTCAGAAGTTTAAAGAAAAGTGAGAACTCAGAAGATGTGACTCACACAAGGAGGAAATTGTGTGTAACTGAGGCAATCAAGTTACAGCTCTGACCACTTCCTCAAAGCAAACATTCACAAAAATGTCTTGTTTTCACAGACATAAACCCAACATTTGACCAGTTATCATGCCAAAGGGTTTATCGACTAAACAAATGAGTTGACATCAAAATGTATTCTTTCCCTCCCACCCTTTTAAAAAACAAAGTCAAGCTTTTTCTTGCTTTAGTATTCTGGGATAAATTCTGATGTTGATTCCCCGTTTAGTGAATAAACCCCTAAATATTTCTGTTACTTCCCCTTCGTATACAGTTTTGTAGCAGCTTGTATTATGTCATGTGATGTGTAGCAGAAATGCATCTGCCACGTGTTCTTGGAGGGACCTGCTTGCCAGCCTCCTGCCTCAGGACTATGGCCCCTGTGATAAACCTGGCTAGAATACTTTAAAAAGGCTTGATTCGTGCATTTGGAATTATATGGTTTGGGAACCAAACAGCCGCACGAACCAGAGACCACCCTGGAGCTTGTTAAACCCTATTAACACTTGGTAACGATTCTAACCGCAGTGTTCTAATTGATGGTATAGGTGGCCGCTGTTCACATGAACGACCACAAGGTGGCGGCCATCTTGTTTGCACAAACGCAGGCAGCGATGTTTGAGCATGAATCTCACTGAACTGAAATCGGACACAGAAACTCCAGAACACCGCTGGACTTACATCATCGCCTGCATTCGGTTCTACACAATTTAGAAGGACACTGTTCGGTAGAATCGTTCATCTGAACAAGGGGAACAAGCTGCTGGGTAAGACCATTGACTATGTTCGGTAGTTTGTTCATTTTAAACTACCGAACTAGACCTACTGCTAGCCCTGATTCTATGGAACTATTTTGGGCATAGGACCATGCGTGCGGTTTGTCAAAAACAAGAATTCAAGGAAATTCCTGAACCCCTGAATATGAGTGATTCTTGGATATGCTGTTCACTCAGATCGGGGCTATCACTTTTGTGATAGAAATGTGTGTTTTTGTGTCTGGAGATAATTGAGACAATACTTGACTCAATTATCTCCCAGGTACAGAGGAGGGATTGACCTAGTTTGTATGGGAGCGTCCTGGACCTGAGAGCCAATGTGATTGTGTATTTGTTTCTACTGTGGTTTACTTTCAGGTTCAGGGTGGAGTGACCCTTGCATGGGGACTGTCATAAAAGGCCAGTTGTGGTCCCATTAAAATGAGTTCACTTCACCCTCAACACACAGCCTTGTCTCGTTATTGTAGGGAACAGCTATTCCAGCTATCTCCAGACTCTCTGGAGTAGGAGAGGTCCCAGCCAAGCTGCGGCGGCTAAGAGGCTATGGTGCTTATGGTGCTCGGTGTGGTGCTTATAGTACTCCAGGCTACTAGGAAGCAGCGATTGGCAGAGTCACCAAGTCGGGTGCCAGGCAGTCTGTCACATGATGCAATCAGTCCAATCAAACAGTTCAGTTATCCAGTCTTGAGGCAATATTTAGCACATGCGCATGTTTGAAAGTCAGGACATTTAAGCCCATACAACAGCTTTTGAGCAGTGCGCAGAATATGCACCGCTCTGATTGGCTGCCCGGTCTGTCTTCCTGGAACACGTGGCGTGGCGTGGCGTGGCTTCTCTCATTTTCCAAATATTAGACCTGATAAACTTGTCAGGTCTGGTAATGACCTGGAAATTAATTTGTACACCTTTTACAAACACGGACTATGCAAAACTACATATGTTTTTATACAAGAGTTTTGTGAGTTATGTTGTCTCCCTAATTAATACCACAATCCTGTTAACTATTTTTCTTTGTGTAGTAGGTGACGTTTCAAAGAAAAGCTTGATTTTCTCTAATTTATCAAACTGTCATTACTCTGTAAACTTGCTAGCGACATTTCATGTATCTGGGAATGCTCAGGGCTTTCTCTTAGTGATCAGGGATTAACAATGGATTCAGAATCCACAGAATCTATAGGTACTAGGCATTTAAAAAATTTTATAAAACACCATGATTTTCAGAGAAAAGGCAGTGTTTACATTACTGCCTAGGGAGGTGTTTCCCAGGTCAGTGAATGTACAGCACTGACGTTCAGCTTCTCCACCGTCTGCATGGAGGCACTGAACGTTCCTCATAGAGATGCATTGATTCAAGCAAATGCATCTCTATGAGGAAATGCTGATTGGCGCAGCATATGTACAATAATGTAGGAAAGCATTAGATTGGCTGAGTTCATCAAGTTTGATTATCTCAACCAAGGAGGCGGAGCTAGCTGCAACAAGACCCATGCAGGGCTGGAAAAAAGGCAAGTAAAACACTTTAACAGAGGGACAAGGGAGGCCAGACGCCCCTATTAGAATTATAGTGTTCGAAATATGTTTGGATTCCATACAATATATTGTTCCTTTAACCCCTTAAGGACACATGACGTGTGACATGTCATGATTCCCTTTTATTCCAGAAGTTTGGTCCTTAAGGGGTTAATAGTGAAATGTAGCAAAACTGACACATTAACTAGAAATTCTAGGCAATGAAATTCAAAATAGATAAGATGAAATAATACTCCAAATCTCTGTACATAACAGATGGGGGACAAATGCACCCTTGAATTCTCTTCATCCACGCTCTACTCTTGAGCATTAGTGAGAGTACAACACTGAGGACTATAGACATTATTGCAAGATCTTCTCATAATGCGCAAGGAAGTGCTTCTTTCACACAGATGTTGCTAGCGATGGCTGTGGAAATTGAGAAGTTGTCAGCAGATGTTCTGCCTTTTGTTAACATGTACTTTGTCCACAAGAAAGTAGTCCTTTGTCTTAGTGAAATTCCATATCAGTCAACAAGAGTACAGTGGATCTTCGGAACTCGAACATTCCTGAACAATTCGGAAGTTGAACTAAAATTTTGCATAAAAAATGTCTCAATAGGCGAATGATCCTCGGTACCCAAACATCACACGGCATTCACAGAAGGACACAAGTGTGGGGAAGCATGGGATACAAGTGTGAGATGAGGAAATATGGGCAGATGGACTACGTAAAGTGATTGAGGGGAATATAGGAAGAAGACCAGAGGGCCACAAGTAAAGGGTATAGGCAGAATTATTAGTCAAGGAGAAAGAGGAAAATATGAGGATACCAGAGGACAAAGGGACACGACTAAGGGAAAAGAGACTATGGCCACAAGCAGAGGAAAGAGGGTATTTGATATTTTGAATATGATACAGCCATTTTATATGTAATGTCAGAAGAACAGTTACCTACCCCCATCCATGTCATTTTGGGGGTCTGGAATGCATTAAACTAATTTACGTTAATTTCTATGGGAAATGTTGATTCGGTTCTCGAATAAATCGGAACTCAAGCAGCCTTCTGGAATGGATTAAGTTCGAGTTCCAAGGTTCCACTGTATCTCATTAGATTTGATCTTTATTAAATACTCATAAAGTGAGCAGAGGTGACATACCTTAAAGAAACAGTCACTTCCTAAATTTAAGTATAACCAAATAGAAAACTAAAAGTTAGCTACTGATTCGTGCTTGTTTTTTGTTTTTAATATAAAAAAAATATATATATATATTTTTTCTCCCCCCATTTAGATTTGCTTGGCAAATCATCAAAATTATGTAAATTTGTTAACAAATTTACATAATTTTCTGCAAGAGTTAACTCTTGCAGTGATATGCGCATGCACAGAATTTCTCCATTAGATGCCTGAGCACACTCAAACCGGAGGCATTTTAGGACAGCAACTAATATTTTTTTTTTAAACTTGGCTTTATTGACACAGTAAAGGTTTACTCCATCTAAGGTCAGTCAATTTTACTACACTGTTCACCCCATCAAAAAAATAGATAAAACTAACCTCTGCTCTCACACAGAGGCAAAGTTCTCGAGGCAGATAGTTGATTCTCCAGAAACGTCACTCCTCCTATGTCTACAAGGGTGGGCTGTGCTGCCATTGGTTGCCTGCATGGTAAGAGTGCTGATGACAGATGTCCAATATGCATAGAATTGACATTAGCCAGCCCTTCTACTGGCTTATTATGTTGCCAGAGGTGGAGTTACATCTCTGCAAGCAAAGGATTATATCTCTATGTGCATAGCAAAATGCTGCACATACATACAGACTCCAATCACCATGATCACTGGAATAGTTATGGTCCTTGGAATAACTCTTCAACAAGTGTGTGCGAGAGAGTGTCTGTGTTTCTGGAGGGCCCCTATAATATTTTCTGTGATATTAACATGCTCCCAGAATCCCCATCACTGTAGTAAGACTCTCAAAAAATAAATGGATTATAATCTAAATGCAAACATAGCCATGTTCAGACCAGATCTCCCTGTCTTGTAATGAGAAATTAATAGGCTTATTCATTAACTGGAAATTGATGGGAATCAGGTAATTTCAAAATCCTTTTCTCCAAGTCTGCAAATTTTGACTAAATTTAGAAACTTACCACTCATTTCCCAATTAAGAGAATATCCCTTAAGCCGTCTTGCAGGAGACGAATTCTCGGTGGTGGTTCCCTGATCTAAATGAATTCACTTCACAGTTCTAAATATTAATGCAAGCTCGACTACATGAGAAGGGTGCAGGTGGGAACATGAAATTGAGCTTGAAGATGGACTATTCTGGAAACCCAAATTAACCAATAGCCCCTCCTCCCATTGATGTAATCCCTAAAAGTTTTAAAGCAATATAGATATATCTTGCTTTAGGCCTTCCTCTCACATGTACTTACTAAAAGTAGTATGCTTAACACCCTATTGAAGATGGCCATTTTACATTCTTTCAAAATTAGCATTAACAGATGGGAATTAAATTGCTCCATCTACGCAGTTATAAAACCCCTTACTTTTTAAAAGTATTTGTTTGTTAGAATTCCTTTAAAGACCATATAGAAAAGTGCAAACTGAGACAGGACAAAAAAAGTCTTTATTTTTAAACAGGAAAAAAAGGTTTTATAGAGTTAAGTGCAAGAAAAAGAGGGGGAACAAAAATAAAAACAAAATATAATTTTACAGTATCCCAATTCCCATAACAACATGGAAGTTGACCTTATGTAAACCTTTAAGAATCAATTACAAAACTCTGTCTTAAAGTTCTTGGACTAACCATAGGATACTGAAAGAAAACCAAAAGAAGTCTACACGACTTTTTCAGAGCAGAAGGCTCAATATCACCCGTTGAAACCATTTAGCTTGCCGAAGCCATATTTTCATTATAGCAAATTAATCTTGCTCTTATTACAGTACCTGTGGACATGATGGCAGTCTTGTTTATTTTTTTCATTTGTAGATAAGTCCATGTTTTAGTTACAAACATTGTATAACAAAGCGAGCAGATCAAAAGCTTAGTGTGCAAGAGAACTGCTGTGAATTCTGTCGAAACTCAAAACCCTCGACAATTTTCTGTTTATTCAATCCTTGTCAGATTTTATTTTGTGCAGGGAAAAAAAAATTAAATTATATATCATTTTGCAGGGAGGAAAGGAAAGAAAAAAAGGCAAGCTGCTTTCAACAGATGCCTTTACCACCCATGTTCCCATTGTGAACAGCAATGAAGTTACTGGAGAGTTTGCAAATATATATCAGAAAAGAAATTAAAAAAAATAATTCATGACTTTAAAAAAAAAAAAAAAAGAAAGTGAATACAGAATCAGACAAGTACAACATTTCTCTCAAAATAAACAATAAAAATATTCTGTCCCATCCTGTGGGGGATATTGGAATGAAGGTAAATGCCATAAACATTTCCCCCAGAGGTCTCCCTGACGAACAATCACTGCCTCTCTATACCGCACTTTAATTGCAAGCCCCCCCCCTATTACTCCCAGCCCAGACTTTTTTTCAGCAGTGATGCAGAGATCCATGGGCGAGACGAGGAAGTCACATCCTGCAGAGCATCCCACAAACTTTAAAACTGCAAGGTAAACAAAAATACATGTAAGGAAAACAGCAATACTGGAATTACTAGAACAATGAAATTATGTGCATGTACCTGGACTACAAAACAAAGCAAAAAACACCTGTCAATGTCATTTGCACCAATTGCTCGGGATCTGATAATCTTCCTTTGGCATCCCTTAAAAGGAACTAATTGGCAAAGTTCCCTCAGCAAGTGTTATCTTACATTACATGGGGCAATTTTGGAAAATTTTGCTTAGAGAATCTTAAGGTAATACAGAAATGGCCTACATAACCACACATATCTTTCCTTCCATCATTGCCTGTTAGGGTCTACCCTTGGAAAAGAGACAAAGGGATGGAAATAGAGTGCATTTTTAAATAGAAAATATGAACCCAGTATTATAAATGCTCAGTGGCAACAATTTTTGTTTTAATTTTAGAAAATCTACATATGCACCCACTTCAACCTGAAAATAAAAAATTAACTTCATATCTTACATTCTTAAGGAATTCCTCAGCAACGATACGAGCTCTTGCATTCACAGACAATTTCATCTCGCTGATTTCCTTATCAATCTCTTCCATGAAATGGATCACAAAGTCGACCAGCTTGTGTTTGTACATCTGCTCCGTATGGAAGTTTGTGATCAGGAAGCTGATATCGTATCCCTGGTTACAAGAACAAGTCTTTTACTGACAGAACTTGGACCAAAACACAGTAGTCAATCATTAACTGTTGAATTCCATTGAATCACACCACAAAGTTTTTGTTTGAGGAAGAGAACAGAATGTAATCTTATCCATTGCACTTTTAGAGCAGTCTTTCTTACCAAAATTCCAATCTGCATTTGGTGCACAATCTTCCATAAGTTCTATGTTCATGTACACCATGATGTACATGATTGCGATGCAACCCAGTTCCCAAAACAGTAAGAATGCTGGTAGCAGAAACCAATGGAATAATTATATATATATATACACACACACACACAAATTCGGACAGGAGCACTCACCTTTTCAGTAAGTTTTTTGATATTTAATATACACACACACATTATATATATATATATATATATATTATATATATATATATATATATATATATATACACATATACATACATACATATACACACACATACATACATACATATATACATACATATCGGGAACTGGGTTGCATATATATATATATTTTGTGCACTGTCATTATCTTGATAAAGACCCTGAAGGGTGTAGATTGATGAATACTTTTTAATACACTATTGGAAAATCCAAGTGAGTGCTCCTGTCTGAATTTGTTTATTTATTGGCCTGGAGTCACCCGGGTAATATATTTTTGATCTCTTATTTTGTGTTGAGTGCCAGAGTCTGGACGTATAAAAAAAATAATAAAAAAAAATAATATATATATATATATATATATATATATATATATATATATATATATATATATATATATATATATATATATATATATATATATATATATATATTTTACCAATGGGAGGGGATATTTAAGATAGACATCTATTCAATGTGTTGTGGCAATTTTACTTTTTTTTTGGGTGATATATAAAATATATTTTTTAAAAAGTCAATGCCGCTACTATCCGCTCTACCTTGCAGGCTCGCTGCCTAGGTGCTCATTGACTCGGACCTCTTCTTTACCCCTCATGTCCAATCGCCAAATCCTGCCACTTTCATCTTAAAAACATAGCGCGCATTGGACCCTATTTAACGCCTGATACGGTAAAGGTGCTTGTCCATGCCACTGTCCTCTCTTGCCTTGACTACTGTAATCCGCTTCTCAGTGATTTTACGTGTTCCCAACTTGCCCAGTTACAGTCCATAATGAATGCGGTGGCGAGGCTCAACTTCCTGTCCGCCTTCACCTCCCTCCTATGTCAGTCCCTACATTGGCTTCCCATAAGATATAAGATCCTGATAGTTACGTACAAATCTTTGAAAACTTACTTCTTTAAGAAAGCATATCAATTAAACTATGAACAGCTTTCCTCCTTGCACATGCAACTGTCATCAAAACACTATCCTAGCAACCTACTTTTCTACCCTATCCTTACCTTTTGTGTCACATTACCCCACTCCCTCTAGCATTTAAGCTCATTGAGCAGGGCCCTCAATCCCTCTGTTCCTGTGTGTCCAACTCGTCTGGTCACAAATACGTGTCTGTTAGCCCACCCATTGTACAGCGCTACGGAATTTGTTGGCGCTTTATAAAATAATAATAATTACAGATGTAAAAGAATGGTGACCACAACACCAACACAAGCCCAATGGGGAAAAAACAAAACAAAACTCAAGCCCGAAAAGCCCATGATGGGCATGAACATCGACGAGATGTGGCGGCAGGCCAAGGGCGCCTCAAGCTCAAATATGGCGTCCTTACACGGCGAATGCTCTGATTTCGATGCCGAGACGTCCGATGAAGACGGAGGGGAACTCGCCCTGGCAAGGCATAACTCACCGCCAGCCCGATCACAACACCCGCCTCCAGCCGCGGCCCCCACGCCAGTGAGCATGGAGGCCATCAGAGAACTTATGGCGGAACACCATAACAAAAGCTCAGCGGATGTTGCCTCGATTAGGGACACACTGCGGGGCCTAACTGGGCGACTAGGAGCCGTAGAAGACACCTCAAGCACCCACACCAGCCAAATCCAAAAGCTACAGCAAGAGGTGCAGGAGCTGAAACAGCAATCTATTCAAAACGACCTAAAATTTACCGAGCTCGAAGACAAACACCGACTAAAACACCTTAAGGTTAGGGGCATCAACGAAAACATACCTGACGCTGAGCTACCGCATGTCATTCGGCGGCTCCTCGCGGCCCTACTAACTCCGAAGATAGCCAAGGCAGTAGTACTCGACGGCATGTTCCGTATCCCTAAGCCTACCAAAGCCCCAACCACAGCCACGAGAGACGTAGTCCTGCAATTCCAGACTTTAAAAGACAGATCGGCAGTCCTGGCGGCCGCTAGAAACCATCCAACTCTACAAAGAGGTGACTCTCTCCTTCTATGTGGATCTTTCAGGGGCAACACTGGCACGGAGAAGGACCCTGCAACAGCTAACATCCCTCCTGCGAGCTCACCACATACAATACCGCTGGGGCTCTACTCACACCTTGCTGATTACCAAGGGTGACACCACACTCACAGCGCGACACATGCAAGAAGCACCGGCGATACTGGGACAGCTGGATCTCACCACGGACTCATTATCACTACCAGGGCCAACAGAACGACCCAAGATCCCACCGAATTGGGGCACAGCCAGTGCAGCGGAATTCATTCCCAGACGACTGACCGAAGCACCCATGGATGCAGCCGACACCTGAATGAACTGCCAGGACTTTCATTTAAACCACTGGGACGTTACCCCCAACATACAAAGCCCACCTCAGTCAGACACACTTTAAACTGGGACTCTCACCTACCGCATTTCTACAGGTATGTCTTTACCCATGCACAAACCAATACCCTTTGGACTTCAGCCCAAATGTGGTGACATTATCATTCATATAATATATATATATATATATATATATATATATATATATATATATATATATATATATATATATATATATATATTTTTTTTTATTATTTTTTTTTTAAATTTTTATAGCTTAACCAACAGAAATAACATTACCATGAAATTATATACGTGCTCACCTTGATGCTCTTAATTAGCCAGATGACCCACTCACAGCTAGCATATGCAAAAAGCATAATTTCCAGCAGCCCATACACATTTACCATTGAGCGCAAGTAATCGCCTCATAGCCCACACAATCCTCATATCTAGTTAGAAAAAAGGCAGCCCAGTCTTCTCATGACATTGTTGGCATTGTTTTTACATGTTATAGTTTGAACGCATTAAGTTTAACTACGCATATAATTTAACGCTGGGTCAATGCTCAGATAGCACGGTAGCACCACGGCGACTAAGCCGTGTCTTTAAAACCCTCACAAGCACATTCCTACTCATCTGAGCAGAAACCTTTGAGTACTGTCGGAGTACTTGTAGATCCCAACTTGACACACCGCATTAGATATATGTACCCAACTTGCACTTAACCTGCCATATGTAAACATTACTACACTTGTATATGCATTATAATATAAAACGTGCTTCTACTCATGCCACTGTTTGTCATGTAAATAACGTGTACGCTGTTGTGGCGTTTAACCTGCAAGGTACTCACCTGCACGACAAAAAAGAATAAAAAATAAAAATAAAAAAAAAAGAATGAAAGATGTGCTTTAGGTAAGAGAATAGAGCCCCATTGAGAGACTGATTGAGCAATGTTACCCAGGAGCACATTTGAAACGTATAGGAATTATGAAACATGTGACAGAGGGTAAAAACAAGAAAAAATTAAATCTTATTTGGCTTTGAATGCCGAATACTCTCCACTACAGGAGGTCAAATGATTATACACTCCAGGCTGGAGACTGTAACAAATACAAAGGTATCTGCTGTGACCTTTACCTGTAACCTAAAGTATGCCTTGAACTAGGAGTGCAAGTGGTGGCAAGTCAATACAATAGCCTAGCCAAGAAATACTTTTGGACATACGCAGAAGAATCTGTCAGGTTAATAAACATTTTTTATTTATTTTTTAAAAGAGATAGTGGCCAGAAAGAACAAAACAAAACAAAAAAAAAAGAACAAAACCCCCCCCCCCAAGATGAGCTTCCTGTAACCGCAACTTGTAGTGGCTATAATGCTTTGTGTGTCCTTTAAAAACGGACACTATAGGCATCCACACCACTTCAGCACATTGAAGTAGTCTGGGTGGTCTGTGTGCAGAGCACCTCTCCCATTTAGCCCTGCAATGTAAAACATTGCAGTTTTAGAGAAACTGCAATGTTTAATTTGCAGGACTGAGACATCCTCTACAGCCACTAGAGGCGACTCGTGAAGTTTACCAGACTCTAGGTCACATGACGCTGGAGGTTTTCAAGCTCTGCCTGAGGACATCCAGCATTGGCAGAGCGTAATGCACCAGTGGCGGGAGGAGGAGGAGAAGTGCCAACCCAGAGTCGAGGGAGGGGGATTTAAAAAAAAAAAAAAAAAAAATTTTTAAACCCTTTGTGCGCTGGTGGAAGGGGCGCAATGGAGAGGGGGACCAGATGGCAGTAACTTTTTATTCCCAACACTATAGCATCCCTTTATATGCACTGCTTTGTGCTCACCTAAATTTCTCCTTTAAAGAGGAGTTCTCTCTCTTGGAACAGTGAGTTTGGAAACAAATAGCAAGAACATCACAAAGGCTGCATGACCAGCAGAGAGCTCTTACCTCTACAGGCTTTCGGCGCAAGATGAAAAAGTTTTCAGCTCTCATCATCATGAAGCGCATAAATTTATGGCACAAGATCTTTTCAATTTCATCAGCCTGGAAAATAAAGCAAATTATAATGTTCATGTATCATTGGCAGGGGAGATAGAAGTGAAAGTACCTCTAAAATCGATAATCTGCAGATGCTCTAATGTTTGCATGTTAAACCCAAGAAGGTACATGGATGCAAAAATGTCTCCCTCACTTAGTATGCTCTTCACCTACCTATTTTGTACATTTCTATAGATTGCACACACATCCCACCAGTTCTCTCACACTTTTCTATTCTTCAAAACCTCTGTGTCTACATGAAGTTGTTCATGATGTCATATGTGATTTTTTTTTCTCATTCGACCTACATCATCATCTCCTTCACCATCATGTGATTTTTGGAAACACACCCCTTTCAAATATTTTAAAATAAGCATTTTTGCTCAAATTATCTCCTAGAATCCCGAGTTGCAGTAATTTTCTAAAATTGCTGCAGCTATCAGCGCACCACCTGCTCGGTTAAAATCAGAGGGGAAAGCAATGGTAAGGCCTGTATGTGTCATACAAGTCCCTATTACCATGATAAGCTTTCTTCAATCGTTCTATGAAAGAGCTTGCGCTCCAGTTACAAACCAAAAACCTCCAAAACCCCCTGCCGAAAAAAACCAAAAAACATGAATTACTTTAATAAACTTCCCGAATTATCAAATACCATTACAAAAAAAAAAAAAAATCAACTAGTTTATCTTTAGAAGTCTCCATTAAAGACTATGGGAATATTTATAGATAAATCATATGGTATGCTTGTTAAATCAAGGCCAATATGAGATGCACCATTATGGCTAATATTTTGTGAAAAAAGAACACTGATCAAAATCAGGCTGCTAACAAAAATAAATAAACCCCAAAAAATAAATTGGAGACTAATCGATAGCAAAAGATGAGTTATACTTTTGCTAGTGGCAAACTAATGCCACTTGTTATCATGATGTAAGAAAATAATGTAAATACAAAAATAACCACATATACAAAACTTATCAAAGTGTGGCTATTGTGTTACAGAACTCCAAAATAACCTCTCTGATATATAGACCAAACGGGGCCTTAATAACTCAGCATACCCTATTTATCAGGAGTGGCCAAGAGGTAGATCCTCAGATGTTTTAAAACTACAGCTTCCATGATTCTTTGTCATTCTAAAAGCATGACAAGCATTCTGGATTTGTAGTTCAACATCTGGGCATCTACTTTTTGGGCACCAATAGTTCTACAATAATATGCAATGAATAAAAAACAATAATTCTACAAATTAAATTATTGGCAATCACAGGACTTGTTGGAAAAAAAAAAAAGTGAACGATGTGTATATTCCATTACAAACAGTAGCAGGTTAGTAAATCTTTCTGACCTTACCGAGTATGTACAAAGGTTCTAAATTCATGTGAATTTTACATGTAACATTACATCTCAGAAAGACTCCCCACCTTAATTAGATAAGAGCCTGCCCAACAAAGCAAATGATTCCTAGTAGCCCACTGTCTCTGCAGGAGACATTCCATTTACATTATCTTAATCTCACTGCTAAGTACACTGCGTTACAATTCTATCTACACATCCAATAGCCACGAGGCCTTCATCACAGTATAAACAACATGTACTTTGCTGAAGGGGCTCTTCCCTAATGTTGTGCCCCTAAATACTCATTGGTCAATATACATTAATTCCAACCTTTATTAAAAATACCATAATTAGATAATTTGTCTAATGATATTTGCCATGTCATTAAAACTATTTGTATTTTAATAGTCTTTGCACTTCAAATTCAACTAAGCAGACCCAGTCACTCTTTTTCAAGAAGATTTTCATTTTACATCTTGTCGACAAATAAAAGGACAGCTACATGGAAAACCAAAAATGCTGCTTTTGACATTCCAGTTACACTCACCTGTTTTACAGCAATGCTGACACGCACAGAGTTAATGGATCCTTCAATAAGAACTTTTTCCTTTTCGTTCCTACTTATAATCACTGGCTGTAACAGCAGCTCTTTGCTACTCCTAAGGTGGAGAAAAAAAAAAAAAAAGTAAATACTTGATAACAGAAATAACAATAAATATGCAGACAAAGTAATCAAGGTTTTATTAGATCCGCTTATTCTGATTGTGTACTTGCAGGAAGCAAGTCCATGTTTCTTATAAGGAAAAGAGCAATGGATATGGTTCTTTTTTAGAGTCTAGGGGGCCCTATTACCGTTTTTTTAGAGTCTAGGGGGCCCTATTTCTAAACTAAAGAAGCTCCCAAAACAATATTTGCAAATGCATATAGTGTTAGCCTCAGTTCTCTCTGTCAACGACTCTCTCAATGCTACAGAAATTACAATTTTTTATTTTTTTTTGACAATGGTATGTAAAAATGATTACAATAAGTAGTGAGCTAATGAGAGGAATAAAAAGTTTCAGACTGCAACACTAAAGTAGTTAGAAGACTAAAGCCCTCAGGTGGCAAGTGTGCTGTACTGCTACTTGGAGATCTGTTACAGGTAGGCTCCTGCACAGGACCACTGGTCACCAAGCTCATTTCATCTTAATTAAGTAGTTTGGGTGCAGTAGGTTTGTCGTTTTTAACACTGCAATGTAAAGCTTGGTCATGTGTTGCGGAAGCTCATAGGAAATCACTTTAATACCTATGAAGCAATGGATTCATACACTGCACTTGCCAAGTATGCGTATCAGGGAGCATCACAAGAGGAGGCCAGGTCTCCTCGATGACGTAAGAGGTGGGCAGGACAATGGTGAGTAAGAAAACTTTATTTTATATTTATTGGAAGGAAAAAGTACAATAGGAGTGGGGGGAGGAGGGGCACCTATAAATAACTAGGGACAAGTTTAAATAATTAGCATTACAGGTTTGCATCCTTCATACTATGTTCCTTTACTGTGAACGAACCTGAGCTACAATTGTCTGACATTCCACCCCCCCAAAAAAAATAATATATATAATTTAGTAGTAGGTAAACCAACAGTAGCGTGGTGTACCTGCTACCAGCTTAGCCAGCAATTCTATTCATTCTGTGTGATGAAAAGAATTAAAGTCACATGCTTAAAGGGACACTATAGTCACTAAAACAACGTTAGCTTAATGAAACAGTTTTGGTGTACATATCATGCCCCTGCAGTCTCACTGCTCAATTCTCTGTCATTTAGGAGTTCAATCACAATGTTTATGAACCCTAGTCACACCTCCCTGCATGTGACTTGCATAGCCTTCCTAAACACTTCCTGTAAAAAGAGTCATCTAATGTTTATCCTTCCTTTATTGCAAGTTCTGTTTAATTTAGATTTTCTTATCCCCTGCTATGTTAAAAGCTTGCTAGACCCTGCAAGAGCCTCTTGTATGTGATTAAAAGTTCAATTTATAGAGAAAGATACAATTGTGTAAGGTAAATTACATGTGATTTAAAGTGAAACCAGTTTATTCATGCAGGCTGTGTCAATCAGAGCCAGGGGAGGTGTGGCAATGGTTGTATAAACAGAAACAAAGTGATTTAACTCCTAAACGGCAGTAAACTGAGCAGTGAAACCTGAGAAGCATGATCTATACACTAAAACTGCTTCAGTAAGCTAAAAGTTGTTTGGGTGACTATGGTATCCCTTTAACCACATATTCCATAAACCCACACTGAGTAGAGATTTATGGGATAATACTTCGTATCATGAAAATAACGAGAGCGTGCTAAAGGGCCGGGCTCCTTGGATTGCTGTAAAACCAAAAGATTTATGGGTTTACCCTTCTTCCCTACCACCACCATGTCCATTAGAATGGCATTTACACAGCAGAAAATCAGTTATGAAAAAGATTAAAAGCTTTCCATCATACCTGACTTCAACTTCAGGCTTGTTATGTCGCTCCACAACCTGAGAAGAGAAATTTTCCAGGCATACTGCCACCTCCAACGTGGAGCGGACTGCGCAGAGGTATGGACGAAGTGTGGCAGTCTGAGAAGGAGACAAATAGAACTGTTAGAAATGCAGTCCTAAAGATCTATGTGAATTACTCAAAATTAAGAGTTCACTGTATCTTTTAACATTCATGAAGCACTACTTTAACCCCTTAAGGACCAAACTTCTGGAATAAAAGGGAATCATGACATGTCATGTGTCCTTAAGGGGTTAAACTGACTGCGCATATTACTCACTAACTAATGGTTCTTTCTTTCTCTAGTGTTTTCTACACTGCTTGTCCTTAATAAAAAAACAAAAACTATTTTATCAAGATACTGCACCATTTTGAACAAAACTTTAGTGGTTTATAATTTTTAAATCACCAGATAAGAGTGATCCTGATGCTGTGATGAGAAATTTGAATAGACCATAAAGCAGGGCTAGACAAATCACAGGGGCCAGGGCGAAATTTCTTGTCACCATGGTGACCTGGCAACTGGGATTTATCATTTGTCAGTACTATAGCTAAGAATGTCGCTGCATGGAACACTGAAGCTGGCTTCCAGGGGGGGCATGCAGGAGGCCAGCCGCCGCAGGGAATTTTGAAGCTGGCTGTCAGGGGGAGAATGGAGGAGTCACCTGAGGGAGCAGTAATCTTCCTGTAGTTCCTCTCTGCTCCCTCACACACTGTTTAGTGATGTTGGGAGATGAATATAACATCACTTCAGCCCTGGCATCCCTACAGAGAGTGCGCAGGGGAGCAGAAAGGAACTGCTGGATTAGAGAGCAGCCTCACTGGACCCCAGGGAAAGATCCACTAAGCTTTCCCAAAGGTAAGGAAGCTGGGTGGATTTAAACTAAAATAAAAAATAGCAATTTGTGAATGTGTGAGAAAATGTGTGTGTGTGTCTGTCTGTCACAGAGAGTGTGTGTCTCAGTCCGAGAGTGTGTGCCTGCCAGGGTATGTCTGTCAGAGTGTGTGTGTCTGTTTAGGTACCTGCCCCCTCCGATCGAATGAGAAAGGTGTTTTTACGCACACTTTTCCCACGCTGTGCCAGTTTTGCCGCGACTGGTCCTACCTCCATGGCTGAGATGATAAATCTTTATGATCTCAGCAAAGACAATGCTTTCCCATAGGAAAGCACTGGGAGGATATTACACATGCGCAGCAAAATACGCTGCGCAAATCAACATCTCTTCATAAAGATGCAATGAATTAGGGCATTTCTATGAGGAGCATTCAGCGCCTCCATGCAGAGCTTGGAGACGCTGAACATGGCTGCTGCACACTGTGCAGCTCTGACCTAGGACTTTAATGGCCGTCTACGTGACTGTCACTAGAGGTGTTACTAAGCAGCAATGTAAACATTGCCTTTTCTCTGAAAAGGCAGTGTTTACAGTGTAAAGCCTGCAGGGACAGGCTAAAGACACCAGAACAACTACATTAAACTGTAGCGATTCTGGTGACTTTAGTGTCCCTTTAAGAAATGTATTTTTCTTTCAAATCGTTTTTATAAATACATTTTCAATAACAATACAAAAGAGAAAATTAAAAAAAAAAAAATATGGGGGAAGAATTGCATGTTTCTTGTTGAAAATTAATCTTTGTTAAAAAAAACAACCTTAAAACTAACTTTTTTAGCACACAAGACCACTGTCACTCCTTGCAGTGGATGGAAAGCTGGTTGTTGCTCCATGTCTCTCAGGTTAGGTGCTGCTCTTGGAAAAAGCTGAAAGGGGGCATATGGGGTTTAACCCCACGTTTCATCTTCACAGTGAGGAAGGTGCTTAGGGAGGAGGACATTTCCCCTCCTCTTATCCAATAGAGCTCCAACTGGGAAACTGAATAAAATCAGGAAAGGAGAGCTTACAGCAGGTCTCACACATTGCTGCCTTACTTGATGCTGGGCCGGTTGTGGAGATCTTCTGATCTCTCCAGCCCGGCCATAGCTGCTCCGGCACCCTTCCATCCATGACTGATGTGACCGAGTGGTCAGTATGCCCAGAGTTTCTCTAAAAATACAATGTTTTACATTGCAGTACTAAGTGGGATAGGGACACTCACTCAGACCACTTCAATGAGCTGATGTGGTCTGAGTGCCTTTAAATAGGATAACTTTTTTTTTTTTTTTATATTCATGTTGGCACAGAGGAACATTTACCAGATGTCCATGCAAAGAGTATTTACAGTTCTCTAGACTACATTGAAAGATCCTAGGTGGAGGAAGGGTTAATATTACCATTCAATTTTTTTTATTAAAAAACAAAAAACACTGATCATTTTATATGAAAGGGTGAGGAAAAGTCCCTGCAAAATATGAAAGTTCTGGTGGCATAACATGTAATGATGGGGTTAAACTCAAATCTGATCTCTGAGGAAACAACGCTGAAGAACACTTCCTACCAGTACTCAAAAATTACAGAAAAAAATATATAAAAAGAATAAAAGCACAGCATCAGCACAAACGTAACCACATGTTCTATTTTAGGAACAGGCTGATCTAGCCATGATGGAAGCTATTTTCATTTGTATTCTACTTTGAAGCACTAATGTTAGGAACTGGAATCTGGCCCAGAATTGTCTCATTGCAGAATGGTAAAATACATCAGCAACAATAACAGTGAAAGACTGCACCACTCAAAATCCATTCATTTTCATTTGATCCAAGATCTATCCCCCTCAATATATTTGAGAAACCTAAACTAGACTGTCTTTTTGATGTATGAAGTATCACATTGTTAAACAAAAACTATAAAAGATGTGGGAAAAAAAAAAAAAACAACATACTTCAAACACCATAACCACTACAGCCCACTGTAATGTTTACAGTGTCAGTAGTGTTTTTGCACTGTCTCACAGTAAGATGTCAAAAATGTTCAGCACAGTTTGACACTTTTCAGGGATCTGATGGACACCCACGCTGCATCCGGCTGATCCAACAAGAGATGCTGAATTGCTCTGTAGTGCAAAGAACATGTAATGCAGAAGCATGCTCATTAGTCGAGGGAGCACGCCAATGAGCTTATAGTGACGGCATCTGGTTTCTCCTGCTTGAGAGGACTGGATGCAGTGTGGGTACCCAGGTAAGTTGTCTAACTACACAAATACAGTTTGACGTTGAATATGTTAACCCTTCACAATTTTTTTCCCTGCTACCTGGCTTTCAAGAAAGATACATCAAAAAGGTGCTAACACCATAGTTTCATTTTAGAAATCACTCTTGGTATATCACAATGAATGCATACGTTCTATAAACAGACTGTATAGGTTATTTATAAAGTCAAGTGATCACCAAGGAAATCAAAGGAATATTCTGACAGCTCCACTTTTAAGACTTCGGCCCCAAACATTGTATGGCAAATACCTAATGTAAACAAAAAACACCTCGATAACATAATCAGGAGGGCAAAAAGCAGTAATAGTACCAGTAAGAACAAAAGAATTCAGCTAAGGTATTCACAGATATTCCCCACAGCCAATCTGATAAGGGAGTACTACTAGACAAATTTCAAAGATTCATAATAAAGGATGTGACTCACAGCTGTTTCAACATGTCCAAACAGGATTGCAAATACCATCTACAATGCTTCACAAAAAAAAACCTATGCCTCTTATCCAGCAAGACTTTCTTAGCCAAAATTATAAACATTTGCCATGTTGTACGGAATTTATTAAGCAGAGAATAGTTACAAAGATTTAATTGGCTGCATAATAGTAAATAATTTCAGAAGACTCTCCTAATCTAAATTCAGAGCTACTTATTGAAGTGTTCATAAAATACCACCATTATTTTGATTGTATTTATTAAAATGATCTAAATAGTGATTGTTTTCTTTTAGTAAAATATTTTGCCAGTTTTCACAGAAATGTCCATTTTGGATGATGTCACATTTGCACTGGCAGGAAAAGAGAAGTAAAATAAACCACTTTTCAGCTAGGTAAAGAGAGGCAAAAAAAAAGTTATAAATCTGTTGCCTTTATGAAAAAAGAAAAAAAAATAGCACATGTTCAGAAATTCTGTTCAGACCAATAGACTGTTTATTTGCTCAATTTTCCGGAAGCAGAGGTGATGGGGTCCCAATCACGCGTTTCTATTTTGTTGGCCTTTGTTAATCTGTTCGCTGTTATAGAAAGAGGAAGTATTGGGGATGGTGCTTGGTCTTATACAAGGTACTGTGTCAGGATTCGTTGAAAGTAAACCTGTATGATATTTTTCCTTTGTGTGTATTATTTCTGCACTGCTATTGTGGATAAGTAAAGTAAGTATTAAGCAATACTGGCCTATGTATCTTTTATAAAAGCATGACTTCTCATCAGGCATGCATATGTGACACACAATGAATGAATGAATGAACTAAAGCTGCCACTCACATACCTATAGTAAAAATGGAAAAGATTAAACTGCCAATCATTCTAAGAATTCATAGTAATGATATTAAAGGCCCAGAAAACTCTGTATCAGGACCCAAATTTAGTTCCCATACCATTTTAAAAGGTCAGAAAAATCCGTAAAATAGAAACATCACATTAATCCAGACTAATAGAGATGACACTCTAAGCACCAGAATCATTACAGCTTAAAGCATGCTTCCTATCAATGAAATGGTCTGGTTGCCATATGCCCCCCTGTTTTAACCCTGCAACTAAAAACATTACCTTCTGCAGATCAGCAATGTTTTCATTGCCTCTAGTGGCTGTCACTCAGACCATTTGACTGGCACTGTGTTGTATTTTGCAATGAAATGGATCTCCAATGCTTTCCTATAGGAAAGCATTGGATTGGCTGAGATAATTAATTTCCGTGATCTCAGCCAAGGAGACAGAGCTTCCATGCGGAGACCAGTGCTGCGAGGGAGAAAAGGCAAGTAGAAAAACCCATTTTACTCCATGCAGTTGGGAGCAGGTCACCTAACCTGCCAACAGGGCAATAAAGCTTTAAGATTACAGATTTAAATTCCTAACACTATAGGGTTCTTTTAATGTAGTGATTCTAACACAAAGATACTGTTCCTGAAGTCTGAGCAATGTAAACACTAGATTTATGCAAACATTAGAATGGGTTCAAATTCCTTTTAAGCCACATCCAAACAAACTGATTAGTCTGGGAGTGAATCAAAAGCAATTTGATTTGGACGAACCAGCTCAAATACATTTTTGCACTAGGCTAGTTAACACAGCCTTTTCTGAGAAATTACCGCGTTTACACATCTAGTGGCTGTTAACATAGCCACTAGAAGGACGTCTCCTTTATAGGACCAATGTTCAGAGTCTTCATGAGTCCAAATGATCCCCATAGAGATACACTGAGGTGACACAGATCTATGAGAAGATGCTGAAAGGCACAGCACGGCGATTACAGCACATGCACAGTAGCCCCTCAATGTTTCTTTGGGGGAAGTGATGATGATCAGAACAGTATCAAGACTGCCAGGTTTGTTCTAGCCTTACAAGCAATGGACACCGAGATAGACTGAAAGCGGTCAGTTAACACTCTCAGCCAATCCACCCATTGCTGCTTTGGCTAATACTTCCTCATTGTTTACATTGCAGGGTTAAATCCACCGCTAGGCTTGTCTTCCTATTTCTATAGTGTTCCTTTAAATTTGGTAATCCTTTTACATGGGTCAGGATGGGAAGTTGTGGCATAGCAAATGTCACATTGAATGCAAAAAACAAAACATTTAGCAAACTGAAGAAGAAAATAAAAATATGGTTCCTTGTTGATTAGTTCATGCAACTTCCTAAATAAAAAGGGATACCCTTCTCTACAAGAAAAATGGCAAAAACAACCCAACGTTGAAAATTAGCTAGTAATTTATTTGTGCAAGAATTACTTGCCAACTAATTATTGTTTACCATATTATAGTGCATGCTCTAATACAGATACCTTTAGCCACAAGAAAGAGTCTAATCAAGGTGTTTAGTAATTTAAGAAGGTGTCCCTCAGCCAATTTTACAAATCTAACATTGGGTCGAACAAGGCTATTCCATGAAAGGAAAAAACAAAGCAAAAACACTACTAATTACTTGCTTGTCTGGTTAGTAGACTCATACAAAATGGATTTAAGTTTGTATAAATCCATTACATTGCTTATAATCTACAGGCGAAAAAAAACAATCCATCTAGGATTCACCTAAGCAGTTTTATTCAAAGAATATAACGCCACGGATAAGTCTGGACTGATCAATTCATTTGGGAGTAGATTAAAAGAAACTGGATTCATTCATACAACCTGAAATGCATTTGTGCCCAATTTTACTGTTTATTAACAGTTAAGCAACAATCTACTTGCACAAATGCTAAGCCGTCACCAATATGGCAAAAATCGAACCATACATACCGATCTGTCACCCTACAAGAGTACATGCCTAGTCAAAAATCTGCCTTTAATTGCCATCTGGCATTTTAGTTTGTGAGTTAGAGTAAGGTAGAAGAAATGAGTGTGCATGTATCATATTTTTTCCCTGGTCAATAACATTCCAATATACATCGCTTTATCAATCATCTGGCCTAGAGATGGCAAATCCATCTTTATATTCTGGATACATTTCATGCCAGTATGGCAAAGCAAGTAAAATAAGGATAGTTGAATTACAGTAGGCAGCAGTCAATGCTGCAGTGGTGGAGATAAATGAATATAGTACGACATTGATTCTGCTTCATATAATAGATGGGGCAGCACTTTTAATGTTCTGCCCATCTGCATAAAAAGTGATGTGTGTCCAGGAAAACATGGTTCTAGTAACCCTAATGAGCCAATTAAATGCCATCTTTTGGCACTCCAGCCATTTTGGACTACACTTCTCATAATGCTCAGCCTAGACTGACTATGTATGGTAGGACAAGCGACCCACAGTGGTTGTAGTGCCTCATACTGTCCCTTAGTGGTGTGTATATATTAAAAGGACTCTCCAGGCAGAGGATTTTACTCACCTGGTTCCAGTGTCGGGAGCCTCGTGAAACCGCGCCCCCTATTTTGTCAAAGTGACGAAATAGGCGGGCACGAGCAATCAGACACTTCCATTTGGAAGCGTCACTGCTCCCTTGTGCGCATGCGCAGCTTCACCACACATGCGCATATACTTCAGAGGGAGACATTCATGCCGCCCTCTGAAGTCCTGAGCGCACTACCGCGCATACAGGGGATTTTAGTACGTCTGACGTGTACACGGCCTTGTTAGAGCCATACATGATAGGAAGTCCCTCTGGTTCACTCTGAGTGACGGCCACTGGAGGTATTCCTATCAATGTAAACACTGTATTATCTCTGAAAATTCAGTGTTTACATTAGATTGCCTGCAGGGAGCTATAGATCTCCCCTGAACACCCTCATTAAGCTGTAGCTGTGCAGGTGGCTATAGTGTCCCTTTAATATTTGGAGAGGCGGCTCACAGGAAGCTCTCCCCTCTGTTAATACTCAGTGACCGGGCCCATGCACACCCAGGGGCCGCTCACAGGCACTCCCCAGCCTTAGAACCACAGCTAGAGGGCCCAGGGTCACCCTGCATCACCCTGCCTCCCCGCAGCGCTCTGCCCCCGGCTCCCCCGGGACAGCCTGCCCTCTCACTCACCATCGCTCCGGTATCCCCCCGATAGCGGAAGTGACAGCTGTGCGCATGCGCGGCCGACTTTCACCCACCCTCACTGACAGTAAGCTGCTGGGCGATACCATTCACAGAATGGGGGGATAGCACATGGAATATTACCCCCTTTGGGTGTCGGAATGGTGAGCAGTACTTCAGATTTAATTACTACCTTTATAATAATTATAGATAATTGGTGCACTGATGATCACTGTGGGTCTGGCGGGTTATGTGGCAGGCACAATAATATTTTAGCACCCATGTTTCCTCTTTCTTAAAAATGGACTCGTCCATTGCGTGCCTCACCATATTAGGGAAAATGGAATGTTCAAAGAGCAAACCAAGTCAATCTCTTCTCGGGGGGAACCAACAACTAACCCTGATGTCTTGGGTACTTTCTCTACTTCACAATGAATTCACTGTGACTAAAATTGAATAGTTATATTCATTCAAGCATGTATTTATTACAGTGTTGCTAAACACTATTTTTGCTCATGTAGAGGAAACCCCCCTTCTCGGAGTGTACCATGTTCATTGTCAGCTCGGGCAGGCGGCTGTGTGGGTGGTGTGGATGAAACCACCTGCAGGGGGAACGGGGGTGTTTATACAATCTGTGAATAGACTAATTGATCACACGGTTTATGGTGATTATTTGGTGCCTGATATGAATTATTCACGGTGACAGTGGGTAGCGGATATGCTGGCGGGTGTGGTGACTGAAACCGTGTAAACACCCCCATGCCGTGTAATGGTACGCGCCGAGTGCTCGGTTTTGCGGGGCGATAACGGCGGCCGGGCCTCGGCAGCGATTTCCTGCCATCTGCTGGCGGCTGCGAGAGGGGCTCACACCGGGGGAGCGCACGGGAGGGTACAGGGCCAGCACGGGGTGCGTAGGACTGTGTGTGGGAGGAGGAATGGGGGTACGGGGGATGCTGGGATCAATGGGGGTACAGGGGATGCTGGGATCAATGGGAGGCAGGGGATGCTGGGATCAATGGGAGGCAGGGGGATGCTGGGATCAATGGGGGCAGGGGATGCTGGGATCAATGGGGGTACAGGGGATGCTGGGATCAATGGGGGGCAGGGGATGCTGGGATCAATGGGGGGCAGGGGATGCTGGGATCAGTGGGGGTACAGGGGATGCTGGGATCAGTGGGGGTACAGGGGATGCTGGGATCAATGGGGGGCAGGGGATACTGGGATCAGTGGGGGTACAGGGGATGCTGGGATCAATGGGAGGCAGGGGATGCTGGGATCAATGGGGGTACGGGGGATGCTGGGATCAAAGGGAGGCAGGGGATACTGGGATCAATGGGGGTACAGGGGATGCTGCGGCTGCCTGGGTTCAGAGTGTGCAGCCAAGCAGGGGAGCTTCCCAGCAATGTGGGTATAAGTAGTAGGGGGGAGACTGCTGGAGATGGGGGCAGCATGCTTTAAGGGAAAGCAGAGAATGCACGGGTACTGCAACACTACATTGACTGCCATTGTATGGGTACAGCACCCCTAATACCACTGTAGGTTGGGAATGTGTGGGTACAACAATTGGGGGTAGGCAGTGAATGCGTGGCTATGACTCCTAGTTAGGCAGAGGATAGTTGTCTGCATCCCCCCGTGATAGGCAACGAAGCTGTGGCTACTACATTCCTTCTGCCCTGGCAAAGGCAATGAATGCATAGCTTCTACATCTCCCTGTGATAAGCAACAAATGCGTGGCTACTACATCCCTCCCACCCCGGGATAGGAAATGAATGCATGGCTTCTACATTCCTCCCACCCCGGGATAGGCAAGAAATGCGTGGCTACTACATCCCTCCCACCCCGGGATAGGCAACGAATGTGTGGCTTCTACATGCCTCCAACCCCGGCATAGGCAACGAATGTGTGGCTTCTACATGCCTCCCACCCCGGCATAGGCAACGAATGTGTGGCTTCTACATGCCTCCCACCCCGGCATAGGCAACGAATGTGTGGCTCCTACATCCCTCCCACAACGGGATAGGCAACGAATGTGTGCCTTCTACATGCCTCCTACCTAGGCATAGGCAACTAATGTGTGGCTTCTACAACCCTCCCCCCCGGGATAGGCAACCAATGCATGCCTTCTGCATTTCTCCCACCCCGGGATAGGTAACAAATGCGTGGTTACTGCATCCCTCTCCCCAGGATAGGCAGGAAATGCGTGGTACTACACCCTTCTCCTCGGGATAGGATGTAAATGGCCGGGTGTAGCAACTCCTTAAAACAGCAAGTGTATGGGTACAGCACCTCAGGCTAGGCTGGGGTGCCACTCTGGTGGCTTTGACTTAAGAAAGTGGAGGCTGTAGTCTTGTGTGTATTGAATTCTGACTGGATGCAGTGGATAGGTGGGATGCACTAGATATGATTTGCAGTGTGCGGTTTCTATAGCATTTTGACGCATGGACCATTGATATATAGCATGGAGGGTATAAGTGCAGGTGCTCCATGCTTTGGAGTTGATAAGTCTGCTATTTTGTCTTTGGGTTTATGTAAGGAAAATAAATCAAAGAAGTTCATAATCCAAATTTTAAGTGAAACCATTTATTCAGCCAACAACACCTATTAAACAGTGGATCTGCAATATTTTTTACTTTGCTGCCAAAAAGGTTGGCTGAATAAATGGGTCCCATGAAGATTTGGAGTGCAGAATCCCTTTGATTTATATATTCTACTCGGAGCGTCTACGGCCAGAGCCAAGTGTCTCTAGCAAGATGTCTGTAAACATATGTATGGGAGTAGAAAGGGTGATTTTTAAATGGAATAATTAATTTAATTTGTGTCAATAAAGTTTATGTTCCTTTTTCTGCAGTCTGTCCATTACCACAATGAGTGAGTTAAAGGACTGTCCGCTGCAGTTTCACGAGTTTAAGTCTGTAGACCATGTGAAGCTGTGCCCTCGGTATACCGCTGTCCTGTCCCGCTCAGAGGATGATGGTATCGGCATTGAGGAGCTTGATACACTTCAGCTGGAACTAGAAACTCTCCTCTCCTCAGCAAGCCGGAGGCTCAGAGTACTGGAAGCAGAGACACAGGTCAGGTGCAAACTGATGGAAGGGGAAATAAACAACATTTTTATTTTAAAGTCATATCCCATTCATCAGAGACCATATAAAAGGGGACCATCACCTCCCACGATTTTTAAATATATTTACATGTGTTTGTGAAATGTGAAAAAAAATAAAAGTTAACCCTTAAGGACCATCTTTTTTGTGATGTGATGCGTTTGTGACAAAGGCCTTTTTGGCACTTTTGCCATGTGTTCGTTCTACCATAATTTCACCCATACATATTGTATAAAAATTTTAAAGGAGAAACAGGGCTTTCTTTTGATAAAACCCTTCATCAGGGTTGACAAATTTGCTTTGAATCTAGGAGCCAGCTAAAATAGTTAGCCAGTTTTTTTTGGTTTTTTTTTAAACTAACAAAGCTTTATTTTCAATGTCAAAAATTTAAATCTGAAAGGAACACTATAGTCACCAGAACCACTACAGCTTATTGTAGTGGTTCTGGTGTCTATAGCCTGTCCCTGCAGGCTTTTTAATGTAAACCGAGAAAAGGCAGTGTTTACATTGCTGCCTAGTAACACCTCTAGTGGCAATCACTCAGACAGCCACTAGAGTTGCTTCCTTGTCCAGTGCTGTACAGTGTTCTGCATGGCGTGGCATTTTACAGTACATGCAAAATAGCCTCCCAATGATTTTCTGTGGGAAAGCATTGGATTGGCTGAAATCATCAAGATTGATTATCTCAGGGCAGGACCGGCACAATGTGTAGAAAAGGGTGAGTAAAATTACATTTTCCATGCGATTGGAGTGGGGCTGGTCACCTACACACATGCACCCACTGTCTTAGTTACATAGTTAAAAAGAGACTTGCGTCCATCAAGTTCAGCCTACCTTAGCCTACAACACCTGGTATTCCCAGGCGGTCTCCCATCCAAGTACTAACCAGGCCCGACCCTGCTTAGCTTCCGAGATCAGACGAGATCGGGCGTGTTCAGGGTGGTATGGCCATAGTCTTAGATACTCAAAAATTATTTGTTTTAATTAAATTTATGTCCACATAGCCACCCTACCTTTAGGAGAGCTGGAGTGGATCCTTTCCCTGGGGTCCAGTAATCTTCATGCTCTTTTTGCTCTGTTCCCTCGCACACTGTTTAGTGATGCCAGGGCCAGAATGACTTCATATACTGGCATAACTGCTGGGTACGCAAGAGAGCCATGCAGCAAGATGACAGCTTCCTCGTTGCATTCATTCCATACAGCCAACTGTCCCACTACTGCAAACACCCCATACTGTATTCTGCTACTGGCGGGGGGACAACACACTTTTAGCACTCCAAGCACCTACAGGATTTTAGCTTCCTGAAGTGCTTTATGTGTTCGGCATGTCGTAGCAATTTAATTTATAGCATAGAACAAATAGAACTGCTGCTAAACTGATGGCAGCTCAGTAGGTTCAATTCTCTTGCAGGAATCTGCCTACATCCCAATATTTTAAATGGACAAAGAGGGACACTTTAATTTTAGGGGTGTAACTAAGGGTCGTTACATAGCTGAAAAGAGACGGCATCCATCAAGTTCAGCCTTCCCCACATTAGTTTTTTGCTGTTGCTACAAAAGAAGGCAAAAAAACCAGTTTGAAGCATTTGTAGCAAACTAGGAAAAAATTCGTTCTTGACCCCAGAGTGGCAGTCAGATCAATCCTTGGATCAAGCTGCTATTACCCTAAGACTTTTTAGCTGACTTACTCTTAAAAAGTCCAAACTACTAAAATATAATTTAGAAAAACAATACATCTGATTTACACAGGCTGATTTCTAAATGCATTTTGTGTAGTGTAACGACACATTGCTGTGAGTACTATTGCTGTGGAGTTCTTCCATACACTCTCACACACCAACAATATTTAAAAAAAAGGCACATTTCTATAGCAAAGAGAGGTGGATTTGGACCCCAATATAGAGACTGTCTCTCCAAACTAAGGACCCCTGGTGAGGCATGCATCACAGTTTTGGTGAATTTATGTGCACCCCATAGAAATATTTCAAAATTAAGAAGTGTACCTTCATAAGCATTGGCTAGCAAGTTAGAGGAGATTTGTTATGGAGTCCCTGCGACGCTTAAAGGTACAGCAGATGGATTTACTCAGACCTGCATGCTGTGGCTTGACTTTATTTCCATTAGAGACCTTGCCTTAGATGCTGACAAATAGCCCAGTGTGGTTAGGATACTTTGCAGCTATATGTCCTAGAATACTTAGACTTGGCATAGGGAGTGGGAGGAAACAGCCATAAGTATTGATGAGGCTTGGGAGGGAAAAGCTTACAGCAACATGAGTGCCTCCCCCCACTCTGCCTTTTTTTTCCCTTTCACTTCTGTAACCCATTCCCTTCATCACCCCACACTTTGGAGAATTAATACTCACTCGTGACATACTTGACGATAAAAGAAAAATAAATGTCACTGAATATATTTTGTTACAGTGAGATTGTCTATGTAATTCTCTAACAATATCACAACTACAATTTGAGTGAAACAGTTTCTGTCCTTTCATATTTGTTATAAACTTTAAAATAAAGATTATAAGAAAAAAACAACTGTGCAGGGGCACCATGGACTGCTAAAGGAGCATAAGTGGTTCTTCGAGTGCCCTGTTAACCTACTTTAACAGTCAGTACAATGGACACTTAAAGAGGGGGGAAAGAATTTGGGGTAACGTTTTGGTTGTGCTGGAATTTCAGCAACTGTACATTGTAAAATATTTACACGCACAAATGTAGTGAAAATACACCTAGTTCAAAATGACAAGAAAGGCTTGCATCTAGGTACATTCCGTTTCCAGCAGCTTTATCTTTATCTCTCTTGCAGTCTTTCCCTTGATGAGCTCTTTTTATTTTTTTCCTCAGATACTTACTGACTGGCAAGATAAAAAAGGAGATCGCAGGTTCATGAAACTGGGGAAAGAAATTGAGCCGGGCACACCTGTTAAACACAGCAAACCCAAGAAGCAGAAACTGGATGGTAAAGGAAGTCATGCCTCCAATACTGGTCCAGGAAGGCCAAAATCCAGAACTATGCAGTCCAAAATCCAGGATTATGAAATGTCAGATGACCCAGTAGATGTGCCCAGAATGCCTAAAAATGACGCCCCAAACAGGTAAAGTGATGTCATTTAGCATAAAGATAAATGATAAAGAGATATATGTATTTACTGATTGTAAAACCGTTTTGTCACAATCTTATTTAAAAAAAAAACAAACAAAAAAAACACACACACTTTCTGCATATATCCTCTGTGGATTATGAAATCACTGTTTTGTAGTGTTTGTGTACTGTGCTGACTTGTGACTTTGATACTGTTTTGGTGGAAGACACTTCTGGGACCCAATCTCTAGCTTAGTGAGAGCCATCCATTTACTTGCATGGTGTGGACACGCACTACTTACTCAAACTGTTAAAGGCAACATATATTTCAGTGATGATAAAGAACATGTGTGAGCTTTAAAAAGTGTTTTTCTAGCTGCTGAAATCTTGAAAGTTCTGTTTAATATTCCATGATTAGGGGTAATCTCCTGGACTGTAGTGCAGCATTTTCTCTGTGAATGTTGTTAAATGTTCCTTGGATAGAGTGTAATATATAATATATCTTTTAAAAGTACAGGGATCTGACCAATATATAAACTGTAGGCTGAGGGTAGGATATTCTGTGCATCATGCCACATGAGATGTTTCCTTAGTGGAATGGAAACTCTTTACATCTTTTTTTGCTTTTGTTGATACTACTATATATATATTACAATTGTAGCAGAGCGGCAATATTAAATCCCACGATCTCCGCTGGTTCAGAAGGTAATCCACAGTCAAGCGCTGAAAAGTAAGGCAATATCCCAAATCTCCCAGTAACCGGACGAAACACAGTTCTGAGAGTCAACTGAGGCTTTATTCACAGGCTCCACAATTTATACAATTCCCCATGCAAGGGGTTTCCTGAGTCCTGTCCCAGGGGTATTACAGGAGTGGACTACGTGGGAAACTTAAAGTACAGAGCATTTCTCCCATCAGGCACTGCTGCACGAGAGGGATCCTCCCACTGGAATGTACAGTTAAGTGGATTATCCCTCCGTGCAGCAGAACCGGCAATTTATATTAAAACGCATAACTTTTCGAATATTAAGTTGATTTGCACGAATGGACGTTCGGTAGATAGCTGGGGTCTGAGCGCATCATTCGTGAGATTACCGCTCAGATCCCAGCTAAAACAACCGAACGCCGCACGAAAAACATATTCACCAAAACATGCATTCAAAAGACCGATTGGCATATGGGGAATAAAATACCGAACGGCCTGGAAGTCCAGCGGTGTTCGCGCCGTCGAGTAGCCGTTTTTAGTACCACGCGCTCGACGACCAAACACTGCTGGAGGAACAAAGGATCCAAGATGGCCGACCGCTGCGTGGTCGGTAGTCGAACGACGGCCACCTAGGAGAGCCTCTAATTACCGATTGCAACATTGTTGCAATCGGTTAACAAGCGCCACACGTCTCTTAATGTGTGGGCTGTTACAGGTTGGTTTATTCAGTTCACGAACGGCCCGCAAAGGTGCCGTTCGTGAAACGAAATGAAATACAGCTATCTGCTTTCGGCAGATAGCCAATGCAGGCAATACAATATTATACAATCTCAGTACATTACACCCGGGAACATACACATCACCAAAACCATACAGGCAACCCTTAAAGCCATAGTCTCTGTATATTGTCCAAGTGGCTAGGTTTGCCACAACAATGTTAAACAAAAATCTGCACACCAGTCCAGTGAAGCCATATGACTTGCTTTTCCCACAGAAATCACACATCTGCAGTGATGTTACTACTGCAAATGATTCTGAAAAGATGCAAAGCCACCATAACCTGTTTGGATTTTGCTTCCCAAGCCTCAATAGCAAACCAGTAACCAACCTCATGCTGATGATATGCATTAACAATGAAACAGCAGTCCATGAGTGGTTCACTGGCTTTGCATCTTTTCCAAAGTTGTGTTTCAAAGCTGTTGTATACAGCAAACACAGACTCAAAGGAATCCATGTTTAAAATGGAATGCGGCAAAAATCTGGCTCTTTGTTAAACTAATTTGCATATGCCCACCCTGAATCCTTTGCAGTAGTAACATCACTGCAGATGTGTGATTTCTGTGGGAAAAGCAAGTCTTATGGCTTAACTGGTGTTCAGATTTTTGTTTAACATTGTATTAACAATCCACAGACTTCAGGTGGAAGGGGTATTCAGTCACAATCCTCCCCCCCCCAACATATATATATATATCAATGTTAAACACAAATACAAACACCAGGCAAGCCATAAGACTTGCTTTGACCACAGAAATCTCACTGTAACAGTGCTCTCACTACGGCATGGGATTCTGGGTAGGCGTATGCAAATGTGCTCAACAAAGAACCACTTTTTTGCCTCATAATTCCACTTTATACATGGATTCCTTGGAGTATGTGTCTGCTGTATACAACAGCTTTGAAACACAACTCAGGAAGAGGAGCAATGCCAGTGAACAACTCATGGACAGCTGTTTCATTGTTATTTCAACTCATCAGCATTAAATAGGTTACTGGCTTGCCTGGTGTGTGTATTTGTGTTTAACATTGCATTAACTATCCACTTATTTCAGGTGAAAGGGGTTTTCATCCACACTTTTGTGTGTGTGTGTGTGTGTGTGTGTGTGTGTGTATATTTATTTATTTATTTCAAATATTATATGAAAGCACTGCTATTGTTTAATTTGATTCAAGGAGTCCATTTTATTTAAATTATACACTCACATAATGACAAATCTTGAAAAAGCAAAAAGCTGTATATAAAAAAAATATATAATTTTGCAACACTTTCTTTAAGAAGTGCGATGTCCTAAACTTGTATTTATTTGTGTCTGAATAATTTGGCTTTAAAGTGCCATGTTACTTGACAAGTATGTTTTAGTTTGATTACGTAGGTCAGCTTCTATGCTGAGTGGGAACTAACCATTTGGATGTTCCTTGAAAGTTTGATGTCGTTGTGTTCACCACTAACGTGTTGGTAATGAATTCCAGGTTTTGGGCCTCTGTTGAACCTTATTGTGCTGATATTACAACAGATGAAATCAAAGTTTTGGAAGATCTCTTGAAAACACCAGAGGATGAGACAGACTATTACAAGGTATGTTTTAAAAAACTGTGCAACATAACAGATTTTATATTACTTTTATCTGTAAACTTTTTGTTTCTATATTGTTGAGTGAAGTCCCAATATTCTCCAAGAGACTTCCTATTCCCCTTTACTACTATTTTCCCTTCCCCATTACTCATTTGATTATGCTTGCTTTATATGCCTGTCAATTATATATTATATTTGCGACTGGAAAGTTCAGCACCTCCATCCAGAGCGTGGAGACACTGAATGTAGGTGCTGCATGTTGGGCAGCACTGACCCAGGAAGCACCTCTAGTGGCCATCTGAGTGTCCCTAGGGAGCAATGTAAAAGCTGCCTCTTCTCAGAAAAGGCAGTGTTTACATGAAAATGCCTGCAGGGACAGACTGTAGACACCAGAACAACTACAATAAACTGTAGTTGTTATAACTATAGTGGCCCTTTAACAAAACCTGGTTCAAAACACTCAGACTTCAGACTGGCCTAAAGGTTCACTTTCCAGCAGGACAATGGCCCTAAGTCAACAGCAACTCTGAGTGTCCTTGAGTGGCCCAGTCAGAGTTTAAACTTGAACCCAATCGAACATCTCTGGAGAGACCTGAAGACCTGTCCACTGACTGTGCCCAACCAACGTGACAGCGTTTGAACAGATCTGCGGAGATGAATGACAAGAACTACCCAAATCCAGGTGTGCAAAGCTTATCACACCCAAAAAGACTTGAGGCTGTAATTGCTACCAAAGGTTCTTCAATTAAGTGATATTTCCGTTTTTTCTGTTTATTATATTTGCAATGGTGTCACAAATCAGGTTTTTGTTTTCTTTATGGTGAATGGAGTATAGATTGATGTGAAAAAAATAGAAATGCAAACAATTGTAGCAAAAGGTTACAACACTTTAAAAAGTAATAAACGGTGAAGGAGTCTGAAAACTTTCTGAATGCACTGTATCTATTAACCTGTTTTGTCTTCTTGAGACTGAAAATATTTAATAAATCTTAATTTATGAAAACTGTTTCCTGCTATACAGGAAAGCAATATGTAAAGGAAATTAACTACGTGTGGATCTTATACATTGGGCCCCTAATGGTTGTAATAGCCCCATCCTATTAATCTTACCCAGCAATAGACTGGTTACTGTAGCAACATTGCCTTATTTAGTGTTGTGGACCCTTTTGATACTGTTGTGTTTAATAAAGGTATTTTGCAGAAATCATTCATACAACAGATGAAGAATGGGTCGCCAATCTCATGCCATGTACTAATTAAGATCCCTGTCAAAATCCAGTCCTATTCAGGTGTTTTAGTAGATAATAAAGGTGCAGATTTCTTAACTGTCCTAATATTTATTTTATGTGAAAACTGTTTTGAACTTGTATCAAGTGTTTAGACTTTGTATTGTGTCTGTGCTGTTTATTACAGATAAAGGTAGGTGTCTAATTATATGTTGTGATCTTCTGTTTTAGATTCCTCCCCTTGGGAAACACTATTCACATCGATGGGCACAAGAGGATCTGCAAGAAGAACAGAAAGATGGAGCCCGAGCCGCTCTGGCTGGAGACAAAAAGAAAGGTGTTCTGGGACCACTGACTGAACTGGACTCCAAAGGTAGTAGTACATTAACATTCCTGGAGGGTCCTACACACCTATAAATTCTGCAATTTCATGTATGGGTTGATTCGTTTCTAATTATAACGTGAGGGAAGAAGCAAAGTGAAAATGTTTTGTGTTTTTATTTTGTTGTTGTTTATTTTGCTGCAAATAACTCTCCTATTAAAGGGATCTGTCGCTCAATATGACGTATGGATATATCTATTTTGCATAGTGCATATAACATGGCTGCCACAATGTGTTCTCCACATATATACAGTTGCAAGAAAAAGTATGTGAACCCTTTGGAATGATATGGATTTCTGCACAAATTGGTCATAAAATGTGATCTGATCATCATCTAAGTCACAACAATAGACAATCACAGTCTGCTTAAACTAATAACACACAAAGAATTAAATGTTGCCATGTTTTTATTGAACACACCATGTAAACGTTCACAGTGCAGGTGGAAAAATTATGGGAACCCCTAGACTAATGACATCTCCAAGAGCTAATTGTAGTGAGATCAGGGCCGGTGCAAGGATTTTTGCCGCCCTAGGCAAAAGTAAAGTTTGCCGCCCCCCCCCCGTGACATCACAATGCCCCACCCATATGACCTGCCATGTTAACTAACGCTAGTGCTGCAGTGCCGCCGTGTTTACATTAAAAGGCCTGCAGGGACAGGCTATAGACACCAGAACCACTACATTAAGCTGCAGTGGTTCTGGGGACTATAGTGTTTCTTTAATGTGAGGTAAATTAGAGATTAGTGCCACGAATAATATACTAGATTACCTACTTACAAGCAGATGAGGATGATGATGGGCTCTAGCTGCAGTCTGGCTCCACTGGTCTGGTGTATAACAGGATCTCTGGAGGCTGTTTGTAACTGTGGTCACACAAATCAATGTTCTGGGAGAACGAGAAGCAGCTCCATTTTTTGGGGGCCCTTTACACAGCTCAAGGTCTGGGTCCCAGGGTCCACCTTCATTTCCCACCAATGAGTTTGTTCACAGGGGATGGAGTGTGTAGGGAATGTCCTGATTTGTGTGTAAGGAATGCATTTTGTGAATCTGTGTTTGTATGTGTAAGGGCTGCAAGGTGTGTTTCTGTGTATGTAGGGGATGAAGTGTGTGAGTCTGTAAGGGGTGCATTGAGTGTGTGTAAGGAATGCATTGTGTGTTTCTGTGTGTGCAAGGGATGCATTGTGTGTAAGGGTTGCATTGCGTGTGTGTGTGTAATGCATTGTGTGTGTAATGCATTGTGTGTTTTTCTGTGTGCAAGGGGTTCATTGTCTTTGTGTGTAAGGGGTGCATTGTGTGTGATTGTGTGTGTGTGTGTGATGGATTTCAATCTCTCCCCCCTCCCTTGTCACTCTCTTCTCCCCCCCTCCCTTGTTACTCTCATTCCCCCTCCCTCCCCTGTCACTCCCCCCTCCCTGTCAATTTCTCTCTCCCCGTCAATTCCCCTCCCTGTCAATGTCTCCCCCTCCCTGTTAGTTCCCCCCCTGTTAGTTTCTTCCCCCCACCTCCCTGTTAGTTTCTTTCCCCCCACCTCCCTGTTAGTTTCTTTCTCCCCCCTCCCATCAGTTTATTTCTTCCCCCCTCCCCTCCCGGTTTCTTTCTTCCCCCTCCCTGTTTCTTTCTTCCCCCTCCTTCCCTGTTTCCTTATCCCCCCTCCCTCTGTTTGTTTCTTCTCC